TAAAGTTTTCGCCTTATTACGGGTCCCGGGAGAACCTTAATAAGGTTTTCGCCTTCTTACGGGTCCCGGGAGAACCTTAATAATGTTTTCGCCTTGTTACGTATCCCGGGAGAACCTTAATAAGGTTTTCGCTTTGTTACGGTCCCGGGAGACCCTTAATAAAGTTTTCGCCTTATTACGGGTCCCGGGAGAACCTTAATAAGGTTTTCGCCTTATTACGGGTCCCGGGAGAACCTTAATAAGGTTTTCGCCTTCATACGGAACCCGGGAGAACCTTAATAAGGTTTTCGCTTTGTTACGGATCCCGGGAGAACCTTAATAAGGTTTTCGCTTTGTTACGGTCTTGGGAGAACCTTAATAAAGTTTTCGCCTTATTACGGGTCCCGGGAGAACCTTAATAAGGTTTTCGCCTTATTACGGGTCCCGGGAGAACCTTAATAAAGTTTTCGCCTTATTACGGGTCCCGGGAGAATCTTAGTAAGATTTCCGCCTTATTACGGGTCCCGGGAGAACTTTAATAAGGCGAAAACCTTATTAAGGTTGTCCCGAGACCATTAATAAGGCGAAAACCTTATAAAGGTTCTCCCGAGACCGTTATTAAGGCGAAAACCTTATTAAGGTTCTCCCGAGATCCTTAATAAGGCGAAAACCTCATTAAGGTTCTCTCTAGACTCTTAATAAGGCGAAAACCTTATTAAGGTTTTCCCGGACCCATAATAAGGCGAAAAGCTTATTAAGTTTTTCCCGGGACCCGTAATAAGGCGAACAGCTTATTAAATTTCTCCCGGAACTCGTAATACGGCGAAAATCTTATTAAGGTTCTCCCGGGATCCGTAGTTAGGCGAAAACCTTATTAACGTTTTCCCGGGAACCGTAATAAGGCGAAAACCTTATTAAGGTTCTCCCGGTAACCGTAATAAGGCGAAAACCATATTAAGGTTCTCCCGGGAACCGTAATAAGGCGAAAACCTTATTAAGGTTCTCCCTGGAACCGTAATAAGGCGGAAACCTTATTAAGGTTCTCCCGGGAACCGTAATAAGGCGAAAACCTTATTAAGGTTCTCCCGGGAACCGTAATAAGGCGAAAACCTTATTAAGGTTCTCCCGTGAACCGTAATAAGGCGAAAACATTATTAAGGTTCTCCCGGGAACCGTAATAAGGCGAAAACCTTATCGAGGTACTCCCGGGAGCCGTAATAAAGCGAAAACCTTATTAAGATTCTCCCGGGACCCGTAATAAAGCGAAAACCTTATTAAGGTTCTCCAGAAACACTTAGTAAGATTTTTGCATTATTAAGGATCTCCCGAGACCCTTATTAAGGATTTCGCCTTATTACGAGTCCCGGGAGAACCTTAATAAGGTTTTCGACTTATTGCGGGTTCCGGAAGAACCTTAATAAGGTTTTCGCATTATTACGGGTCCGGGAGAACCTTAATAAGGTTTTCGCCTTATTACAGGTCCCGGGAGAACCTTAATAAGGTTTTCGCCTTATTACAGGTCCCGGGAGAACCTTAATAAGGTTTTCGCTTTGTTACGGTCCCGGGAGAACCTTAATATAGTTTTCGCCTTATTGCGGGTTCCGGGAGAACCTTAATAAGGTTCTCGCATTATTACGGGTCCGGGAGAATCTTAATAAGGTTTTCGCCTTATTACGGGTCCCGGGAGAACCTTAATAAGGTTTTCGCCTTATTGCGGGTTCCGGGAGAACCTTAATAATGTTTTCGCATTATCACGAGTCTCGGGAGAACTTTAATAAGGTTTTCGACTCATTACGGGTCTCGGGAGACCCTTAATAAGGTTTCCGCCTTATTACGGGTCTCGGGAGAACCTTAATAATGTTTTCGCTTTATTGCGGACCTCGGGAGAACCTTAATAAGGTTTTCGCCTTATTATGGGTCTCGGGAGAACCTTAATAAGGTTTTCGCCTTGTTGAGGGTCTCGAGAGAACCTTATTGAGGTTTCCGCCTTCTTACGGGTCTCGGGAGAACCTTAATAAGGTTTTCGCCTTATTACGAGTCTCGGGAGAACCTTAATAAGGCGAAAACCTTATTAAGGTTCTCCCGAGACCATTAATAAAGCGAAAACCTTATTGAGGTTCTCCCGAGATCCGTAATAAGGCGAAAACCTTATTAAGGTTCTCCCGAGACCCTTAATAAAGCGAAAATCTTATTAAGGTTCTCCCGAGACCCTTAATAAAGCGAAAACCTTATTAAGGTTCTCCCGAGACCCTTAATAAAGCGAAAACCTTATTAAGGTTCTCCCGAGACCATTAATAATGCGAAAACCTTATTAAGGTTCTCCCGAGACCCTTTTTAAAGCGAAAACCTTATTAAGGTTCTCCCGAGACCCTTAATAAAGCGAAAACCTTATTAAGATTCTCCTGAGACACGTAATAAGGCGAAAACCTTATTAAGGTTCTCCCGAGACCCTTAATAAAGCGAAAATTTTATTAAGGTTCTCCCGAGACCCTTAATAAAGCGAAAACCTTATTAAGGTTCTCCCGAGACCCTTAATAAAGCGAAAACCTTATTAAGGTTCTCCCGAGACCATTAATAAAGCGAAAACCTTATTAAGGTTCTCCCGAGACCCTTAATAAAGCGAAAACCTTCTTAAGGTTCTCCTGAGACACGAAATAAGGCGAAAACCTTATTAAGGTTCTCTCGTGACCCTTAATAAATCGAAAACCTTATTAAGGTTCTCCTGAGACACGTAATAAGGCGAAAACCTTATTAAGGTTCTCCCGAGACCCTTAATAAAGCGAAAACCTTATTAAGGTTCTCTCGAAACCCTTAATAAAGCGAGATCTTTGTTAAGGTTCTCCCGAGATCCTTAATGAAGCGAAAACATTATTAAGGTTCTCCCGAGACCCTTAATAAGGTTTTCGCCTTATTAAAAGTCTCGGGAGAACCTTAATAAGGTTTTTGCCTTATTACGGGTCTCCGGAGAACCTTAATAAGATTATCGCCTTATCACGGGTCTCGGGAGAACTTTAATAAGGTTTTCGACTTATTACGGGTCTCGGGAGAACCTTAATAAGGTTTCCGCCTTATTACAGGTCTCGGGAGAACCTTAATAATGTTTTCGCCTTATTGCGGACCTCGGGAGAACCTTAATAAGGTTTTCGCCTTATTATGGGTCTCGGGAGAACCTTAATAGGGTTTTCGCATTTTTAAGGGTCTCGGGAAAACCTTAATAAGGTTTTCGCTTTATTAAGGGTCTCGGGAGAATCTTAATAATGTTTTCGCCTTATTAAGGGTCTCGGGAGAACCTTGATAAGGTTTTCGCCTTATTAAGGGTCTCGAGAGAACTTTAATAAGGTTTTCGCCCTGGCCCTAAGGAATTGACCAATCACAGTCAAACATTTAGAGATTACTCGATTGTGATTGGTCAATTTTTTGACATACTGCTTTAATCCATTAATCCTACTGCGATTGTAGACGACGATTTAACTCATCGTGACGTTTTGGCGCGCATGCCCGTGCGCTGCGCTTATTTTTTCGACGGTTGACTTAATTTTGATGAATGTTTATAATAAACATTTCTTTTACGCCAGAAAAGACGAAAGATAGCTTAATGTAAGCGGTTTAGTTTTTTTAACGAATTGAAAAGTCGAGAAGATTCTACGCAAGTAACAATTACACGTCATTTGGCATTCCAAGCTGGTCCCGTTTGGTCATATGTCGTCAAAATGACTGATTTATTACATGACTGATTTACTGACATTTTGATATAACATTATTTTGATGTCATATTTTAGTCATGAACTGTCGATTATTTTATTATTTAATTATTTAATTGTTTTATTATTTAATGTGATTAATTAGTACATCGATCCCATTAAAAAATATTTAATTTTTTATATAACATGACTTTCGCTATCAGACTTTAAAAACTTTTCTTTTGACGCATGCGTTTATCTGTGCACGATTCATGTTGTTTAACCACTCAAGTGTATTAAATTAACGCACAGTGAAAACATTAGCTATATTAATTCAATGTAATTAAAGTGCCAAGAAAATGCACATTTTTTTATAATAGTTGATTGGAAAATATATTTTCTATAAAACGCAGGCAACGGAAAACATTATTTTTTGAAATTTTATATGATATTAGAAGTAAATTTATTTATGTTTAAATAAAATATATAATAATAAATATAATATACTTATGATCTATTTTCTTACCATATTTATATTTTCCAGCGTTTTCGATTAAAGCAGTTTAGTCGATCCGAGATTTTTTTGAAAAATAGAATGGCTGTAGTAATTGTACAATGGTACTCTCGAATCGGTCAATTTGTTTTATTCGACAATACCAAATTAGATACATTATGCTAAGAAAAAGACGTCAAAATATAATACATCTTATGATGTCAAAATGCGATACATGTCATCACCTCAAGAATCTGTGACGTCGGACTATCATTTTTACGTCATAAAAACGTCAACTCATGATGTCAAAAATAATCAGTGAATGACCAATTTGAAACATCAAAATAACGTATGATTGCTATCTAGGATATAATCAGATTAATTAGAAATAAATAATCATCGCTTAAATTATTTTATTTAATATTCTGTATTATAAATCTAAGATATACAATAACTCGGAAATGGATATATAAGATTATATATATAATATAGAATGGCCTTCCCCCTTCTCTTTCTCTTTCTCTCTCTCTCTCTCTCTTTCTCTTTCTCCTCCTCTCTCTCTTTTTCATATATTTTTGGTATAAAGCACTCAATTGTTTCCAGAAGGTATTATGAAAAAAATATATTACATATATTTATGTGCCTCCACTGCAAAATTATATATAATATATCAGATAGTTTTCTGACCGATAGATTATCTCGATCGTCTAGTGAAAGTGTTTCAAACTCGACTTACGTACTCAACCTCCCCGAGTATATCACGAGGCACACTCTTACCGACGTGCTCAGTATCATCTTCACCATTCTTCAACTTCCTGACTTGGTTTCTTTTTGGTTAAATAAAATTGTTTGCTGTACAGTGTGCGTTTTAGAAATAATTTTTTCAGGATAATTATTATACCAAAAATTATTTCTAGTAATTTATTTCTTGCAACGAAATGCGGTAAATAACACAATTTTTCGCAGTCAGCGTAATTTTTTCAAATCTGCTAGGAAGTTTATTGTGTGCTTTCAAGGTATGCGTTTTGATATTCTATCTACTATTTATTTTTGATATTTACTTTTAATATTTTATCTATTATTTCTTCATTTCCTTTATATTGTTATATTACAATGTTTTCTATATAATATCATGCTTATAATTTCTGTGTTTATCTTTTACCTTTTCTTAAAAAGCACTCAATTGTTTCGAGGAAAAAATATTATAAAGAAAATATATTACATATATATTTATGTGCCTCTACTGCAAAATTAAAATATGTATATCGGATAGTTTTCTGGCTGATTAGTTTTCCACGAAGAAAAAAAAAAGAACCGGACGGTAAAATTACATTTCTTTTTGAAGGAATAAAATTACCGATCAGTTTTCTGTTATCTTTTCTTTAAATTATTTTTACACATATATTTATATATTGTATAATTATATTGCGGTGAAATATGAGAGAAACTTTTTTGTACTAAGCGAATAATATCCTTCATTTAATTTCTGTATACTTATACCTCGTGAATTAATTTTATGACGATAAATTGTCTTTCATTCTAATAAAAAATATGTACTGTATATAGAATAAAATAAACAATGTAGAAATTATTTGTATCAAGTTTTTAATAATGTCAAAATTAAAAATTTTTACATGGTTATTACAGATACATTTAACAAAAGTATGTTTATTCTTATGACTACCAATCCATTATAGTAATCATGGGAATAAACATTATAACATGATGAAAAACTTATGCAAATGCGATTCTGTCAATATTATAATATAATGTCTTCGACTGCTGTTGCTATAATTACGATAATTAATGATGCATTATATCACTGGGTTTTATTAGATTTGAAGAATATAGACGTAATAGAAATTATATTAATATGAAATTCTTGCACAGATTTTGAATTTAAAGTTACATTTTTCAATATCTCATAAGTTAATATGATGAAATATTACATAAGTAGTTATGCTGGAAGATGAAATACTTGATTATATGTATATTGCAGAGCCATTCACCAAGGCTCGATGTAATTCTTCGACTTTCTTCAATTACGCGTATATGTAGATATATTCTTCTAGTAGTATCTCATGTTCCCGTAAAATCTCAATCGCGGGAAAGCGAAAGTGCTCGCGAAGAATCTAGGTGGTACGAACATCCGGATGGATGATTTAATACAAACGCATTGATGCTTGTGTGATGGAACGAAAAATCTAACAGCTCATCCTTTCGCTCGAAAGGCAATTTAAATTCGCTTTTACTTTAACTTATAATGGAGAAATCAAGTCTATATCAATATATTGAGAACTTATTAAATTATATAAATATATGTTTTTTGCATGTTTTTTCTATCGCTTTATTTTCAAAAAAAGTATACTGTTTTAAAGTAAATTTTTAATATTTATCAGTTTTATGCAATTATTTTGATATGATTCGTTGATGAATTTATTTTAATATTTTATATTCTTACTCCCATCTATCTTTAATATATTTCTCTTTGATTTTATTTAATTCACACTGTAACAATTTTTATATTGGTATTGTTTCAATAATATTTAAATAATATTTCAATAATGTTTATATTTAGCTATCAAACATTTTTCCTAAATGACTCAGTGAATTGTTTTATATATTAATTCGTATTCATCTTTATTATTGCGATATATCGTACATTTATTTTTATGTTTTATTTAAACAGCTTCCTTTAGCATGATTATAAAGTAAAATAAATTTTTATATATATATGTCCTTTTTGAAAATAATATTATCACGCAAAGTTAATTTGAGTCCAATTATTAAATGTTTGTGAGATTAAAATCTAAATATTGAAGAACCATAAATTTTGTAAAATTTAAGCTTACATATTTGTATAAATAAAAATTATGAAAAACAATTTCTATTCTATCCGACAGATTTATCTATCTACTTTAAAATATATTTCGAATATAGAATGTGTTTATTCTAAGAACTTTATTTATGCAATGATTGTAAAATCCCATAACTTTATTTTTTTGTGAAATGGAAACACTTGTCCTTAAATTAATTCGAATAAAACAGAATATAAACATATATTTTTAATAATCTTTGCTTTATTTCTTTTAATCTTACTTGATAGGTTTTTCAACAATTTTTTTATAAAAACGTTACCTAATAAAATGATTGTAGAGCACAAATAATAGAATGAAAATAAAAACTTTTTTTTTATAATGTAAACCAAATTTAAAATAATTAATTTAAATTTAAAATAATTTAAAATAATTAATTTAAATTTATTAAGAACTCTATTTAGCTAGCCAATTATTGAGATCCGTCAACTCTCAACTCGTCGACACGTAAAATCATTGTAAATTTTCTTCTTATGATGCTAACATGTCGCCTTCATGCTTTTTTCTATTGCTAAATGAGATATAATATAATAAAGTTTACAATTATTAAGCATGTACTAGAATGGCGTCTTTGTTGTGCTGTGATACATATTTTTAATATGATATATAATATATAGCAATTGTCTGCTTCGCTTTTCTTTTCAAAAAGTATTGAATCTAATCTAACAACGAAAATAAATGTATTTTTGTTGATTTTATATATTAATAATAATAAATTGATTTTGTTGATTTTATATATTAATAATAATAAATTTTTATCAAGTATATTAATAATAATAAATTTTTATCAAGTATAATATGTCTACGGAGAGAGAAGCATTTTTTCTCCAGCAGATACAATTTTTTTATATGAAGTATGGAATTCATGAAATGTTTATTATTTATAAAATGTTAATATTAATTCAAACGAAAAAAATTACATTATATCGTAAAGTCTATTCAGTTAAATCTTATGACTAGAATATTATAATGCAAAAAAGATTTATCAACATACAAAATCTATGACAGTTTAATAACGCATCTAGTTTAATGACGTATTAAAATTCGCACGATGCGTAAAATCATCTGGAATTATATATAAAATGAAACAATATTTGACACTGTCAATGTTTTTGGGGAGAAAAATAATTAAATATAAATGTACCAAATACAGATAAAAGTATCACGTAGGACTTTCATTGGAAAGAAAGGTGAATGCGATCTCATGAACAAATTCACTCGACTGTGACAGATGTTGAAATTAAGTCTATCCATATAATAACATAGCATCATTGATAATGAATCGTTTGTTTGCCACTTGAAAATTAATGTTAAGAGAATGGATCCTTTCAACTACTTTCATTAGTGATGACTGCCATTGTATATTTATTTTAAAATTAAATATATTTTTGCAACTGTAAAATGCGTAGCGCTAAAAAACGTACCCAGGTAGCAAAATGATGTCTCCAGATATCTTAATGACATACAATGACATCATTAAAACGTTATTAAGATGTCTTTTGACGTCACTCTGCTACCTGGAGTATTATGTATTAATCATCAAATTTTTTAATTTTAAATTGTTTTTCTTGTTTGTATAGAATTCAATTTAAATGCGAAAAGAATTCAATTTGAAGTAATATGTACTTATACATATATTCTTTATACCTAATAGTTTTTTTATCAGACGGATATTTTATCTTACTATTGTATGATAATTGTCACAGAAATTATTAAACAATATAATTGCGATATCAGGCGGAAGTGATATTGTGTTAATTTTATGTTATTATACAATCCTAAATTCTAAAAACTTAGTGGAAATTGTAATGTTAATTTTATTTCTTTACTTTAATTCGTTATTTCTTATATATTTATTTCTTATCAGTAATGAAGCGATACTGATATGTAATATATATGCTAAATATATAATAACTACAAAAGAACATAAAATTAATATCATATAACTCACACACACAGACACAAACACATACACATTAATGTACGTTATCTTATATATGTACATATAATAAAATAATACGTGCTACCACGGTACCGGAAATAATTCGAAAGAAAAGTCTGGCGTTGTCTAAAAAAGACAGCGAAATATATTATATTAATAAATTCTATTTAATTATCAAAATTAAGTAAAAGTGAAGAATAGTTTAATTAAGCTTTCACTCTTTAATTTGACAAAAAGTTTATTTTTAATACAATTTTGAAAACGAAATTTAATTTATTTTTAATACAATTTTGAAAACAAATTTAAATCTTTCTATGAAAAAATATTTTAGCTTTATAATTTAGCTATAGTATAAATTTTTATTATATATATAATGTAATAAGACTTCTTTTATACTTTTAGAAAAAAAAATAAATGCGAGCTGAAAACAAAAATATAATAATAAAAATTCCGTCTTTGTTTGAATTTTGCATTCAAATATGTTGAATATTTAATAAAGAATTAAATTGTTTAGAAACTATTTGAAAATTTAATATATGCGCAATAATGCAAAATTGGTAGAGAATCATGATATTTTTAGTAATCTCTCATTTTTGCATATTTATCCACCGTTATATCTCCGCCGTTATGTGAGAGTCGAAATAGAGAAGATTGCAATAATTTATCTCGAGAACATAATTAGATCAAGGCTAAAAGAAAATGGTCAGTGATTGTAACGGTCGCGCGTATAGATGCCGGTTACTTGAATTAAACGTCTCGAATCATACCATATTGCGAGATTTGGAATTCAAATATATAATGACAGCTGGATAAATTATATATTTTTATTGTGTATGAAGTAATTTATTATTGAAGACAAATTGAACATCGCAGGATACCTCTTACCACAATTCTTTTATAAAATTGAATACTAACTTTCTAAAAAAAAGTTTTGTTATCAATTTATTATAGTACGATTAAGTTGAAAAGTTTTCTTTAAAAAACTGTTAAGAATAGAGAATTGAATATTCTATTATAACAATTCATATTCTTATAAATATTATTATTTTTATATAATTTTTAAAAAAATTACAATTATAAATCAAGACATGAATGTCTTAAATAAAAATACAAATATATATATATATATATATACAATTTTATATATATATATATATTTATGTATATATATGTATATATATTTGTATTTTATTATTATATTACACACACACACACACATAAAAATTTATTTACGAACATAAATTATCTTATGTGTAATCTATGCATATTTCATAAAATTTAAGGAATGAATGCCTCGGCCATTTTGCATATATGTATAAACTCCATGTTTGAACAGCAAAAGAAGTAATGATAATATTGCTTAGAAGATTTTCAGTTTTAATTTTAAACAATAAAAAGATAATTTTGGAATATTGTTCTATAGCGAATTATATAAAAAATATAATTAAAAAATATCAAACAAATTTTATAAAACATGTTTTACATTACAGATCAAAATAATCACATTAGAAGGATGCGGGCGACAACATAATTGCAAACATCAAATAAAATTTTCATCATTATGAAGATTAAACAAAGATACTGGTATCGATTGCTGCTAGCAATCACGATTTTGTCGGGGCATATTAAAGCAGAAAAGGTTAGATACCAAATAAGCACTTTTTAGAAACCATTTTTTTTATGCTTTCTCTCAATAACAAGTAAAATTAGAGCGACAAGTTGAATTAAAAAACGTGACAACATGCACTATTTATATGCAGTTTAAACATTTACAATTTTCGAGCCTAATTAATCTCTACAATTTAATCACGCTACATTAATGTATTGCATAATAATATATACACATGTATACGAAGTATCAATAAAAATCAGAATTAAATTTATATAATATGTATTAATAGAGTTGAAAAAAGTTTATGTGAAAATTTAAATAAAAAAAGTTTATATAAACTTATGTTCAAATATGTTTTATTAAAAAATTATAAATTATAAGAGTTTAAAAGTAGGTGAATAAAATTTTATTCTTATAACTTGTAACTTATAATTTTATTCTTATAACTTATAACTTGTTTTTGTAACTTGTTAGGTTGAATATCTAATATATGCATGTTGCATAATTAAAAGAAAACGTTATTGTTTATTATAATTGCAAAAATAAAATCATAGCGACCCAAATATCAGAATCTGATATTGAAAAAATTAAATAATAGAATCAGACATATGATAGAAGTCTAGAGATTATATAGATCAAGATAATAATAATAATTGCAAATTATTTGTTTCTGAATCAGCAATTCCACTTAATATAGTTAATTTAAGAATCTAATAATATTATCAAAACAATTTTGCCCGTTTATCTCTTTGAAAACTTATATAACTCTTTAATAAAGCATTTTTGTACTTTAGGTTTATATAAAAACCTTTTTTTTATTTATTCGACTCTGTTAACGCATTATATAAATTTGATTTTGACATTTATATACATCCAGTATTATACATTTGCCTCAGATAATTCCAAATTATCTAAGATCCAAATTATTTATATAATAAATTGTACGTGTTTTTGTATATTGTGGATTTTATATGTAATTTTTTAAATTACATTCCCTGCGCATAATATTAGATTATTCTCAAAACTGTCACATGTACTTATAATATTACTTAAAACACGATTACATAATTATCGTGTAAAACATTTTAAAATAATTTAAAGAAAGAATGTGTTAATCATTTTTTCATTTACTTAGGATATGTTCCAAAACGTACTTTACGAGGAAAATTTTACTCGATGGCCGTTTCGAAACCGCTGAGCATTTCCGATTGATAACTTGAAAGCGTTCCAAAACTGAGAGGAAACGTTCGTGTTTCCTTCATTCGAGTAAAATTTTCATCTACATTTTATGCGAGTAAACTAGAAGAAATAAAAATGGAGGCAAAAGTGGAAAGTGCGAATTCAAAAATTGATAACATTTCCATTATATTTAAATTTGAAATAGAGATTTTTGTATCCGTAATAAATGCAACAAATCGTCATCCTATAAAACTTAATAAAGAACATTTACTTTTGTTCAATAAAATACGAAACCCAGTTGAAATTTCAGTATTCGCTGGTTGAGCGCAAGTTAACAGTAATGGCCTTCATAAAGAAACCTTTAGAGAGGAAAGGAGAGCTATAATAGTTTCTTTTTTTCCCCAGTGCGTTCCAAAACTGGATTACTCTCGTTTTCCTCATGCGGCTTTGGCTGTTTCCCTTCATTTACCTTCCGTTTCCACTAAAAACAGTTTTGGAACGTAACTCTATTATGCGTATATATATGCGTATGTACATATACGTACGCGCGCGCACATAGTTGTCATGGAAAATCAAATCGAAAGATGATATAATCGTGTATAATTAGTGAAAATAGCGGAAAGATTATTAATATCACATGTTTATCTCAAAAAGTGCGCATATCAGCGCATAAAACTCATGTTTATCGTTTATTTATTAACTCATGTATATAGAACGTTAAATAATTATTGATGTATGATATTTTGAAGTTATAAAGTAATTAATATTTTTCAATGTATAATTTTTCAATGTATAATGTATAATATTGCATAATCTATTGTCGAATTAATATAAATAATAATTGTAAATATCGCATTTTGCATTATATTATCATCAAAATTATGAATAGACATTATTATCAGTCTTATTAAATTTTATGTTTAATTGAGGAAAATGGTCGTTGCAGCAAAAGCGGCAGATTTTTCGAGAGCAAGTGCTACCAGCATTGGGTGGTAAGATTCCAGATGAAGCTTTCAAAACAGATCGCTTGGCGTTAAATCGATTAAACAAAGAAGGTATTACTATACCGGATGGTATCGTCTTAGATGCTCGGCACGTTCATAAACATCCTCATTCCGATCAAAGAATGCCAACAGAAATAATTAAGGCATGTTTGTATATATTATTAATTACAAAATAATACGTTAATTACAAAATATAAGTTTTTATCAAATATTTCGAACTATTACCTTTAATTATTTTATTAGATTTTAATATAAATTTCACATAGTTAATGATTCATTGATTCTAATCAAGGTTTATCTAACATCAGACGGTCGATATGTATCGCCGGAAGGCCAGTCTTATAATCATCCGAAAACCATCGATACAACTTACATTATACGAAGACCGTTTATGCACACAAATTACCAAATGTCGAACAATTTCGAAAACGTTAAACTCCGAAGTTATCCAAAGCCACAGATCTATTCGAATTATAGACAATTTGTACCAATTGTACCACCTGTCAAATCGGATATTTACAAGTCTATTATAACACCTTTAATTCTACCGATTAATAAAGATTTGTTTAATTTACCAAGCTGGAGCTTGAGTTATGATTGGGATACCGTATACGAACCATTTAATGATTATTTTGTTAATAACATCGCACTCTTCAATTCGCATCAGGTAATGTCTTATATTAATAATTACTTTTATCGTATTACAATTCTATCTTCTATAAAATGTTAATCCTATATATATGTATGAATATATGTGTCTGAATATGAATATATTTATGTGTGTGTGTGAATTTAACATTAAATTTTTAACTTAAATGTAAAAATTTTATATATGTATCATAATAAAATTTTTATATTTAAATACAAACCATGATGCATTTTTTATGAATAAGTATTTAAATAATTAATCATGTTGTATATAAAGCATAAAATTATTATTTGTAAAGTATCTTAAATCTGTAAAAAATATTGGATTATGTGCATTCTCGATTAAATATTTTAAAATTTCTATTGCTTTACTTTAATCAATTTTTTTGTAAGCATCATATTTATTATAATAGATACACACATATATTGTTCATTTATATAATATAGCATATAGTTTTAAATAATATAATAATGGAAGAATGTACTACATAATATATTAATATAGTATTATATAATATAGTATATATTATAGTATACTATAGTATACTATATTATAATATATTATAGTATTTTATATTTCTTTATACAATTTCTTTATATTTATTGCGCACGCGCGCACGCATATTGCCAATTGTTGCGTATTATTTTAAACTAATAATGACACATTCTTTAATAGATTATCGAGGATTATCAAGGATTCCTTAATAAATTTCATAAACGATCTTTGAGACATGTAAGCTCAAAAAGTGGCAACATGAATCATCAAGAGCATCACCAAGTTCGAAGGTATCAGGATTTGAAACTTTCGCCAATACTTTATCAAAAAGTCATCTCGAATATCGCTAATTTTCACAATTCTGCTTATGCAAGTATACCAGAAACCAGTTTTTCTTGCCTTGAGAAGAAGGAAAAATTCATCAACATCGAAACCAACTGTCAAGTAAAACTAACTCGCCTTAGCGAAGCCTAACTTAGCTTTCCTTTTATATTTTTCATGCATTTTATCTTCCAAATAAAAAAAATGAGATCTCTAAATTACAAACTTAAATTAAATGAAGGATATAAATAGACAAAAATTTTAAATTTTAACTAAAGTAAAACTCTTCGAATTAAATGTTATATATATATATATATATATATATATATATATATATATATATATATACAAGATATTCTAAATCGTCCAAAAGATTTAAAGAGATTTTTATTCAATTATGTTATATTACTTTATTCTCCTATTATGTAAGTATTTCAAACTGCATATTTCAATGCACAAGAAACATTTTACTCACATTTACATGATAAATTTAAAAATATAAAATTTCTTTTTGGAAAGTGTATTTTATGTATATATATATATATATATATATATATATATGTATGTATGTATATATATATACATATATGTAAATTATAATTGTAAAATATAATAATAATTATATAAAAAGTTATATAAAAAATATATCTCTTATGAGAAAGAAAATGCTGTTTTTACTTTTGCTATAAAATTTATACAACATGTATTTTGCTATAAAGTCTATATAATAGGTATATATTAAATATTGCAATATTCCATCGCATTAAATTTTACTGATAGTATTTATGATTAAATATTACGATCTGCTTTTTACAAAAAAACGCTGGAACTGTCTGCAGTTTTTGACTTACGTAAAAATTAGCAAAAAATATATATGTAATTAAAACATCAGATTTTTAGTTTTCTAGCGAAATAAAAGATTTATTTTCTCTTATAATAATATTAGCATCAGTATCTTGTATTAAAGAATAAATTAGACAAAATTTCGTTTTATACATTTATTTATAATTCATTAAATTACGTCGAATATCATTAATAATCGTCAGCAACATAGTTTCGACAGTCATCTAAATTTTTGTTGTACGATTAACTGATGTGCATCTTATTAATGGAAGGGGCTCGATGTCTTGTGTTACGTGTAGTTTAGACTTTCTCTTTCTCTATGTGACATAATTTCTCATATATCTAGCAACGCAACTGAAACTGGGTCCAGTTTCGTTCATATTCAAACTCAGTGCAGACATGCTAAGAAATTGGCAAGATATCCTTTCCGTTTTGTTCGCCACCATACTGGTAACGTTCTGTTCGGCTATCGTACAGGTATGTATACATCTCAATTCTACTAAACAAAAATAATACTTTGTTGTATAAATTTCTTAGAAAATATACAATATCTAAAATTTAAGCTATATCTATTGAACAATTCTAACATATAGTTTTTTATTTAAAGCAATCTTTTTACTTATATTGTGCATTCCTTTCTAAAATTTTAATGTAATATGTGTGTTATAACAATATGATAAGGTACAATGTGTACAATGTACAATGTGTTATAACAATATGATAAGGAATATCTCTGAGACAAATTTATTTCACAGAAATTACCTTATAAAATATTATTTAGTTTTGATTTAAAAAGATATTAATTTTGGAAATTCTTATGCCTTGCAAATGTTTAAAAAAAATTGAAAATGTTTTAATAAATAAGTGTTTCTTCTTTTGTAGATTATTGATTATTGCTAAATAATTGTATTGATGTGTAATTGTGTAATATGTGTAAAATAACTTATCAAATTGTGAAGTATGAAATATTACTAATCGTAAGTGTGATTATATATTTTTGCAATATATATTACGATTCATACGTAGATAGAATTAAAAATAACTAACAATAAGTAATATTTGTTATTAACAATGACATATATATATATATATATATATATATATATATATAAAATACACACACATATTACATTACACTATATGTATATGCGTTTCGAAATTCATCAATACCTCATGTAATCTTGTACATAATAATTTTTTATCTTTAGAAAAAAGTTTAAATTAAGTTGATTGAATTAAATTAATTTCTTTCATAATATGAAAAGTAAAAATAGTATGAAGAACATTCTTGGCTTTGGATAAATCAAGGCAATATTTCGTGAAGGTTCGTTACACTCTACTGAATTTAACAAACTTTTTCTAAACTATGAAAAAAAGCGAATTATATGTGATCTAATCTCTCTCTCTCTCTCTCTCTCTCTCCCCTCTCTCTCCCCTCTCTCTCCCCTCCCTCTCCCCCCCTCTCTCGGAAAAAACTTATTTTTTACTATATATATATATATATATATACACACACAATTTTATCAATCTAACTTTATATTTCAATTTTCAATTTTAAATGTCCCTGTGAATATTTTTTATACTTTATACCTCATGTTATTGTGCTTTGTCAATAATGTTAATGACAGATTTCTATCAATTTTTATAAATGGATTAGAAACAAGTACCGGTGGATGATTATTACGATGAGTATCAAAATTTTCAACCAGTAGTAGGATTTCGCCGACCCATTGTTGTAAAAGAAGAGTTGAAGAAAGAGCAGGACTTGAGCAAAATTCCTGGAATTCCTGGAGTGGATTATCCCATTTACCATGTAGTGCCGCCTACAAGTTTTTCTTGCGCATATGTTCCGATTATACCAGGAATGTACGCAAATGTAGAAACTGGTTGTCAGGTACATATTTATATATACATACATACATACATATATATATATATATATATATATATATATATATATACACATATACAGAGTGTCAGGGCAATCTATTCCCAAAAAAACTCTTGTAACTTACCTCGAGAGCTTTTCAAAACATAATAAAGTATTTTTTTATCGAGTACTTTTTGGGTTATAAAGTTTGAAATAATTTTTTAATTTTTATATAAATCATAAAATGTCTAGTAAAATATTCATTTTGCTAATTGTTAATTGCAAATTATATATTTTTTCTTCGAAACAATTATGTGTTTTCTTTACACCAATTGATTCCTCTTACTATTTTGTACATAAAAGTATTAAAGTAAGATAATCGAAAAATAAATATTTTATTAGATATTTTATGATTTATGTAAAATTAAGAGATTATTTCTTCATATCTCAAAAAGTACTCCGTGAAAAAAATACTTTATTATGGTGTTTTGAAAAACTCTCGAGATAAGTTACAAGAGCTTTTTTTGGGAAGAGATTGCCCTGACATCCTGTATAGATACTTTTTTTCTTTATTTATTTATATTTTATATTTAACAAGTTTTAAAACTAAAATTAAAAGATCAGTAGTAAAATTAATGCTTTATACACAGTTAATTCTACTATTGATTTTCTCAAATTTTGCTATATGTATCTTCATTACAAAAATTTTAATAATTCTTTCATCTTGAAAATATCTACAAAAGAAAAATTTGGTGTTACTTATCTTTTATAAAAATATAGAGAGCAATAAATATTAAATCAAATACATTTATTTCGATAAATAAAATATTAAAGAACGCGTACGGTATGCGCATACCATTTAATTCTTCTTTCTGTATATAAATATATGAATAATATAATTATATACATAAATATATTTAAATATATAATTATGTATGGAATGAAACTTATTGTAGATACATTATGTACAATAATGCAATTCTTTATCAGTTCCTTTCATGTTATTAATTAGATTATACAATATTTTATATATGTATAATTATATATAATTAATTTTATAATTACATACCAACAACTGTTTCTTCTTTCTTCAAACAAACGAAAACCAATACAGGAAGTATTCTTTATTTTTATATTGCTTTATTCTTAAATATTTGTACATCATGATTGTTAATTAATAACTCTCATCATCATCATCATATCATAATATTATATATAATTACATATAACCTATTTTTTTTCCTTTTTTCAATTTTAATTTTAAAAAATCAATGCAAAAAGTATTTTTTATCTCCGTATTTCTTTATTACTGAATATTTGTGCATCTTAATTTAATCACTACATTATATTATCATCATCAGCATTTTGCTTCTTTACATCTCTCTCTCTCTCTCTCTCTCTCTATATATATATATATATATATATATATATATGTATCCTGTATATATATATATATATATAGAGTATGTATATGTATCCTGTATATATATATATATATATATATATATATATATATATATACAGGATATCTCAAAATCATCGAATGTTTTTTTTAATAAACTATCCATAAAATTATAATGAAAATATTTTCTTTTCTTAACTAGAATGTCATGTACATGTTGAAAATAACTTATTAACATATTGCTCTCTCTTCCTTACTTCCATTTTTGTATATACTTTTAACAATATATTTATAAAATGCTTTTGCGTGTTACGCACTTTGCTAAATTTCTATACAAAACTGATGACGCTGTTTTCAAAGTAAGAAAAAATCACTGATTTTAATGTAACATGAACGGACGAAGTAGAACGGATTTATTATGTAAGAGAACAGGCTGGCATTATTAAAACTTCAAGGCAATGCGGGAATAAGGACCAATCTTGCATTGGTGAAAGACAAACTCTATAAGAGAACAGTCTCGGCAAATTGTTGTCATAATTGAGCTTGATTCAACCTCTCTCAATGTATCAAATGTATGCGCAATGTAATTTTGCCTTTATTTAACAATTTTTAACATTTTGAAGAAGATATTGTACACTTTGAATAAATTATATTACCTTTGATGTTTGCATTTATATAATATAAAGCGTGAAAACGATAATTATCATGAAAATATAACAAAATAAGTTATTGCTAATTTCTATATAAATAATAAAATGCAATAAATGTATATAAATGTCATAACGTATATGTAAATGTGTATGTCATAAATGTATATAAATGTCATTACGTGACTAAAATGTTTCGTCATGCATCGTAACTTGATTTCCAGAGCTAAACTTTCCTCCTCAAGAATATCATTCTCTTCCTCTATATTTTCTTAAGATTTATTTCTTTTTACTATATCGTGTTAAATATTTTTACCAAACTTTCACAACATGTTTCGTATTAATTTCTTAATTATCATATTTATATAACAATAAATTATTATCTTTTGATTCTATTAATTTATACCGAATAATTTTGTATATAAACATCAAAATTATAAATGCTAAAAAAAGAAAACACTTATTAAATGTATCAAACACATTATTAAATCTATCAAAATCCTGTTTTCAAATATTTATGTAATTTTTAATTTTATGTATTTAATTTTATGTATATCAAACTAATATTATTGTAGGCATATCACATTTGTCACGATGGACGTGAAGGACATCAGGGTGCTTCCTTCTTATGTACCAATGGAACACTTTTTAATCAACATGAATTTGCATGCGATTGGTGGTACAATGTTAATTGTGCTAATGCACCATCGTTTTATAGGTAAATCTTTTGGAAATGTTTAATTTGGAATAATTGCAACAGATATATATATTAATAAAATTATTAAGAAATATATATATATTATTGTAACAATTTTATAATCGAAAATTTGTTGAAATTAAATATAAAATTAATCCATTAAATATAAAATCTAATAGTAAAAAGTGGCATTATTTTACGTATTTGATATTAATCTAATATTAATCTAATCTAATAGTAATCTTATATATATATATATATATATATATATATATATGAGTGTGCGTATGTATGTAGTGATGCAATATTAATCTGTTTTTTTCTTTCTTTTTTATGTTTGTAGACTAAATGCAGATCCATTAAAAAATCCATATGTACCAAAGGAGACAAAGGACGAGATTCGAAAAAGATTGAAGATTGTTGTATTTTAAATATAATTAGTTGAATAGCTATTTAATTATAGATCTATACAATTTACCATTTTTACATATAAGTATTAATTATAATTGTTTCATTACATTCAGCGGTATCACGAAACAAGCTATATGTAACATTTATGAAAAAATGTGAAAAAATATTAATATTAATTAAAATAAGCAATAAAAAATTGTTTAATTCTTTAGATATTTTGATTTGAATTGTCAAGATATATGTATACGAATATCAAAGTTGATATCATAATAATTATCTGTTCGCGTATTCTCTTAACACGTTCCATGCCGAATCAATTTTAGATGACTTTCTGTGCCGGATCGATTTTAGATGATTTCCTGTTCCCCACATTGTCAGGACTAATAGTTTTGTTAATGTATATTCATTCCAATATTTATAATACTACAAAAATCATAATTATGATAAAAAGATATATAGAAGTTAAGATACACTATATAAAAAAAGCGTAAACGGAAAGTTTAGAATGGGACATATACGACCCATGCCGCATGAAATATGTTAAATATAATGTCAATAATTCATAATATGCATCTAATTATTGAATTGTGCTACCGGCACGAGAAACTTTCGACGAAATCTCACCAAAACTTCTTCGCTTTCACAAGGATAACATTCATCGACAATGGTTATGTCTCGATGATCACATATCCGATTGCCATTAATTATTTTACGGAAAGGATGAAAGCCGTAGATAACGATTTAAAGCGAGGATTGTTTGCAAATGGTTTTATTAAATAAATGATAAAAATATCGTAGATATTTATTCTTTTCCATAAAATAAATTAAATGATTATCAAAAGACGCAATTATGGATTATGATAAAAAAATTCTAATAACATATCCATTGATTGAATTTAAATAATTTTATCATAATTTAGAATCTAGTAATTAAGAATTGTTTACGAAATATCTGTATAATAAATTTATTAAATAAAACGTGATTGTAGATTTTTGCTAAGTATTATTAAATTTAAGTATAAAATTGCTAAGTATTATTAAATTTAATTAAAGATATATACATATATATATATATATATATATATATATATATGAATTAAATATTGAAAATATATTCAGGAAGAGAGGGAAACTTGATCCCAAACTCTTGCGAAAATCAGAAAGAGTGTTGGTACCTAATGGGAAGTAAAGTCAAGGACGTTACCTGGCTCGCTTTCGTTATCGAAAGGCTGTGAACGCACAGCAGAACGGTTGCATGAAGGCGGATAAGAATTGCCCTTTCCTCTAGGACGTTTGAAGATAATAATGAAGTAGATAATGATAGATAGGTCAATCACGCAACACACCGTCTCGAACCGAACTATAACGTTCTCTATGATTTTATTCGATTTCTTCAACAAACGAACAAACAGACTTATAAAGAGATAATACAGTACAATACATTTTGAGCTTTAATATCATATGACTTGAATAATACAACAAATATTAAAAAATCAAGCGTTTTAAAAATATTAAAAGAAATTTTAAACTAGATATATATAAGTAAAATGTATCAAAGTATATTATAAAAAAGAAACAATTCTATAATTTGTTCTCTTAATATATTTAGAGTTAATGCACGGTATTTACTATATATATATATATATATATATGTGTGTGTGTGTGTGTGTGTGTGTGTGTGTGTGTGTGTGTGTGTGTGTGTGTGCGTGCGCGTGCGCGTGTGCGTGTGTGTGTGTGTGTGTATGTGTGTGCGTGTGTATGTGTGTATGTGTGTATGTATATATATATATATATATATATATATATATATATTGGCATTTTTCTAATTAAAAATTGAATTATATGTGTGCAAAGGTGCAATCACATCAAATTACATAATCATGAGTACTATAATATATTATGAACGCGAGCATGGGACAATCGTGTTTAATCATTATGCATGTTTATCATTACGTTGACTTGACGTAACATTCGCTTTTATTCATCCATCTTGTGACGGTTACATTGTAGAAAGAATTGTCGTCTTCAATAATAATAGTCCGTTATAATATTGTATTCAATTGTGTAGCATGAAATATAAAGTAATGAAATATAGAGTTTACAAAAAATTCAAGTAAATATTATTGCTTACATATTTTATGTTATATATAAGATATACAAATATTTGTAAAAATTATGGTGGTTGCTCCTCATAGAAACTGTAGAACTGAGCAGAGAATGTATTTTAAAGACATATTTTAAAAACTAATATATTTAAATTCAAGATAATAAATTACATAAATACAACTATACAACTAAATAAATAATTATGAAAATGTCTTGTAGTTTAGATCATGTATCATTTTTAATGTTTTGTTAATATATGTGTTGATAAAAAAACATATCAAGAAACTGTTTAAATAAAATTTTCGTGCATTAAATCAACAAACATGCGAGTATATATTTTCATTAATTATGATGTATAATGAGACAAGATTACTATAATAATAAATAAATTATTATTATACCAGTGTTTTTATGTATAGTTTCATATATAAACATTTAACATTAAACAAATTAATATACGCAATGTTGCGCCATTGAAAAATGTCGAAGAAAAGATTTTAGTGAAATTTCTTACATTTATTCGATATCACAATTTCGCTGCAAAAATTATTGTGATATCAAATAAATATAACGTACGGCACAAAGAAAGAGAGAGAGAGAGAGATAAACATGTACACAATCAAATAAAAAAAAACAGCTAACAATATAAAAACTTTTATATAAAATGTAATTAATGTAATAATAAGTACTATGTAAAATTTTATTAAGAATCAATATAATGTAGCAAAAATCTTTTTAAAAAATATTAACGCATTAAAACAAAAATTATAATTTTCACATAGGTTTCTTAAATGAATAAAATTTCATTTATAAATGTATACAAGATAAAAAATAAATTTTTTTTATATTTTTAAATAATTTCAATGTAGCTAGAAATTCGAGTTCTAAGACTTATTCTGTACAGATAAATAAATAAATAAATAAATAAATTTTACACACACACACATATATGTAGCATAATTTTATAACAAGTTGAGATAAATTCATAATGAGATATGTTAATAATAAAGTCCAATTATACAAATACAGGAATAATTTATGACAAATATATATTAAGCACATCTCAAATATGTGCGATTAACTTTCGTTTCTATCATTTATCAAACAAATCATAGTTAAAAACTTAAAGTAGGTACAATTATCAATTAATACGTTAAAAATAACTTTTTCTAAGTTTTTCTCCGTTGTAGAATAAAACACCTTTCAAAATGTAATTAGAAAGGAGCGCGTAAAATCTGTTTGACTAATTTATGTAGAAATAGTGTATGCCTCCATCGATTATTGTCATTTATGTTTCGGTTACAATGTTTATTTATCCTGAATGATTGATAAGTCATTGATCAAGTTTTGAAAATGTATATATGTTTTGTAAAATATGTGTCACTACGCGAACAATATGATAAATATAATCAGGTCATTTCCGGTTATATGTTACAGTATTGCGCGAATGCAGTTGCCTGATATGCATGAAATGATATTTGCTAAATGTCATGTGCTTGAATAACGAGATGTCGTATATTAGATAAGCGTGCAAATATCAAAATAATCTTTAATTTAATAATGATTAGTCTCTCCCTCTCCCTCTCCCTCTCTCTCTCTCTCTCTCTCTCTCTCTCTCTCTCTCTCTCTCTCTCTCTCTCTCTCTCTCTCTCTCTTCTCTCTCTCTCTCTCTCTCTCTCTCTCTCTCTCTCTCTCTCTCTCTCTCTCTCTCTCTCTCTCTCTCTCTCTCTCTCTCTCTCTCTCTCTCTCTCTCTCTCCCTCTCCCTCTCTCCCCCTCTCTCCCTCCCTCTCTCTCCCTCCCTCCCTCTCTCTCTCTCTCTCTCACTCTCTCCCCTCTCTCTCCCCCTCCCCCTCTCTCTCCCCCTCTTTCTCTCTCAAATTTGCGCTCACGACATTACAATATATGAATTAAGTAGTGAATGATTAATAAGATTAAGATATATTTTATGAAACAGACAAATTAAGAGCATTAAAAAACTAACATTAAACATTTATCAAAGCGCATCAATAATAATTAAATAACATCAGAATGAAAGAAAATTAGTTTATGATTATATATTCAAATTATGTAATCTGTCGTTGAAATATATATATATATATATATATATATATATATATATATATATATATCTGACCCGCTGAGAATAACACCTCGATAGAGTCTTGCTTTCTCAATTTACAATTTACTCTAATTAACATCAACTCAAGACAAAAATCAAATTATTAAACAAAAATATTATTATATGTACATATTAGACAATAACAAACAGACATATAAGATAATAACGAACATTTAGTATAATTGTGATTTTTTTCCAGATTTGCACATAGTAAAGAAAAATATATTATAATAATATGTATTTAATACACTTAAAATGTTAAAGTATCTTTACATATTATATGCTTACGGCTAATAAACAGAGTAGAGACTGCAATGCAAAAACATGTTGACATCACCAACAAAGGCACGCAGTGTGCCACAATATTGTAAAAAAATCAGACACTGATATCTAGATTGGATGCCGATGTGTTAAATAATTTTTATTCTTAAAAGTTTCTCATTTTTTATAATTGATTTTTACAATTTAAAATATATCTGAAGTTTGCACGAATAAGCATTGACATTAAGAAATATAAAGATGTGTTTTAAATTCTTTTTGTTAGCTTAGAGTTATATCTTTTACTGTGTATGTGTGTGGGGGGGGGGGGTGTAAAAATATATATATAATATAAATTTATTCACGACGAATTATTTAATGATAAATCGAAAAGATTTAGGAAAAAAGACATATGTTCATATTTAATATTATATCTAGTTTATTTTTCCTACAGTCGATTCCGTTTCCTGTGACAGTTCGTAACCAGCAAAGCAATCGCATTTGTATTGTATAATATTCTTTCGTATGCACTTAGTCACACTAGCTCGCGTGCATATATTGTATATGCGTTATAAATTTAATATACAACGTGAATTTATACAACATATGATGCGCGTTATAAGAAACGTCTGCAGATGGATGCAATCATATAATGCTTAATATAATTGTAAAATAATTCTAGACATTAAGCAATTTTAAAAATCAAACAAGAAGAATCGTGAAATTACACATCTACGTTAAATATTATTTAAGTATATCTACATTAAGTATTATTTTATTATTTACTGCATTGGTCTTTAATACTAGCGATCACTCGTTAACACTCATCGTTACATTTCGCATTTCATAACAAAAGTAATTTCGGTTAAAATTTTTCAAGTGTGCGTCTGATAATTGAAGCTGATGAAAATGAAGAAGGCTCTATTGCCGGGCCTGCATATATAATAATGTGCACTTGAGTGCACAACATGCCATGGAAAAGTGACGGATAGGAGAACCCCACCTAATCCGGATTGTAGGCACGGCCTTTCTCCTCGGTCTATAAAGCCACTAGAAATTCACATTTACTCAACATTCCCTCAACGCTCTGTCACTTATTTGCTCTCACCATGTGGCTGCTTATTTTTACAGGTGAGTGCAATATATTAACGAAAGGAGAATAAAATTTTTTTGTAGGCTATTTTTCTATAAAAGTGCTTATGATTCATTGTTTTTACTGTTTTTTTCATCTTTCCTGTGAACAATACTTTGCAAAGTGTATGATAAGTGTGCGACGATATTTTACGCGTGTGTTTCTTATTATGAAGCGTATATGTGAGCTTTGTGCGAAAAAAATGGATCTGCTATTAAATGAAAGCTTTTGCGAAAAGTTTGAAAAATATATTCGGATTCTTTTTTATAGTGTTTTTTATACATGAAAAGTACAAGAAATTCGCAAACTTTGCTTTTACATTTTTTTATAAAAATTATATATGTACGTTTCAAATGTATTTTTAGTTAAAATTGGTTACGTAGATAAACCTTTTGCAGAGATTTTATGTACCACTTATATTATAAAAATTTTGTATGTTTTGTACTTGTAAATATATTAAACACGTTTTATTAAGACATATAAATAAATATATATATATATATATATATATAAATATATATATAAATATATATATATAAACTGTTAGAATTTAAAATTAATAGTTAGGAATTTAGCTCAAATAAATAAATCAAAATTGACCCATAAGAGCTACAGCGCCGTAGTTGGAGCGCAGCGAAAAAATAACACTTCCTTTTTATCATATATATATATATATATATATGTATATATATATATATATAAAATTGTTGATTTATTTCAAACTAAAAACTACAAAAATAACGGGCGATCGTTTCAGATCGTCTTTTAATGTTAAAATTTATTAACTGTGGCATAGCTAACGCAATGATTGTCAATTTTAAATTAAAAATTATATGTTTGCGTGTATATGTATGTTTAAATTTTGATACATTGATAATATAATCTTGAATTAAAATAAACACGCGCGCGCACGCGTACGGGCGTGTGTGTGTATAAACATAATTTTAATATTTTAAAAATTATGTTAATAATTAATACTTTATACATTTTACTTGATACAGAAGTTCTGTAAATGAAAAATAATGCATGATGAAAGAAAACTTTACAAAAATGGATATCGGCATTTTTTATTCGATAATAGTCAATCCGTTTTTAAAATTTGTAAGTGATAGCTGATTCAATTCAATTATAATGAAAGTCAAAGATGTATAAATGTATGATAAATGATTAGTGAATTATATTAACTTTCCAGGTTATTGGCCAATTGTACTTCCGGTGTATGCATTATACTTATGTAAAATTAGCATTACACTTTACATAGTAAAGTTTTCATTTATAGATTCCAAAAATCATCTACGTCTTCTCATATTTTAAGATTTGTAAAATTTATAATTTATAAAATCAGTGGAATTATTTTACAGTTAATAAAATTTTTTACAACATTATTTATATACATATATATAATAAGTTTGCATTAATACATCACTATTCTTCTCTATTAATATATCCACCGAACTAACACAGAAGTAACTGAAATATTATCGAATTTTAATTAATCTTAATACAATATAATTACTATGCTCAACTGTAGCAATATATCTCGACAATGTTAAATTAATAGAAAGTTATTCTTTTGATATACGTTCACAGAGATTGCATACAGCAACCTTTCAATTTCTACTCGATACGTTTTGTTCCATAGTTTTATTCTTTTTTATGAGTTTTTTCATAATTCTTTCATGACATCGATACAAATCATCTTTCTCATAATGTAAGATTATCGGATTTTCTCACCTTTGAAAAGATGTATGTAATGATGATTGCACATAAAGCCGGAAGTTATCTTCCTCTCTCTCTCTCTCTCTCTCTCTCTCTCTCTCTCTCTCTCTCTCTCTCTCTCTCTCTCTCTGTGCGCGCGCGCTCACAATTTCTTTATATAGAATAAAAATTTCAATTCATATTTCATGATTTTTCACGACAAGAAAACTTAAGAAACATTTACTTTCTATATATTTTTCATGTCGACGCGGTATTATGAGAATAGCAAGATACACATATGCGTATGTGTATCTCAAATTGATATCATTCAATATTCTTGAATTTGTAAATATAGCTTATATTTAAAATTAAAATGTATATATTTATTTAAAAAATTTTTTAATACTTACTAGCAAAATATTATTTATAATATATATATCATCAATATATATCATAAATATGGCATGACAAGGACAAAAAATCTTATGCTTGTATCGCCATCGATTGAGAAATCCGCATCAAATGTATTGCAAACGAATGGTATCACCTTTCTAACCAATTCACAATTCGGTTACTATGGTTACAGCAACCAGCTTGCAAATTGAAAGTAGTAGAAAGGAAGGTACTTTCATACACAAGTATAATTATAAGTATGATTAGAAATGGAAATTTTATTAAGTATGAAAATATATTTAAAATTTTTTTTCATATTGTTGTTTTATGTCAAGGTAATGTACGTAAAAAAATTAAATATTGAAGCTATGGACGTAACTCTCATATACCACTTATATATTTACACACACAAACACACACACATATTATTCGAGCGAGCCAGATATGTGTGAGTAATGTACGGTAACCCGTAATTGAGACGGAAGTCTGCGCGTAGCTAGAACGAAAGCTAGAACGAAAAGTGAAAACTGTTAGTAATAATATACGACAATATATGTTGATGCAACGCTCTACGTATACCATTTTTAGAATATTTCAGTCAAGGCTATTTCACAATTTTTGTTTTTTAAACATACTTTTCTTTTTGTTCATCCAATCTTATAAAATATTTAGATAAGCAACATAGTTTATTTACCTATTAAAATATGAAACTTTTATGAAGTATAAAGATTTCTTTTATATTTTATTTTGAATCATTAAAGACTATTATTAGTATGTTTCAACATTTCGCATTATACAAAATATTGAACATAAATAAAGAATATAAAAAATGGAGAGAGAGAGATTTGATAAGTATATAATATATCTCTTATCTTGTACGTTGAATTTTATTAGATATTCTTCTATATAATAAAAATTTTTCTAAAATCAATTTTTAATTAACTTTTTTCCCTAGTCATCTATTTGCAAGATTCAATTTAAAAAGAATGCTATTTTAAAATATAAAATTTAATAGAATATTTATCTAGACATTTCTTTGCCATAATAAAATCAAAATATTATACTGTCTTGAGAAATATCTTTATGTCAATTCAATTGTACATACAAGAAAAAGTATCCGAAAATGAAATGTCGAATTTCGCATTGTTCCAATTGCACCTAACTAATTTCATTTCTTATCCGACATAGTTCGAACAGATTGACTCTAATGCCATGGTTTTGAGAGACGACACGTGTTCATACAATGTTGATCAAACATTTATTTAATGATAATTATATTGTATCAATTAAACAAAAAGGAGAAAAAAATTAGCGATTCCAAATTTCTTTAAAAAAGTATTAAATTTGCATGTATATTGATGTAATCTAAAGCGTCAATATTTCTATAGATATATTTGTATTGCTTTCTTGCTTTCTTACAAGACTACATATCATTATTTTTAATTATATATATATAAAATTATATTATTGGCTAATATATATATATATATATATAATTATATTTATTGGCTTATATATATATATATATATAAGCCAATAAATATAAGCCAATAAGTTATCTCCGTACATCTGTTTTTAAAATCGATGAATAATTAATGTAATACGTTATGGCAAATACATAATTTAATTTAACACTAAGATACATGTTTTTATGCAAACTTTAAGATACATAAACACGTAATCGTAAAAGATTTACAACTTTTACATTATATACATTGTCAATGAAATCATTATTCTTAGATATAATTATTATTTAAATATAATGCGGTATCATATGAATTATAAGTAAAGAAAGATGGAAAAGAAAAGCGGGAGGAAGCAAGCAGGAAATGGAGAAAGAAAGAAAGAGAGAAAGAAAGAGAGAGAGAAGTAAAGAAAAAAGGCATAGAAAGTTCTGACTTTGTACATGGCTGTACTCTTCTCATGTGCACAATGAGAACATTAGACCGCATTTCCGATGTTACGCAAATATAATGGTTTGAAGCGCAAAGGAGGTCAGATAATTAATATTTTTATGTGGGAGCTCTACCGAGAGAGAAAGAGTTCGTTAATTAGAAAATATATTTTTTCTCTCGATACGTTATCATATATCAATCTTACAATTGTCCAATATGACAAGATCCAATTAGAGCAATGTCCAAGCCATAGTTTATTAATTATAAGGCTAAAAAAATATTTTTGTAATAAATTCTATATAGTCTTGTTTAAGATGTAAAGACAATGCTGATATAAAGATCTGTTTAAGATATGCATATAAACTATTAGTATAAAATATTTATAATTCGTTGATTGTTGGTATTGAACATTTTTATATTTCAATTCTCGCTAAAAAAATCATTTTTGCTCATTTAAAGCGTTTTGCTCTTTATTTTTTAAAAATTATGTAATTTGATAATTATTATCACAAGTTTTTAAAAATTGTGTACTTTTTGATAATTATTAAAAACAAAAACATATTAACCCAACGCATTAATTTTGTATATAATAAATAGATATCTAACAAAATTTTGATAGTACAATAATATATAAAAATGCTGAAGTAATTAGAGTAATATAATAATATCATTATCGAATAATATTAGATGAAAGATTAAAATATACTTTATACAAATATACATACTGTACATATACAAAATAGATTTTCCAATTTTTGAATTCTGGTTACAGAATATAACAGAAAAAGATAGTACAGCAGAAAATAGAATATTTTCGTATTAAATAAATTGCTATCTGCAATGGTTATAATTAACATTTTCACAGCAGAGATGCAAAATCCGCGAAGCGTTAATTAGGTAAGATTTGTTAATCGTGCCGGCGCGCGCTCGCGGAATGACGGATATTACTTAACCGCACCTTCCACCTAAGGACGCGTACGTAGTATTACTCAACGCAGGAAAAATTACTCACATCCGCGGAATCTCACAGACTAACAAAGGAAGGAAAGCTGACCAGACTGCGTATGCGCTTTCCTCTGTTAAGTAATTTCAAAAGGATCTGCACGATCGCGTCCAAACGTAGTAGTTACGGAAATAAGAACAATACTACGAGATGTGTGCTTTTTCTCTCTAATTATATTATATTTTTATAATAAAATCTTTGAAAAATTTGGTGTAATACATATTCGTTTTTATAATAAAAATTTTGAACACACACACACACACACACACACACACACACACATATATATATATATTGATTAATTAAAACTGTTTATTTTTTTATCTTTTTACGTCACAGAAACGTCTTTTTAATTATACATATATCAAATTTTGTGGAAAATTAATTAAAATTTGATTTAATGGATTTAGCCTTTAATAGATACTTTCCATTTAGCGAGCTTTTCATTTATCTTTGTTCACTGATTTTGAAAAAGAACAGAATGACGCTTGTGTTGACTTGTATCGCTAAATGGAAAACATTTAATCAGCATTAAAAATATTAAAATAATTTTTTAAAAACTTTTTTAAAAAAGATTAAAACACATCATGAGAAAGTGTCACATATTGATAATTTTATAATTATGCAATTTATTAAATTAATTAGAAAAGAGTTTATTTAAACTAGCCAGAAAACATTTATTAATGATTAATCATTCTTTGTAAATTTTAAGTACTTGTAAGTGAACACTTATTTTTTATTTTTACATTAATGATTTACAATTTCAATTAAAAATCGTCTTTATAAAGAAAAATTAAAAAAGAAATTCTTTATATTGCTTAATTATTTTTGCTATTATACGAAGTAATAATATGCATTCAATATATATAATATATATATACATACAGCAGATAGACAAAGTAATGAGAATATCTGAAAAATAAATATTAAAATAATATTTGTTTATTAATAAGATATTAGACATTCGTCTTTAATACAGCTTCAATTCTTCTTAGAATAGAATCATTCAATTTTTTAATATATATTCTATTCTTTCATATTTTTTAATGAAATATTGTCCCATTCTTCTATTAAATATAATGTCATTTTTCAATATGATGACGCACACAGCACCTACACACAGCTAGAGAACTTTAGTCTTGGCTTAAAGCAGCGTCAAAATGAACTTCAACATGTTTTCTGACATAATTATCCGATTTAAACATCATCGAACCACTGTAGATAGTTTTGGAAAAGAGAGTGAGAAACGGATATCCTTCTCGTCCTCTCTGAAACAATTGATAGATATTTTGATAAAAGAATGGGATAATATTCCACTGGAGACTATTCAAAAATTGTAGAATTCTATTCCAAGGAGAATTGAGCTGTATTAAAGGCAAATGCCCCTTATTAATAAATAAATATATATAGTATATTTTTCAGGTTTTCAGGTTATTATTTTATCTACTCCCTGTACATATATATATATATATATATATATGTACACACACACACACACACACACACACACACAAAATAGCGATGTATGTGTATCAAGCTTAAAATCTGACAAATCTTAATTAATGTAATTTAAATGTAAATAATTTCTCATAATATGTTTTGTCACAGACAATATAGAAATGTGCACAATATAAAAATATTTACTGTTATATTAATGAAGAAAACGCTTAAAAATTAAATGTTATATATAATGTGCTAAATATAATGTATTTCACAATTTATGAACAAACTATTTATAAATTTAACATATTGATCTTTATTTCTTTCAACGATGACGAGACGCTTGAAAACATTGAAAGCAAAATCCGTGGGAAGAGTTTGTCGAGTGCACGTTTAACTGTAACTTTCTCTGCATTGCTTTCCCAGCTCTATTCTGAACACTCGCGGTCAAGCAGAACGATATAAAAGCCACTTCCACGTTCAATTATTCGACGATCACATTCGAATTTCAAGACAATATTGAATAGAATTTGAATAGAATTTGACATTTTATGCAATACACACTAAGAGAATCCTCAAATGAACGCATTCTATGCCATGCAAACGAGATGTCAATAAAAAATATATTTTTATATATTTTTTTTATTATATATATATATATATATATATATATACATATATATATTTTTTTTTACGAGAGATACATTTGTTAATGAGGAAGGAAAATTTATTTGGATAAAGCAACTCTTTCAATTAAATGAATAATATTTTAATGCAAAAAAGAGGCGCTATTTCTCTGCTTGCCTCTCTTATCTCATTTTTCACTCTTTTTATCTATTATAATGTTTAAGGTCTCTTGACAGTCTCTGTTGGAGAAGAAACCATTGCTAATGTCGCCAAAAAGACAGTATCATCATCGGCCAACATCGATGACATTGTCCTGTTGGAAATCGACATCAAAGATCCTGTTAAGAGATCACCAGTTTCCGATAGCTCCATTTATGAACCTTCATCCAGCCAATTTATTATTCGGCACGGTGATGATTCTAGAGAGGTACGAAATAATGATACTATATTAAATTTTAACGGTTGCGGTTAATCTCATCGTTAAATGTTCAACATTAAATATTTCATAGAACATTCAGTATCATTGTTGTCGGTCAACCATGACTATTGATTGCCTATTATCCATTAACGTGTTGACTAACTAGCCATGAACAAACCATTTTTCTATGGTACTTGTTAGGAATGGCAATACACAGAGTAGAACGCCTAGGTCCGCCTCCAAGATCTAGGCGTTCTGACGCAATGTGATAGTAGTCATGACTCGACTTACTTTCGTTACTTGTACGAGGATTTTCATTTCACCAGTACTTTAAGAATAGCCAGAGATTGTATGTTCCATGCTACAAGATTCATAAAACGTTGACTGCCTCTATATTCCCTAAACTCTTTGTGATCTTTCTTCAAAAAAAGATTAAGCTCATGTAAATTTGAAATATTAGACTACTCTATCCGATTAATGTTACAAACATTTTGTGCTGCATTTTAAGAATAAAAATAAATAAACAATTGAGATATTTAAAAAATCTAATATATAAAATTGAAGTTTACCAAAAGCAGTCGAAATCAATTCAATCAGCAGTTGAAATATTGAATAATATTTTAAATTATAATTGAAATAATATTAAAAATTTGTATAACAAAAGAAAAAAATATTTCCTACTTTTATATTTTTCCTAGTTGTGTTACGTAACGTATTACATTTTCGAAAATTGTTTTGTATACTGCAACGAAATTAAAGAAATTAAAGAAAAACATTATAGCACGCAATATTATTCTTCTATAAAGATACTACTGTAAAATAATTTATACATATGCGTGTGTGTATATATATATATATATATATATATATATATATATATGCATGAATATATACATACATAATTGAGCTAATCAAAAAACGAGTAAAAATTTTATAAAAAACTGAAGACATTTCATTGATACCTGTAAATGTTCTTATATTACATGTATTCAACGTTGCCCCGATATAACGATGTTTTCTCCGAGTGGTCTCTCTCTAAAACAAATATATTTGCAGATTTTTATAGATTATGTTGTATCGTATTACGATTTAAAAAGAGAGAGAAGAAAGAAGAGACATATACCTTTAAATACTTCCTACGCGCGATCACGCTCATGATCGCTTGGCAATGCCGTATACTCGAATGCAATCACTCGCTTGCATAACTCAGCAAGTTTACACGCCTTCTAATCGCTCTGACCTGACAGTACTAGTACAACCACACCCACTTATAACCGAGTGCAGATTTCCAATTTTATCAAGCAGCAAACGCGATTAATATCTTATCCGTGGCCTTGCGTTATAGTGCAATGAGTCAAGAAGTTACGATTTACTTTCATGACCATAACTTTTTTATCGATTATTGGCTCATCTGTTGCGCCGACGTGCACACAAATATACTTTCATGGAGCGATAATTTTCGATGATTCGCTTGCCGTCTGCTTGTAAAATCAAGTTCAATACTTAGATTCAACCAAACGACAATAACTATCTCTGTTGTTTCTTATAAGTTTACGTCGCTTTTGATTTACTTTTAACTCTTATGTTTAGTTAAAATACAATATTTAAGAAAGTCCATTTGAGATAATGACTATATTACAGAATAGCTATTTTATCCATCTGTTATATATCCTGCTTAATTTTTGAATTTCTTCAGCTATATATAACTTATAACTTATCTATTTAAAATTTGCTAATATTACTTTGCTATATTACTTCATTTTGTGTCTGCTTTTATATCGTTAATTAGTACATTATCTTACGTAAATGTTTCACCAAAATAATAAACTTTTTAAATTTCAGCTGTCACCCGAATATTTAGCTGTTTTGCGACAATTTACCGGAAGTGAACCGCAGCCGTACACAAGCTCGAATAATGTGGCTCAACGCAGGCCGCTTCCAGCTTATGCCAAACAGCAACAGGCATTGCAGCAGGCATATTATAATTACCGCAAACCTGCTGTAGTTCCTCCCAGACCAAGAGCTCAGTTGCATCCTCAAGCATTAACTCAAGGCGAAGGCGTATCGCAACCTCAGACACACATCGACGCGCAACATCGTGCTGTAGCATTGCAGCAGGCGCGCGGCCCGTCCGGAGCATCTACGTACCAAGTACAGTCTTACACTCCACCAAAATTAGGCACTTTCGAGCAGGAATTGCTGCAATTGGTATCTGCTAATCAGGCTCAAGAGTTTAACCTAATTTCTGCACAACCTAAAGGAGACTATTCACAACAAGGATATACTAAATCGACGGCAACACCGGCATCTCAGTTACCCGAACAATATCATATTGAGACTAGTCCACCCCCACGTTATCCACCGCAGCAACGAGTTGCAACAACATATCAGTCGATCGAACAACCAATCCAGCTTCAGTATCAAACATCGCAGACGGCAGATTACGCGACAAAGAATATTCAAGATCAGCCTTTCAGACCGTCTCCGCAATACGATTATGTAGATGACGGTGCTCAGCTGAAACCCCATCAAGCGCATGTTCAGACTGAAGCCGAGGCGGAAGCTAGAGCTCAGGCCCACGCCGAGGCGCAAGCTTTAGCTTTTCAAAAGATCGCCCAGGCGTCATATCGAAAACATCACGAAGCCGCTCTGGAGCAGATTAGAATTGATCACGAGAGATACAAACAGCAAAGCGCCTTAGAACAGATTCAACAAGGAGATCACGTCAGCGAGGCCGGACAAGCTCATATCGAGGGTCGGCTGGAACCAAAGGATCCAGAAGCCGCTTATAAAGCTAAGTTGAAGGCACAAGCGGCTGCTGAAGCCGCCGAAGCCAGAAGACTCCAAACAGATGCTGAATACAAGGCTCATGCTGATGCCATACGCCAAGTCGAAGCTCAGCAACAGGCTCATGTGAGAGCTCAGGAGAAAGCCCATCATGATGCTTTAAATTTTGAGAGAAATCAATTGCGTGCCCAAGCTCAGGCGCAGGCGCTAGCACAGGCTCAAGCCGAAGCTTTGTATAAAGTTTATCAACAGTCGCGTGCTAAAGCTAACAATGAGATTCTAGCGGTTGCCAGAGCCCAGGCCGAGGCTAAGAAAGTAGATCCCGAAGGCACGCCAGTCGTTCAATATCTTCTACCTACTACTCCTAAACTTCCATCCCCCAATAATTATTTTACCAATGACGACGTAAACAAGTATCAGGTTTCTGGCTCCACTTATGCTCCTAGGTCGGTGACTAAACCAGAGTCTACTACTACGTCCACCAATGGCGACTCTAGCATTGAAGAACAAGTTTATGTCCAACCTGTTATCAATCAACCTCGACAGGTACACAAACTGAAAGTTGCACCAACTCAATCTTCTGTCTACATTTCTCAATCGGGTCTCTTGAAAAAATCACCCGTTAAATCTCTTACCATCGAGGAGATTATCGATCAAGAGCAACTAAACAATCCTCAAGTTGTACGTATACCTTCGTCTAAAGATCAACAGCCTCTAAATCAAGAAGAGTTGTCTGCCCTTATTAATGCCGGTTATAGCGTTACTCCGATACCTCAGACAGTTAAGTCGACGCAACAAAGCTACGTGCCGGAAAATACTTCTTCTGCCGTATATTATTTGAAGAAACAACGGCCAATAGCTAGGTCCGAATATATTGCGTATGAGGAGGTCGTACAACGACCTCGAAGACCAACTAGGAAGAATACATCTGATCTCAAACAGGAAAATATCAATACTAGCGAAAAGGTTACTTACTTGGTGCCTTTGGAATCCAGTTTTGGTACAAGGCAACCATTACTCACGAGTAACGAGTAATAGTCGCGTAAACTTTCTTTCATTGTTAGACAGTAATGGCAAACCATTACAAATTATTTTCGCTGCTTTTTTCGAAATTTATTTGTTTGTGTCATGTACTATAATCTTTGTCTTTTTGTCCAAAATTAAAAAAAAAATAACGAGTACATACATGAAAGTCAAAAAAATAATTTTTATAAGAAAAATTGTCTAAAATTTTTTCTCTTTAATTTTTATTATTTGCGTGTTTGAACTGTTGTAAGTCTATTTTTATATCAATTGCTGATTTTAATATTTTCTTCATTACTTTGCGACTAATAATTTATCTTCTAATATATTTTTTAATGTTTTACGGTTCAGTTCATAAAAAAAAAGAAAACGTTCCATGTATTTTGTACATAAAATTTTCTTCTTGAACGCTAACGATGATTCCTGGATAGATTTATAAATTATGTTATGAATAAATTATATATAAATTGATTATTAATATTTTGTGTTAATTAATATTTTGTAAAAATTGAAAAGCGGAAAGCAGATTTACGCTAATTTTGAAAAATAAAATAAAGTATTTCTAAAATTGCATTACAACAGATTCTAAAATAATCGGTGTGATACACATACGCACATGCACGCACGCGCATGCATACATACGCATACACACATAACGCAAAATGCGAATAAATTACAAATTTATTTTGTTGCGAATATATATATAACAAAAAATAGCATATAATCGAAGGATTTTATAATAAATGTTACGCAACATTATTACAGATTTATTTGTGCGCCGAGGTTGAATCGAATAATTTTATTAATTTATATTTTTTTGTAAATAGAATTTTAGCTAATAAAAATTGTTTAAAAATTTTACTTTGTAGAATGCGCGATATTCACCATATATTTGATTTTTATGCGTTTCTTCAAATATTTATTAATACGAAAGTAATTAAACTACTATGCTACTTGCTACAAGAAATATTTTTTTATTAAAATTATTACAATATATCTTTTGATTAAAAATTTTTATCTATGAAAATTATGAGATTAAAGTCTAATTTAATAAGTTTTTATTATATTTTTATGATATAATTTAGATAATATTGCACGATAAGATTTACAATCTTATTTGTCATTCATATTATCACAAATATATGTATTATATCAATTTATTCATCATTTTCATTATCATTACTACAATTAATCATTAAAATCTAATTGCAAAATGAAAAATGATGCCAATAATTTCAAAAAGATATTTTATTTATTTCAAAAAGATATTTTAAAATACTATTTTATTAATGCATCATATTATATATACATTCATACGTATAAATAAATAAATAAATATACACTAGGCAAAAAAAATAGGAAACAATTTTTTTCAACTTTAACGCGCAGTTGGTGGTTTTAAAAAATTTGTTTACCTTTCTTATTCTGCACTTGACTATAATCTAAAAACAAAATCATGTAGCTCGGTCAAAAAAACTCGTAGGAAAATTTAAAAAAAAGTGTTTTGTAGACAAAATGTTGTAGTTTATAGAATTCGGGTTTAATTTTTCGAGAAAAATTTTTTTATCAAACTGCAGAGTGTTAAATATATTATACGTAATTTTAAGGAACAAAACAATGTTCTTTTTTAAAGCACAGAACAAGGAAGATAAAAAATTTTTTTTAAAATAACGATAACGCGTTAAAGTTAAAATTTCAAGACTCAAAATGCTTTTCTTATTTTTTGTCTACAATGATTTTTCGCTGAGTATCGACATCATATCTAAAAAGTACAGGTTTATTTTCAAAATCATATTACTGGGTCAAAAAAATTTGTAAGAAAATTTTCAAGAAAGCGTTTTGTAGGCAAAATATTGTAGTTTATGAAATTTGAGTTGAATTTCTCGAAAAAATTTTTTTATCAAGTTGCAGCGTGTAAAATATACATAATTTTAAAGAACTAAACAATGTATTCTATTTTCAAGTGCAGAATATTTTTCAACGAGTTTCAGCAATTTGAAAATAGCCCAATTTTTTTAAAGTTCAAAAAGTGTTCCCTATTTTCTTTTTACTAGTATATATATGTATATATATATATATATATATATATATATATTTAAATTATAGATATTGCAAATTTTGTATTTTTTTCAAAGTAATTAAATGTTCATGTAATGCTCTTGTTTCTTTTCTTTTATATAAAAAAAATAAAAGAAAGTTTCAGGCTTTTCAAGAACAAATAGTACTCACGAAAAAAATGGAGGTGAGGTAAATATAAATTTAGGAAGGAAGAGAAATTATCTTGATAAAAATAAATTTACATTTTATTTTAACTAAATTATTAGGTATTCTCTCAGCGTAAACTATATATATTTCATTATATTTTTTAATAAAAAAGTAATATTTATATTTTTGTCGCAAGTAATATATGTAATTTAGAATGTTATGCTTTTTATGTCGTAATAAATAAAAAATATTTTTTCTCTAATAAGCAATAAAACATGCGAAAAATAAATTTTTTAATATATGTATTGATTGTACATATATGTATTGATTTAATATATGTATTGATTGTACATATTTTCAAATCTATAGTTTTCCTTTATTTTTTTCTTTTCTTTTTTGCATTTATCTTATTATAATCCTGCTTTGGTTAATATACTCTACATGAACATAAAATGTAACAATAAAGACATAATGAATATATTGCAAATACACAATGTTTCAAAAGATTTAATTAAAATACTATATTTTCTCAAAAATTCTATAGACTTATTATACATCTATAATAACAAGTAAATATTAAAAAATGTTCTGAAACCTTTTGCGTTAAACAACAAGGGTAACCGCTCTGTCACTAGTTACTTGTAAGGTCACAACATTGACCTCAATAATACAAGGTAATTCCATTCTCTTATTCTCTATTTCAATTATTCAAGAATTCATTTCCAGTAAGAAAATTATTTTTGTTACTAATACACATAATAAAATTACAATTAATACAAATAATACATTCAATAAAATTACAATCAAATATTGATGAAAAATAAGAAAAGCAATTTAAAATGAGATAAATTATCTTAAAATTCTTATTGTTTAGATTACTTGTAATCTAATCGCTTTAATATTTAAAGTTCATTTAGATAATTAAATGAAAATGTGTGTTAACATTTAATGCATCAATTACATTACATTATATATTTTAATGTGTGTAAATTCGTTTCATGTAAATTTATAAATAAAAATTAATATACGCGTTATATGTATAAATGTGTGTGTGTGTGTGTGTGTATGAGTATTGTGAAATGCGCGCGCTTAAAATTTTTTTACTGTAAGTATGTATGTACGTAATTCTTTTTAATTATAACAATTAAAAACAAGTAAAAAATGTAATATATTTATTACACACAAAAAACTTTTAAAAAGTTGTAATTATAATTCTGCCAAAAATTTTACATTTATATATTTACAAAATATCTGTCTCTTTATTATAAAATAGTTATTAAACAGTTTGTAAATGTAGTAATGAATATATAACAGTTCTAAAACAGTTTGTAAATGTAGTAATGATTATTCCACATGCAATATACAAAAAGAACAAATGAGCCAGATAATCCGTTTCTGATTGCATAATACAATAAAGCACTAAATATAATATATAACAAACTATAATATATATGCCAGAAAACAATTTTGCTGAAATTCATACATGTAGTTCTCGATTGCGAGAAAGATATAATAGATGAATCCGATTCAAATCACACTTAATTCCGATCACGTGCGAAATAGTTAACATTGAAATTGTGTATGATTATATGTGTATGATATGATTTTATATCTTATGCTTTCGACATTTAATTACGCCATAACAATCATGTCTAATTTATATATATATGTATTTATAATATTTTGATGAATGTTACATTTACTCGATATTTGATTAAAGCAACGATTGAAAAGGATAGTCACCCTTGACTCAGTTTAACGAAAGATTAATGACCTTGTTTGAAGGTAAACACGAAAAAAGTAGTCTCTGTACTAGTGAATGACTAAGGGACGTCGGATTTAATTTTAAATCACGTTCCAAGAAGACTGGTCGAGTAACGGTAACGATGTATATAAGCTTTGCTGTCACGGATCTTGAACTCAGTTAGACACGCATGAAGCACACAAATACAACATTATTGCAAAATATTATAAATTTCTGTAACGTCTGAAAGGTGAATTATATACTTTGTATAAAATCTAACGATTTTTGCATAATTATTTTTTATAAAGTCAATTTCATTTGTACGTATAATATTTGCACTATCGTATTTTAAAACATTAATATACTGGCTCTGCCTTAAAACTGGATGAAAATCAGTTTATTATATATATATATATATATATATATATATATTATATTATATATATATATATATATATATATATATACACATATATATATATAATTACATATATATAATTATATATATATATATTATATTTTTCAATATATTATATATATATATATATATATATATATATATATATATTGACAATGTTTGATAAAGAGATCGAATGATATTTTAGGTATCATATATATTTATCTCAATAATAATTATTATTACTTACAATTAGATTGTATATTGTTTGCTTTGAGTAAAAACATTTTAATTTTACAGGAAAGTAGCTGAAAAAAATGATGACTATCCACATAAATGTTATTATCTTGTTTAGTGTAATGTCAACTTACATAGCTATGCCAATCTATTTTGTATCACCCGAAAATGTGATACAAGACACAGTGCTAACTCATCCAGCTGTTTTAATAAATTCTGCAATGGAAGATAATTTGCCTAATCAATTACGAAATGATTTCTATAAAAATCCTAACGTTGCTGCTAATCTCGCTAAGGAATCTTGGTTTATTGATAAAGAAATGCAGGTACAACATTTCCATAATTTATCTTGTTATATGAAATTTAACATGCATTTATCATTAATCCTTTAGCTATTTGTTTATTTTATTAGATTAAAAGCTTTCGAGAAATAGAATTACTTTAAATGTTCAACTTTTAATGTTAAATAATTCTTTTGTCAGTTTTGTAGTAATATTACTTTTATTCACATTATCAATTATGTAATAATAAAAAATTATATGGATTATATACACAGACACATATTGCATGCGTGCATGTATGAAAACTTTTATATATTAACGTTTTTTATAATATTATCATAAGTATAAGTAAACAAAAAATAAAATAATTTAATACACTTTGCATATATTACACAATTCTCCAGAACTACAAATTAGTTACATTATTAAATTCTTTGCTTTTTATATAATATTAAAGAAACAAAATTAAAACTTTATAAAATTAAATTCTAAATAAAATTATATTTTTTTTAATTGTTCCTAATACTTAGACATTTTAAAAATGTATTTACCCACTACATTTTCTATAGTTTATTTTTTGCATGCTGCTTTTTGTCTGATTTTTAAATGGATCGAAATTAAATCAAATCAAATTTGCCTAGCTTTTTACTTTTTATTACTTATCATGCTATTACAGGTAATCAATCGAGAAACAGATAAAATTTCGAGAGAGAAAATCTATGGCATACTACATAATGCTGGACTAGCTCGCAAATAATATTGCGACAATGTATGTATATGTGTGTGTGCGCGTGCGTGCGTGCAAGTGTGTGTGTGTGTGTGTGTGTGTGTGTGTGTGTGTGTGTGTGTGTGTGTGTGTGTGTGTGTGTGTGTGTGTGTGTGTGTGTGTGTGTGTGTGTGTGTGTGTGTGTGTGTGTGTGTGTGTGTGCACATATACATAAAAAAATACATGTAATTTTACCTCTAGCGAATAAACTTTAAAAATTAAATTATAAATAAAACTATAATTTTTTGAATTATTCAATACTTAGAAATTTCGAAAATGTATTTACTCATTGCATTTTCAGCAGTTTATATTTTACGTACGATTAGATAAACAATAAAAACGATTAAATATATGCATATTAAATTTTACATATGGTTATTTCTTTCAATTTTTCACATTCATCGTAATACAAAATAAATTATGTCCAATGTTAATAATAATATGTAAATATTCTACTTTCAATTTTAAGCGTTTTCGTTTATATTGTATTATATATTAATTATAATTATAAATCATTAATGTAATTAGAAAACTTGAAATAAAATCGTATCTCTTAATTTAGCTCAACACCTAGCGTGTATATATAATTGTGTATATTTAAAAACATAATTATTTCTTTAACCCATTCAGACCCTATGTACTCAATTATGCACAAAAACTTTAAAATCATGTGAAATAGTTATTTTTTAGAATTAGTTTCCTTGCGATCTCTCGGTGGAAAAAAATATATATATCTCGAAAAAAAAAAATATATATATATATATATATATCGTCGTTTTAAACCCTTAGCATCAATAAAAATTAATTTAATAATTTTTTACATTACAGAAAAAATTCAGATCTGAATGGGTTAATTGCTCGTTTAGCAATCGTTTCATTTTATTATATAATTAATTTTATTATATAATTAGAATACAAATATTCCAAAAGATACTTTAAAATTATAAAACAAAATTATTCCTTTTAAATAAAAATAATTAATCTTGTTATTCGATAATTACAATTTTCTAATTTATTTATTTTTCTAAAATAGCATGCTCTTTATCATAAGAATTATTTACAATTAAGCATTAGTTTACATAATTTAAAATTGTAAACACAAACATAATTGGTTAAAAATTATCTTTCAAATCTCACGGACAAATAATTGCATGAACATATAATTATCCAACATAAATAAGGTTCAACTCTATTTTATTTTCTTTTAAATGACTTTTTCATATAACAGTAAATTATTACTGTATATATTTTTTTAATTTGATGATTTGATATATACTAATGTAAAATAAAAGGGTTCTCGAGTCTTTTAAATATTGAATTTATTAATGCTTATAAATTGATTTTTATTATTTATGCTCATCCGTGTAAACAAATTCAAAATATCTCGTTCTGTTGCAAAAATATTAAGAATTGAAGTATCACCGAATGATGTTTGAAAGGCTGTTTTTCGTTGTGTCGTAAAGAGAAAGCGCACCTGTGCTTAATTGATTAATATACATGTAATATGAAAGCTATAAAATTTGAACAAATGAGTATATACAATTTTACACAATTTTGCATATTTTCGTTGGTAATATTATATGGAGTACGAGGAGAACGAGGTATTTGCAATGTTTTAGAAAGGTGATAACTGAAGCGTGACACATATTTTATAAAGTAAGTCACGATTTCAATGTAAATCTCAATCAACGTGTACACACACAATGTTATATACAATAATTATACAATTGAATCGTTATAGTGTGTTAACATTCTTTATGATATGATTTCTTATTGTGATATGAACATTCTTTATGATATAATTTCTTATTGTGATATGATTGTATAATATTTTAATTTTGTTCTATTCGATATTACCATTATTGTCATGCGGTATTTATTTATAATTTTTAATTTAAATTCAGGAAACAATAAAGCAAGTTTTTAAATATTATAATATTGTATATATTGTTAATATATATTTTGAATTTTAAAACAAAATGTTTTATATATCAAGGTTTCTTACCTTGTTCAATTTACGACCAATTTTATAAATTTTATTCAATAAAATTAATGCTAGTATGTGATTTTTTTAAATAATTTCCTTGACTTTTTTAAAATTAAGTTTTTTTAAATTTCAGTAATTATTTAATAAATATGTGTATATTATGTGTATATGTGTGTATTGTGTGTTATTACTTTGTAATAAACACACAATACAATATCCTTTCACTATCTGCATTATCCTTTCACTATCCTGTTACTATCCTGTTACTAATCTGCATATCTAAATATCAGTAATTAATCCGCTTTATCATCATGATATCCTTTTTATTTATGCTCATATAATAAGTCATCAAATATGATTTGTTAAGTAGTGTTCATGTGTAATTTCCTAAAATTATTCAATCTGCATTTTTTCCAATTATTTATTACAAAGGACATATACAAACTCGAAATCTGTATATTTGTAAAAAAAAATCGCTCAAAACTACTAAAGTGCATAGTCTTGTTAATAATTAAATATGCACTTGGAAAAGTCTTCCTGCATGTCTCATTTCAAGAAATAGTTCGCGTTGCAGTTGAGTGTATCGCCCGCAATCTTCTAAGATTCGCCAATCTCCTTTTATTTCTAGCGTTCACTTTCGCCTCATGCGCAGCAGCATTAGCTTTGGCCGCTGCACGATTCGTATTCACAAGATCCTGCCGGGCACTTCGCAATTGATTCGATAGTTCGTCCACTCGCCTCTTGGCCGCCTCCAATAGCTCCTCTTTCTCTCGTAATGATTTCTGCGCTCCACTCGCAGCCGCCTGGGCGTTTGCCGCGTTCGATTTAGCTGTACGCACTGCATTCGTCAATGTCTTCAACTGTAATTTCAAAATACATAATGCATTTTTAAATTGCATAATTAATGTTTTATAAACTATAAATTCAAAATTTTAGATAGTAAAATTGATGGTTACGATGAGACACCGAGCGACTCACTCTCTAACTTAATTCTTGACAGCACTCCTTTTGATTTAATATATTGACAACAGAATTTGCAAAATTATCGTCATATTATACATTGTTATATTTGCGCTGAAGATGACCAGAAGAATGAGCAGAAACGTACGCTATAGGAGTCTTTAATAATTGTTTATTTATTATTTTTAACTTTATTTTTATATTAACATCTCATATAATAAATATTTGTATATCAACAACAACACTAGACTCGTATTGCCGTTGAAACTAATTTATTATAACCAATATATTTGATTCAAAATTTTAATAAAACAGATTATTAAGAAAGAGGAAAAGGAAGAGAGAAAAAGTGAGAGAGAGAAAGAAACAACAATTTTTATCTTTTCACATTTAACAAATTCAAGATACAATTTTTTTAAAATTATCAATCAAGCGACTCTCTATCCTCTATATAGAATATACACAAACTTCAATATAAATAATATATAACATTTTGTTTCATATTTTAATAAAGTAAAAAAAGTTTTCAGTTTCCTTTCAAGTCTTTCAGTGTCATAAAGATAAAAGAGAGAGGAAAAAATACAGGGAAAATAAAAAAAAGTATAAGCGGTATATAAAGAGAAAGCTAATATCAAAATATAAAAATATTCAAATAGAAATTGTTAATCATAAATAGAATCTTGTTAAATTGTGATTTATAAATAATTTAAAATAAAATATTTTCTTTTAAACTGAAATTTATATATTCAAACACTATTCGTCTTATTATCATTCACTTTTAACTTGCAACTATTTCGGTTTTTAAATTCGGTTTTACAACCTGATCTTGTGACTGCCGTGCTGCCTGTATTGCTGCATTGACATTAACTTGCGCTTGTTGCAAGGAAGACGTTTCTTCCTGAACAACCGATCGTGCTTCCTTCACTTCTTCTAGCAGCTGTTCGACTATCGCTTCCTTACTCGATAAAGCCGCTTCAGCGGCTTTGGCAGCTTGAACGGCCTTCTCTGCCAGTTGAGCCTTTACCTGTTATATGCCTTTACTATTACGATGGGATATTTGCTGAACAAAATACCAATCTTAACAAATAAATGTAAATATATGCAAATGTAATTAATGATGCAAATTACTCTCCCTAATTAATAATTTTGCGCGATTTTGTGCGATTTCATCAGCAATAATATGCGCGTAGACACAAATCTGAGATAAATAATTAAATGAAAATTGAGAAGAGGAAACCTTTTTTATTTCCTTGCGCATATGTGTGTGTGTGTGTATGCGTGTATGTGTGTGCGCATATAAATTCTGCTATTAATAAACTCTTTTCAAATAATATACACTAAAGAAATAAAAGGCAACAAGACATTTTTAAATCACGAGAGTGCAATACTCTTGCACAATGTTTCTTTCAAAGAAGTGACATGTATAATATAATGTAATGAAATACTTGACGCGCTGCTTGTTGACCAGCAACATTTTGTGCTTCAGACGCGGCTTTTGCTTCTTGCGCTGCTTTCTGTGCGATATTGCTTGCTTTTTCAATGATTTTTTTCTGGGCATTAGATAAAACAGTGCCACGACAGTTTCCACTTTCGGCATGACGCATGTCTGCTTGATTCTATAATTGTTTTTCATATAATATAACATAAACAACTAACTTTTTCATATAATATAACATAAACAACTAACAATTATATATATATATATATATATATATATATATATACATATAATGTAGATTTTCTTTAATTTAGCATCCATCTTAATTATTATATTAAAATCTATATAATTGTCATATTAAAGAAGCATTGTTAGACGAATATCTTTTATATCTTACGTTATATAATTAAGACAACAATTATAAGATATTAATATATATATATATATATATATATATATATATATATATATATATTAATATTCGTCTAACAATGCTTCTTTAATATGACAATTATATAGATTTTAATATAATAATTAAGATGGATGCTAATTTAAAGAAAATCTACATTATATGTATATGCTAGTAAATGTAAATCGCACATAAATGTAAACTCATAGTCAAAAGTTACTAGAAATAACTGTAAATATATATATTGATTATATTCACGTTTAAAAAGCCGAAAATAGAGTTTTTACATAAATATTTCACAAATTTAATTTGCACATCTTGCGCTGATAAAAATATTGTCGAAATTTTTAATCCGAAAATAAAAATAATAATAATTGTAAATTCATAATCGGTCGATACTGGAAATATATAACAATAGGTTATTAATAGTATTTCAGTTTTTTTTATAAAAGAGTCAAATTCAAACCGGATATTATTTAAAGTTTCTAATAAATAAAATATTGTAGATTAAAACTTACCTCATTGATCGGAACTTTGTGAATTCGTCCGCAATTAGATTCTACAAGTATGACTAAAAACAGCATATTGGTTATAATATTGGTTATATATATAAAAATATAAATTATTAAACACAAAATTTTGATGTAAATAATTAATCATATGAGCTACACTCACTGATATAAAAAATGTAGAAAATGTTCATTCTGAGGAGTAAATTTAAATGGGGCACGTTGTTCCTCTCTCTGTGCAAAAAAATTATAACAAAACATAACAAATTTGCACCGACTGAACATTTCTATATTTGACAATAAAACCGATTAATTAAGTGCTTTTTTCGACTTCGAGATATTTAATAATACTATTAACTGAAGTTATACAATATTATATAGCCCGTTTTTCTCATTTGTATAAAAAAGTGAAAATTTGATAAAATATAATAGAAATACTTTTTTTTAATTATACATCTTCTGTCACATAAACACAACTTTTCTGATAGTTCCGAATATGCGAAAATGTAAATAAAATTTACTTAATAATCTTATATAAACAGATAGTAGATAAAAAACTCCACAACTCTTTTTATAGTTTTACATAAATGACATTTCCTTAATTCCATGAGAAATTGCGCAGATAGAACTCAATGTCCAATCGAATGGACGCGATCCTTCATCTAAGAATTTTTATTTTAGATATACTACAATTTCCCGCAATTATAAGTAACTCAAAGTAGTTCAAATATAGATAATTTTTTTTAAAATAGAATTTACGGTAGAAAGTAATAGCGATTTTTATCACATCTGGCTTTTTGTAAATGTAAAAATAAAGAAAATATTTTATTTTTAAGGATTTAAGATAAGTGATTTATATAAGTGAAAAAAAAGAGATGTTATAGAAAATTATATATTTCAGCTAATTATAATGGACATTTTTTTCGCGACTGTTTCTTATTTTTTAAACAATTTTATTATTTTTACTAAACTTAAAGAATTAGCAGTATCATCTCAATGCATGCAGCGTTCCGCTCTACTTCAGCTAACTTTATACAAAATAATTCCAAGTTGCCCCTATTATCCAACTATATTATGCAGATGCAATCTCAATAACATATGCGATATAATATTGATATGCGATATATATAACAAACAAAGATTCAAATGCACGTAAATAAAAGCTATATATATATGTATATGCGTATATGTGTGCGCGTGCGTGCGTGCGTGCGTGCGTGCGTGCGTGCGTGCGTGCGTGCGTGCGTGCGTGCGTGTGTGTGTGTGTGTGTGTGTGTGTGTGTGTGTGTGTGTGTGTGTGTGTGTGATTTGTACATCATAATTGTTTCTTCTTAAAAATTTAACTTCATTTTAATGTTAATTTCATTTGAAATGTTAGTACATCATGTAGAAGAGATCAAGCATCAAGTGCGAAAGTTTTTCTTGACGATCACGATTGATCGTTAAGAAGTTACATATTCGAACACATGAAACCTTTTCGTTTTACGAAATTAATGTGCATGTATATGTATCTTTTTTTTCTACACTATATTTCTCATTTATTTGTCATATATTGTGTATTTATATTATTTTGTGTTTATTTACATGATTATTACTGAAGATATCTCAAAAAAGTAGGACTAAAACTGAGTATAAATAAATTTATTTAACTTACATTAGAAAGTTTACCTTTGCATTATTATCTTGGTTTGGTTTTTATTATTCCGTTAGCTTTTGCAACTTACATTTATTATTTAAAATTTAATTGATTTTATTATTAATAATAATATTTGTCGTAATATATAATTGGTATAATATGAAAAAAGTAGTTAAATGACTAAAGATTTGTTCCTTCTGAAACAATAGAATGCACTGAGAGAGAGAGAGAGAGAGAGAGAGAGAGAGAGAGAGAAAGAAAGAAAGAGAGAGAGAAAAAGAATAAAATATAATAGGCAGAAAATACTATTAGCACAGCGTTATTTTAAAAGTCTTACAATCCCTTCCGTAGATTACTGAACTGACAAGACTATAAGAGGTCTGATGCACTAGTAACTGGTATCAGTTCTCAGCTTTCTTCGCGCAAGGACAGCTCTTATTCTCTAAGCGATTAACTCTGTCTTTGTGTGTGTGTGTGTGTGTGTGCATGTGTCAAGTAAGTATAAAAATTTTTCGTAATAAGTTTCAAAAATACTCGCCTTCGTGATTCATCCAGAAATAAAAACAAAATAACACCAAACATTATTCCAAAATCGCGGAAGTCTTGCTGTTTGAAATAGAAACATTTAGTATAAACAATTTAAAAAATTTAAATAAAATCAATGACGAGAAATAATTGTGATTAGTTGGAAAAAAAAATAGGTGATGCGCGATACCGTTCTTAATGCAAATATTTTTGTAAATAAAAAAATAATTTTATATGAAAATATTTTAATATGTAAAATTTGATGTTTTTTTTAAACTTTGAGAGCTATACATATACAAGGTGTCTCAAAACTCATAATGAATCTTTCAAAGACAGATTCCTGGGATCATCTAAAGACGATTTTTCCTCAATGAAAATGTCGAGGCACTAATAATTTTCGAATTATAAGTGATTGGAAATAAGGGGTTTTTCTAAGGTAAGCTTTGTAGAAATATTAACAAAACCACATTCTTCGATTAATTTTAAATAGAGTTTACTTTAGTTGAGTTGTAATTTAAGGCTTAATTGCAAAGATATATGATGACAAAAATCGGGAACATACAAAAAATGATGGCCTTCATCGACATTTTCGCTGAGAAAAAATCGTCTCCAAATGATCCCAGGAATCTGTCATTGAAAGATTCATTATGAGTTTTGAGACACCCTGTATAATACTATATTATAGAACTATATAATACAATTTATTTCAGATATTTGGTAAAACTGGAAAAGGTATATAAGTATTTAAAACGATTTTAAGTCTTTTAATTTTATTTTAAAATATATATAGTTTTTTTAACATATTTCATTTTTTTTATCTTTTTTTAGAGGTAATTTCTTATTTTTTACACTTTTAAAATTAAAACTTATTTGATAAATTGCAATGCTACACAATAAAGAATAATATTTTATTTTAGAATATTTACGTAAGATTGGTTTGCATATATATATATATATATATATATATATATATATATATATATATATGTCACTCATTTCCACATTAGTAGAATCAGAATCAGAATTGCATCGTTATATAATTCATATCAGAAATTAATGCTTTTATATAATAATTTATTCTTCTTAAGAATTTCAACAAAATTTTTCTTCTCTTCCTTCTCCTCCTCCTCCTCCTCTCTCTCTCTCTCTCTCTCTCTCTCTCTCTCTCTCTCTCTCTCTCTCTCTCTCTCTCTCTCTCTCTCTCTCTCTCTCTTTCTCTATTTCTTTTTTCTATTTTAAAACAATTTCTTTTGAGTATTGGAACTCAACTTTTCAACCATTTACATGCAATATCATTTTATCTCGCAGTTTATAATTTTGATGTAAATATATATATATATATATATATATATATATATATATATATAATTTATCTTAATGTAACGAAAATAGTAGTATGTAGAATTAGTAATAATAAATTTTTATTATTCATTTCACTGCATTATTAATAAATATATTCATATAATTATGTAGATATTTATAGATATATTATTATAAACCTATTAATTAATTATTTTTTATTTTATTATAAACTAATTACTCTTCTCATTATCATATTTTATTATAAAGCTATTAACCATATACACAAATATAAATACACGCCCATACATACGCACATACACACGCTCACATGCACGCACACATGCACACATGCACGCACGCACACACACACACACACGTTTTCTGTATATAATTATTTCAAATTAATATTAAGAAAATAAAGAAAATAGAGAATTTATGTAGTTCATTCAGAGTGATATATATGTGTATATATATATATATATATATATATATATATATATGTATATATATATGCAGAATTTCATATAAAGGATGAGTCATATGAAGGATATATATACATATATATATATTTATATATATATTTATATATATATATAGATAGATAGATAGATAGATAGATATATAGATATATATATATATATATATATGTGTGTGTATATGCAGGATTTCATATAAAGCATGAGTCGTATGTTTATTTTAAAATTGGATGAACCTTTTTCATTTCTGAATAAAAAGTAAAAACTATTGTTATTAAGCGAGAAATGCTTCATTTCTGAAATAATGAACAAAAAGTATTTTAAATATCGGCTTTATTTTAAAGTTGTACAAAGTGCAGCAAGTACATTACATTGCATTTCACTATATGTTAAATGAATATACTTATTGTCAATTCTTCAAAAGAAAACATTCTACATTGCATTGATGGAATTGCCTTAACTAATTTTATTCCATTATTTCACGTAGTGTTGTAGCGCTTAGCTCGAATCTTGATAATAGACCTCGATAAATATTATAATATTGACGTACAATAAGCGTTTTTCAGAGCGAAACACAACCGGATTTTAAGCGATTATAATTGAGACAGTGAGAAAGGCGGTACGTGCGTCATGATCACGTGTGTACAACTTATTGTTAGTCTAGTCTTTTATGCATATGGTATAATGAAAGATCTAGTCTTTTATGATATATGGTATAATGAAAGATTAATAGCACGCGTGTGTGTAAATAATATTATAATATAATTCTAATGCAAAATTTCAAGATACAGTTCTGAAAATAGTCATTTCATATCAGTTTTATATCAGTTATCCACCATGTATCGATCGATATCGATTACTTTTGATTTTCTCGCAGTTTTTATGCGTCACTTTCTCCGGCCACTCAATCGATTCAGCAACACTGCAACGTGATCAATTATTATGCAACATAATATCCTATCATCGTCGCGACAATAGTTTTCCTTTTTCACGCCTGAATTGATTTATAGCCAACCAATCAGGCTCATCGTGCAATCATGCACATCACAGGATCAAAGAAAATTTTTGTGATAGAGACAAGCTAGCAGAGAAAAAGCAATTACGAAACTAGATCAATATAAATAATAAAACTAGTGAAACGCGTCACTGCACTTTAGAGATTTCCAGCATTTTTCAATACGCGATGTAGTAATTTCATTTTCTCTTCCCGAAGAAAGCAAAAAGAATGAATTCTAATTTAAAAAATAATTAATATATTTATTAAATAAAAATGTATGTAGTGAGAGGGCATAATTCAATATTTATACAAATCTCGCCAAAAATTTATTCATATTTGCATCGATATAATCATCGAAAAAGCTCGACTCTTTATACCAGCTGCTTATAAACGACTTCCTGTGCTTTTTTTCTTCTTTCTGTATAATCGAAAAACTGTGACTGAATCTTGATTATCATATTCAATTGACAAATTTACTCCTACATTGACAATGAGAGAACACAGTATTAAAATAATAGATAATTGCGAGTTACGCGAAAGAAAATTCTGAATATCTGTATACCGTTGTTTTAAACCTAATTAAAATAAATAATAAATTCGAGTACTATTCTTATTTTTTTCATATAGTTATAATATAAAGATTTATACTGAAACAATATAAGAATCGTTTGTCAAACGAATTTTTTTACATATTTTACATATTTTATGTTTTATAAAATTTATTTACTTTCTATAGAACTTTAAGTCAATGCAAAGTTAAATAATTAATTGGATAATTAAATTAATTACCTAATTAATTAGATGATTAAATAAAATTAGATAATTAATGATTAATAAAATTAGATAATTATGTATAAAAATTAAATAATTAAATAATTAGATCGCTTGACATTTTTCTTAAAGATTAATTAATTAATTTTAATTTTATTTCAATTTTTTATTAATTTTTGTCTTTTTCAGATAATCATTAATTGTAGCAAAAATTCAACGTTTCAACATGAAGATCCTGTTGGTATTTTTGGTTTACGTCACCCTCACATATTGCGGTAAAGCTAAAAAGCAGATTCACGATCAACAAGTAGTCGACAGTTATGAGTTTGAATATGTGGATCACGGTGGACCCGCATTAAGCTTAATCGATTCAAATGGTCACTATGTCGAAGCAGCGCCCGTCGTTGCTGCGAGTGGTCATCGCTCAAGCCTTATTCGACCTGGTTATAGCGTGGGTGGTCCTTTAGCCAGTATAGCTAAAGGTTAGATAATTTATATTTAAATTGACCAATTATTCTTTTTTTATCTCGCGGTAATACTGCTGCAAGCAGTAAGCAATTGTAAAAGATGATATAGTATCGCAATATATAAGTATACATATATGTATATGTATAAAGTGAAAACTAGCATACGCATTTCATTTTACGTGTCTCATTGACCTATACATATACGCGGTTGGCTATATATATATATATATTGTTTTGATTACAGGAGCCGCTGATCAGGCAAACACGCAATTGAATCAGCAACCAGTAGCCGCTGGACAGGCGGCATATGTAGCTAAAAATACACTGGCACAAGCGGCAGCACAATCCGCGGCGACGGCCGCTGCAGCTTTGGCCGGCAAACAGATTATCGTAATGGGCCTAGAACAGCAATCGAGAGACGCGCAAGTCGCGGTGGACGGTGAGAAGCAACAACTTCAACAGGCTCAACGTGCGGCCACAGCCGCAAGGAATGCGGCGCAACAAGCGATGCATCAAGTACAAGTGATAACCACAGCGTTAAACGCGGCGCAAGCGACCGCCGAACATGCCGCGCAAGCGGCGGCCGAAGCTGCGGCCGAGCTGGCCGCGCAAACGACGATGGTGGGTCAAGCTAAGGCGCGCGCTGAAACGATAGCCGAGCAACTCGCGGCGGCGCGCTTAGATTTTGAGACGACACAAGCGGCAGCGCAAAAAGCCGCCAATGCCGCTCAAACGGCGCAGAGCAATGCAGCGGCCGCGGCCGCGCACGCGGCTAATACCGCGGCTGCGGCTGCGACTGCGAGTCATTCGGCCTCCTTACACGCCGCCACCGCCGATGAGCCTATCAGCCTAGCAAACACCTTGCCCGTAGATACATTTCATTACAAGAGTTATCACCTTTAAGATCTTTCTCGGCGCAGTTCTCTCGTGCGGTTCTTCCTTTTGCAGGTATACGGTGCACTTGCCCGTAGCGCTACTGAGATAACGGCGCTATACACAAAGATCAGGTAGACCCAGGTGGTCTCCTTTGCTGCTTTCTAATCAGTAACACTCCAGCGATTGTGTGCATTACCATCGTGTGTTTACATGCCAGACTGCACAATAAAATATTGTTGCCATCCTAAACTGTACGTTATTCTCTCCTATTCCCGAAGTCTTTTTTTTCTTCACCTAGATCTATTTTTCAGTCATTACATGAGAATAAACTTTCTGGTATATACATGTTACATTAATCTTTTCTCTATAAAAATTTAATATAAATAAGCCTCATTATATAGATCATTATTTAATATTGATAATTTATACGCTTTGGTAAAGTAAGTTACGTTGAAATGATAAATATGTAGAATGTAGATAATAAGATGTCAGCTGTATCAATAGTTTAAAATATCTGTTAATTAAACGCTATTTTATTCCAACGCGAATAAATTCTCAAGTGCAATCTTATCAGATATGTATAAACGAACATATATGTATACGTATATGTATATAAATCTCAATGCACACACACCATGCTCCATTAATTAGCGAGCATTATTTTAATTCTTACTTGAAAAATTATCGATCAAATAGATTCGATGGAAGTGGAAAATATATAATTTTAAGTGGAAAAACAATAATATTATCAATCATTTGATTTGATCAAAAATAATTTTGTTTGACCGCTTTAACTAAATAAAACTAATTACATGAATGTTTTAACTTATCCAATCATTGTTTTATAATCGAAAATGTATAAATTTTTTATATATTTTTCAACAATAAAACAACATTTTGCCATATCATTATTTTTATCGACAGTGAAAAGATTTGCGTATCCACAATTGCGGGTTTTTATCAATTCACATTACACTTGTAAGATCTATCATTATTTTATAATAATATATTAGTATCATGTAAATTATTATTACTGGAAATTAGTAATATTATTATTTAATATCTTATCGGAGCTTTAACTAAATTTCAATTTGAAATTTAATTATCAAGATAGAAAATCTTAATCAAATATTAAAAGTTGCAGAAAAAAAGAACAAAATTGATAAAAAATTTAATTCTTATCATAAAGAAATTCTTAACATAAATGTGTAACTTTTAATATACGTATAATACACCTGCATGCATGCACGTTCCCTTCTCCTCCCCACCCTCTCTCTCTCTCTCTCTCTCTCTCTCTCTCTCTCTTTCTCTCTCTCTCTCTCTCTCTCTATATATATATATATATATATAGTATATATATATTTTTTTTTAAATTGTCTGACTAAATAAGATAATTAAAGTATAATCAATTTATCGCAGCTTATTTATTGAGACGTTTAATAATTAAATGCATTAACATACACAGTACCCGGATACAAAGAATCAAATTTGTCTCTAATATTCAAATCTCTTCGATATATTTAATCGATTTTTTAATTAATTATAATTAATTGTATGTTTTGAATGAGAGTACAAAAAACAACATTTTACATTTTGATTCAGCTTTTTCGATGGATTAAGCAAAAATTTCATTTCAGCTCACGATCAGTATGAATACTATTATTTTATCGTGATTCGATAATAAGGTGAACGCCACCTTTGACTGTAAGTACAATTGGTGCTTCATCGAAAATAAGTGGAACCGGAGTTCGAGGATGAAGTTTAAACTTGTACTTCAACAAAAGACTTACGAGCCCAATTTTTGTTTGCATGTAGCCAAATCTGGTACCTAAAAATTAATGATACTGAGAGATAGTGATAATGATGAAATAAATTACAATCTGGGTCTTTTAAATAATATCAGAGATACTTTGGTACAATTACTGACTCACGCGAATATAAGTGCATATAAAACTATGCAATATTTTATTTTAATTAAATCTTTCATAAATCAGTTTGCGAAAGAATATATCAACGTGAACTTGAAAATAATATACATATGTTTATGGTATTTCGAATAAAATGCGTCAAAATAAATATGACTTAATTTCTCTAAAATATTTTAATAGAACATTTGACACACGTGATTGATAAAAATTATTAAAATAAATTAAATACTGAAAAGAACACTTTTAATCGAAAGGAATATATCTATTATATGAATTAAACATTGTAAGAGAATTTTGTTCGTAAATATAAATACTAAAACACAAATCCAATACTAATTAATCTCAAATTATCATGAAAAAAATCATAATAAAATTGCGTGTTTAAAAAATTCATAACGATTCTTGAAGCACATAAGATTTTAAATAAAATGATTTTATATAATATATAAATTAAATAAGATTATCCTTATACCAATACAAACTCGAGGCCCTTCTCCAAACGGCAAATAAGCATAAGGATGCCTAGCTGCTATCTTGTCCGCGTTGAATCGTTCAGGATCAAATTTATCCGGATGCGGATATAGCGATGGGTCCCGATGCAATCCAAATACCGGTATAGTAATTAATGTCCCTTCTGATACGTGAATATTTGTTGTGGGAAGGTCTAATTCCTTGGTGCAAATGCGATTCAAGACAGGTACAGGTGGATATTTCCTCATAGTTTCTGTAATATATAAAAAAATATTGTTCCTAAAATATAACCAATTATTATACATATATGTATAAACATTTTATATGTATAATAAAATTTATATATATTCTACTTGCCATTTACTACTTTATGAAGATATGTCATTTCATTTACAACATTGTAAGTTAATTCACCATGCTGTTTTAACATTTCGTCAATTTCCTGATGAATTTTATCCTGTATGCCTTGATGTTGAGCTAATTCATATAGACAATATGTCGCTGTTGTCGAGGAAGTTTCAAAACCAGCCAAAAAGAAAACATAAGCTTCCCCAGCCGCTTCCAACATGGTAAGTTTAGTTACATTATTTGCTAAATTAAAAATAAGATATTATTATTTCATATAATCTTGCGTAGAAACTGTGTACAAAAAGTAAGGTGTTCTTATATAATATACGTATATAACAAATATCTTTATAAATAAATCTATGCACATATATATTTAAATAAAAAAGTATATATATATATATATATATATATATATATATGTATATATTTTTTTTTTTCAAAATTGTTTGAAATAAGATAATTAAAGTATAATCAATTTATCTCAGCTTATTTATTGAGACGTTTAATAATTAAATGCATAATTAAAATGGTAATACGTATACAGATATATATATATATATATATATATATATATATATATATCTGTATGCATATTACCATTTTTATAAATATGTAATTGTGTTTTTTAAAGTCGTAAAAGAACAGTTAAAAGATAAGTAGAAATAGTTAATTTTAAATTAATGTAAAATATTCATTTAATATAAAATATTCATTTACAGGATATATTATTAAAATCTTTTTCATTATCAGCTTCAATATAGCCCTTGTCCATGAGTTGTATGAGTAGATTCATAAAATCATGTCTGATGACATTATGAGTTTGCCTGTATTCTACGTTATCTCGAAACATTTTTGTAAAAAATTTAGTGACTCCCCGATCCGTGGTGGGAATGGAAAAGAAATCCATAACTTGGGGTGCAAACATTAATAGAGCGTTCCAAAAAGGTCTCTCTTCAAAGACTTTCTTTCCCCAACGCCGAAATTCATTATTCGGCTCTTCCATGCAATTAGACTTGATTCCAAAAGCCGTTGACATAATAATATCCGTCGAATACCTATTTTTAATATAATTTTAATTAATCTTTTTTAATTAAACCTGTACCAAAGTCGAGTTTACTGGAAATTAACTAAAAAATTATGTACACCGTTTATATATATATATATATATATATATATATATATATATATATATATATACAGGGTGAGGCATCTAAAACAGGCCACCCGAATAACTCCGTTGGTAAGCCGAATACAAAAAAATTGTTCAGACAAAAGTTGTATGGTTTCAAGGGGGACATATGATGGTGTCATTAGTTTAATCTTGAAGAGCCACCCGAAGGTCACGTGAAGGTTAGCTCCAACTTTTTAAATGGGACACCTTATATGCTTTTGCATATTCTTGTAGCTCATCTCAAGAACTTTCCAAAACACTACAATTATGTTAGTTTTCATTAAATACTTTCCAAGTTATGAGGCTTGAAATCATTTTTTAATTTTACATAAACCGTAAAATATCTTGTAAAATATTCATTTTTCGATTATTTTACCTTAATACTTTTATGTACAAAATAATGAGAAGAATCAATTGGTGTAAAGAAAACACATAATTGCTTCGAACAAAAAAATGTAATTTGCAATTAACAATTACATTTTTTTGTTCGAAGCAATTATGTGTTTTCTTTACACCAATTGATTCTTCTCATTATTTTGTACATAAAAGTATTAAGGTAAAATAATCGAAAAATGAATATTTTACAAAATATTTTACGGTTTATGTAAAATTAAAAAATGATTTCAAGCCTCATAACTTGGAAAGTATTTAATGAAAACTAACATAATTGTAGTGTTTTGGAAAGCTCTTGAGATGAGCTACAAGAATATGCAAAAGCATATAAGGTGTCCCATTTAAAAAGTTGGAGCTGACCTTCACGTGACCTTCGGGTGACTATTCAAGATTAAACTAATGACACCATCATATGTCCCCCTTGAAACCATACAACTTTTGTCTGAACAATTTTTTTGTATTCGGCTTACCAACGGAGTTATTCAGGTGGCCTGTTTTAGATGCCTCACCCTGTATATATAAAATAAGGGCTTACCTTGCAAATATATCTTTTATCTCAATGCAATCTTTCATTTGAGCTTTGCTCTCTAAACTTTTTGCAAATTCTTCCCCGCATTCCTTCAGAATCATAAACATTTGCTTTATCTTTCCTGAAGTGAAAGTGGGTGTCAACTTTACACGTAAATTTCGCCACTTTTTTCCAGGCAATAAAAACAAATGGCCAGACAATGGATCAATCTTCTCGTTGCAAAAAAAACCACGATCATGAAAACTTCCGAATTCCTTGGCCAATACTGTTCGAATAAGATCGAGATCGGCAATCACCAGATTTGGCTTGAAAAATGTATACATTCCAAAGACACGATGATCCTTGTATTTCATATAGGCGTCACGGAAGAGTTCGCCTATTGACAAATCTCACATTTAACTTTTTAAGTAGGGATACAATAATATAGCAAAATAAAATATTAATTGTATACATAAAAACAGAAATAAAATATACATTTATTAACTATAAAAGAATGAGGTTTAAAAATTTCATATCTCATAATTAATATTTTTGATGATTTATTATTTAAGATAAAGATTTTACAAAAATGTTTATTTTTATCATTGTTCAAATAATTTAAAGAAAATTGCCAAATAATCTCGAGTTATTAATTATAATAAAATATATCCGTCCCCAAACATGTTGTATGTATATGTATGTGTATGAACATAAAAATTATTTAGTAACGCGCAATAATTTTATATGTATAAAAATTATATTTGAAATAAGAAATTAATTAAAACAAACACAATATGTGTGTGTGTGTGTGTGTGTGTGTGTGTGTGTGTGTGTGTGTGTGTGTGTGTGTGTGTGTGTGTGTACATATAAATCAGAAAAAAATTGAAAAAGAGAAAAAAGAATTATATATATATGCACACACGCGCGCATCCTTACGTGCAGATATAAAAGATACATTATTAATTAATTTTATATAAAAATACTTGCCTACTGACACTTTTCCAATCACATAAGCTGTCAAATTACCAGCTGGCACAGTGGGTTCGATATAAAAAACACCCTTTTTGCGCCAATAATTGAACAATACATATTTATAATATATGTATATAACACTCAGAGCAATAATAGAAATCCCAATTAATTCCTCGAGCAACATCGCGAATCTATACTCTTGTCTAAAATATAATAACAAATAACTTTATCGTAAAAGAAACTTAGAGAAATATTGCATATCCAATTTTAAATTTATTTTTATGTTTCTAACATTTGTGCTGTTCGAAACACTATCGAATAATATAACATCGAATATAAAGAATCAATTTACCAAATATATACATAAAAATAAAATATGAAGAGAAAGAGAGAGAGAGAGAGAGAGAGAAAATTCACATTTAAAAATTTATCAAAATAGCGCAAAAGATCAAAATTGAAGACAGCATATACATTGAGGGAAAAATTTTTTTAAATTAAATAAACTTGTTTTCTTGAAACTTTTACTTTAAATAAAAGGAATTGTTTATTTCATTTAAGCAAAAGCATTTAATTTTAATTAAATATGCATGTTATATTAAGTACATTATTTTCATTTATATATTTTTTATATTTAAATACTATTTTCGTAAAATATATACTATAATTTATTAAATTAAATATATTATTTTTTTAAATTAAAAAATTAAAATTTTTGGGAATAAAAAATGCATTTTAATAAATATTTTATAAAATTAAAATAAAATTATTTAATTAAAAATTATATTTTTTTAAACATATGTAAATAAATACTTAACTTAAGCAAACAGACGTTTTGAATGCAAGTAAATACGTAATTAGTACCCACCGAATAAATAGCTTTCTTGAGTTAACTAAAATTTTTTTATTTTAAGATAATTTTTTCCTCAGTGTATGCAATTCTTCTTTTGTGAACATAATATATAGTACAAAATCATAGTTTATCTCAAACAATATATCTCTCTCTCTCTCTCTCTCTCTCTCTCTTTCTCTCTTCATCTTTCATTTTTACGGATTGATATATATTTTGTAGATTGCTTCTTTACATTCAATATAATATTATTCGATGGTATGTATGTATACGTATGTATGTATACATATGCGAAAAATATTCTATATTTAATTTGAAACCAGTTTATTCATTATAATAAATTTTAAAATACTATTTAAGTTTGTTCAAGATAATTAAAAACTTGAAAATTTGCAATAAGTAATACTGCTTTATATTTTTTCTAGTAAAAAAATAAAGTTACATAATCTATTATAGAAATCTATTAATTTGTCTGACAATGAGATTCTATTCTAATGATTCTCAATAATATTTCTTATACAATGGTATACATGTTAGATGATGTGACGATAATTAAGTTACGATAGTCAATATTACCTTTGCTGAAAAAAAGCGTTGATCACAAATAATCTTTTATTATCTATATTACAATCAGTATTATAGAATATATATTAAATACACATATCAATATTTTCAAGTATACTGAAAGATATTGCATGAATCACGATCTTATATATAAGATAAATGCTTGAAAAATGGTTATTTAATTATAAGATATACTCCAAATTACATATTCAGGTTGTCGTTGCATGTGACGGGAATAATAAGAGATAAATACAAAAATGTTCCTCTATTTTGTTACATAAGTTAATAAAAGAGTTAATGATGACTTGCTCGTTTTATCATGTTTTGCTTATTATGACTAATTTTGTTTGAGAATCTTAGAAATAAATTAATCACACGCATGTAAGAATGTGTGGGCTCGCAAATATATGTAATATATGTAAGATGTGGCAATAATATTGTCCATCTGGAATATTTCTGTTATTTTTAAAAACAAGGAAAACTTATAATTATAAAAATTACACGATATTAAAAAGGCCTAACACATATGTATAAAAAATAATAGTATTTTTTCTGTAAATGAAGGTGTTCCAGACATTTCAAAATTTATTTTTATATTTTTTTTAAATAAAACATTCTAATTTTTTTATATAAATCGATTCCTCGCAATATTTCATGTAAAAATTAAAAATTAAGATTGGATAGCCACAAATTGAATAGTTTATAAGATAATTTATACTTTAAGTTAACATAATTTTACATAAACTATGAAATATCTCGTAAAATATATTTATTTTTCGATAATCTTATTGCAATACTTTTATACACAAAAAAATAATAATCAATTAGTATAATAAAGGAAACATCCCGGTAAAAAATTTTTCATGTATATTCATGCAGAATTGAATATAATTGTACAAAACTATATATAATTGTGCAAAAATATGTATAATTATAAATAATAGAGTACAGGAAATAGAGTACAGGACATTATATATATTTATATATAAGTGTAATAACTCTTACATATAATTATATATAAGTGGGCATTTTGCATACTTATATGTAATGTTCACAATGTTTTATGTATAATTATACATGGATTTCTGTTAGTTTAATATATAATTATATGTAAGTCTTGCGTCATATATAAATATGTATAAGTAACAAATATAGTTCAGATACAATCATACATAATTGTATACGATTCTATATAAACGAGAAATTTTGATCAAAATGTATATGCATCTTTCCCTCAATGCACTCATGAACAACGGATAGGTGAAACATTTTGTTTTATACTTAATGACCCGGGAAAAAAAAGTCCATGTCTATTTATATAAAAAAAGTAAAATTATATACAGTCTTATATGATTATATATATATATATATATATATATATATATATATATATAATATCACATATGATTTTATCAGAGCATACGTTTTTGTATATGCTTAGATATGATATCCATCTCTGACCATTTCTGATCATAAAAAATGATATTAGATATCTCACGTCATTTTGTACAATCAGACATAGTCAGATACTGATATCATATCTAAGCATGTATAGAACCAAAACAAAGGTTAATGGTTTCATGTACGCTTTGATATAAATCATATGTTATATATCATATGTTATATCCATATATATGATATAAATCATATGTTATATATCATATGTTATATCCATATATATGATATAAATCATATATATGTTATTATATATAATCATTTAAGATTATATATGATTTTACCTTTTTTTATATAGACCAATATAATTTTTCCTAAAAATTATATCTTGCATTATATATTTAATTAATTATTATGCAGTATTTAAAAACAACACTTAAATGTATATTATTATAGAAGCAGCTAAGTGGTACACCGAAAAAATTGTAAATTCTTAATGAATAAGAATATATTCTTAATTGGCGACTTCTACGTCGCAACTCGATTTTCGTGTGCGCGACATGTTTCTTCATTTACCGTTACGCGGCGACACCACTCTTAATTTTTCTCGTATTCAATATTTATCATGAAATGTATATAAAGGACTTGTATTAATGTAAGATTTAAAGTATATTTTTTTCCCTTAGCAGTGCGGTGCGAAAGAGAGGACGTTGCTCACACATAGGTTCTCTCTATGTGCATGAGCCGCATCCTCTTTGACATCACTGTTTATTAGTTTAATTCCAAGCTGGATTCCTTGTTAGGATTCAGAATATTTATTTATAAATGATTTAATATTTATTCATATATGATATCATATATGACTATATTTGGCAAAATATAATTAGATGATATTGACAAAATCCATATATGGCCAATTTTATATGGACTTTTTCTTCCCGGGATTATAAAAATATATCTTTATATAATAATATACAAATATATATATATATATATATATATATATATTCATATCCATTTATACATAAGCATATATATTTTTATATGGACAAAATTGATATATAAGTTTATATAACTACATATAATCCGTTTTGTCTAATTATATATGAAAAAATTTTTACCGGGATATAGTTGTTCTAAAAAAAAATATGTAATTACTTGTTGCAAATTCATATTTTGTTCTTAAAAGTGGACAATGTTATTGCTACACTCTTTATAATTAAGTTATCTTACTCTTTATCAATTTTCTACTTGTTTTATTCGTTGTTAATGAATTTATAAATTTATGAATTTATAAATTTATAAATTTTTAAATAGATTGAAAGTTAGAGTTATGCAATTAAACATTATGGAAAAAGTATTGTATATTTTTTATGCATTATGTATTCAAAATATGCAAAAATTTATATATACATGTAATTTATATATACATGTAATATATATATATATATATATATGTATGTATATATATATATATATATATATATATATATGCGTATACATACATATATACATATATACATATATCCACACACACACACACACACACACACACACACACACACACACAACAAATACAATTATTTTGTATGTAAAAGTGTTTCAATTTGATGACCTAAACTTTGAATATATATTTTATATTCATCAAAATAAGCAAGAAATAAATAAACATAAGTCTAGAAATCAACATTTTCTAGAAATTATTCATAAGAATATTTAAAAAATATGATGTATTTAAATTAAATTAATATCTTAAATATATTGAAACAATGAATTTAAATCTTTTTTGTCAAAGAACACAAAAAAAATTTGGCATTTTGAAACATGAAGCGCGAGTCCCAATAAGAACCCTAACAGCACATGATATCATTCGAATATTCTATACTTATACTGTAAATATACATTACAGATATAATATATTGAGAATAATCCCATAACATCTCTTGTTGTATATTATTTTTCATATATTCTCAGAATATACTTTGAATATCTCGCGTATTAGTATATTCTTTCTCATATATTTTCCGGATATTCTATAATATTGCATGTGTTTCCTCATTTTGCCGCTACGCGCGCTACCAAACTCGTAGTTTAATTTTGGTGAAATGGACATAAAGGACTGGTACTTAACATGAGTTCTAAAGTTTCTTCTTTTTTCTTTTTAGTCATTTTAATTTATAATAAGCTGACTTAATTTAAAATTTGTTTAGTAATTTAGTTGTTCTGGATTCTTGGTTTGGATTCAGAATATTAAAAAGATTATTTGAAATTAAAATGAGAAATAGTGTGTGCGTGTTTACGGCATTTATCAAAAGTATTTATATTACATATATGAATTATACTGCAAGATATTCTCAGTATTTACTATTAACCAAAATAGGCGGACATTAGAGCATTCTTAGTATATACTTAATATATCATAGTATGTATCTCAAATGTTCTGAGAATATAAGCATTGTACTTTTGCGATATTCTTCGAACATTCTCAGTATCTACATGTGCTGTTAGGGAAGACATGTGTCGCGATAGACGGAGAGATGCTTTGAACATCTATTACAATTATGAAATAAAATTTTTCCTTATGATATGAAATTGTTTCTAGATTAAATTGTTTCTAAAACTAATTTCTAGATTAGTCTTTATCAATAAACGTTTGCTTATTTTAAAAGTATATTGTAAGTATACCTAAACTCTTATTTTGTTACCGTCAATACAAAGATTTATACATATATTATACGTATATTTATTTATTAGCGTGACATATTTATGCATATATATTTATTTTCTAGTATCTTTTAGTTACATTAATTTTTATGAAGCCTGTCATTTTTAGTAATATTAATGTTAATAATAATATAGTTTCGTCGAGATAATAATACTTTATCGATCCTATGTAAATGTACTATACTTTGGCGCCGGGAATTTGAATCATTTAATGTCTCATCGTGTCGTTAGAGGGTACCACTATGGCCGTGTGGCAAATTTGTCTACGCAGTTTCCTCTCGTATATTATAATCCATGATCGTCAGTACCTAAAATACCCAGATTGCTCTGCGGCGCTATTTCGTAGTTTCGTTTTCGTTTCACCGCCTGCTCCGCCGCCATCATCGCGAAAAACGACAGTGAGAGAGAGAGGTTGGTTTACCTCGGTGTTTCTCTTGCGTGATAGTTACGTTGCATCGCGAATCGCACAAATGAAGATGGTGGATAAGATAGAAATGAGTCTGGACGACATCATCAAACAGACCAAGGGATCTAGAGCGCGAGGCGGCGGTAGACGCGGCAGAGGCGCCGGCAATTCGCCCCGTCGAGGAGCACGTAGGGCGCAAAGAGTCGGCGGCGGCGTCATGCGAGGACGCAATCGCGGCGGTATTGCACGTAGCTCTTTGCCGTACACGAGGGTAAGAAAATGATGGTAATAAGCATATTTCACATTGCAAGCTTTCCTCTATCGAATTTGCCCAGAATTGTTTAATGCGCGTACGTATACGTACGCGTGCGCGCGCGCGCACGCGCGCATGTGTACGTACACATATTATATTTATATATACGTGTATGTATGATGGTATACGCGCAACAGTATTGGGTATATGGAATACGTATGATACATATGTATGCCATATATTCGTATGCGTCACGTACATACATGTACCTTATGAAATGGAGCAGTTCTTCAAAATGTTCATTTCTATAATGAGTCGCTTAAAATTATAACTCGCATCGCGGCTTCTAGAATAAAAATGATCCATTATGTTTTTCTCCTTTTTTTCAATATCTTTATATATTTTTATATATATCGTGTTTATACACACTATATAAATGTTCGCAGCACACGCACAAGTGTATGTCAAATAAATATGAAATCAATTTTTTATAGTAAAAACTTTTTTTTTCATTTTAAGTTGTTTTAAGCAACACCTCTCTCGTTCTCTCTCTTTTGGAATTTTTGGAATTCATTTCTTTTATAATTCAGTAATGGACAAAAAAGGAAAACATTTTTTATTAAGAAATATATAAAAATTTCTTTACTTTAAAAGAAATATAATTTATAACACAGCGACTTTTCTCTAATAAACTTTATGGTTTATTGTATAGGGTGATGTAAACAGCGCTTGGAAACATGACATGTTTGATGGCGTAAAAAAAGTTGGTCGTGGTGTAATAGGCAATGCAGGAACAACTAAACTTTTGGTGTCAAATCTTGATTTTGGTGTATCAGATTCAGATATACAGGTACTAAGATATATATAGAATAGCTTTTTTTTAGCATTTAAAATAAAATGAAATCACAAATTAAATATTTGAATAGTGTACATAAAATATAATTTGTGTTTACCCATGCAAATTCTACAAAAGATATGTAATAATAATTTTGTCAAAATGAACATCTAATGTTCGATGTATTAATTTTCATATAGCTATAGATTAATTAGGACATTTGTATACAGAAAAATTGTATGTAAGAAATTTTAACTATTAATAATGTTTTAGGAATTATTTAGTGAATTTGGACCTTTAAAATCAGCAGCAGTACATTATGATAGATCAGGTCGTTCTCTAGGCTCTGCAGATGTCATTTTTGAAAGACGAGCTGATGCTATCAAAGCAATGAAACAATATCATGGAGTACCGCTAGATGGTATGCATCTAAATATGCAGACAGTTATATTCAGTAATGAATGTATCTTTTTTAATTAAGAAATTGTATTTAGATATTAATATCTTTTAATTGTAGCCTTTTTTCAGTTTGCATCTTGCAACAGAAACATTGAACACTTTTTATTTTCAAAAGTTACAATACATGAGGCAATATTAGAGAAATTATTGCAGAGATTATTGTGAACTATGTGTGTGATTTGCACAAATATGTTTTTGCATTCATTACTCCAATGTATTTCGGTAGGTCGAGAAATGAACATACAAGTCGCAACTTCTGAATTACCAGTCACTTCTGTCCGTGGTGGCCCGAGACTAAGCGGTACTAATTATACACAGAGACCTCAGACTCGTTTTAGGGGGAATCGCGGCACAGGATCTGTCAGAGGTAATTTGTTAATGAGACTTAATTATGCAATTAATTTACATAATAATAAAATTGACAGTGCGTTAATCATGTGAAAATTATTTTTTATTATAAATGTGTATGTGAGTTATAGTTATTAAAATATATTTAATAGAATATTTCGTAACGCACATTTCGCTTAATCATTAATGTTATTATATGTTATTTTATGAAATTTAAGGTCGTGGTGGAAGCGGTCGACGTGGAGGTAGAGGAGGCATTCGACAAGTAACAAAAACACCCACAGCTGAGGAATTAGATGCGGAACTAGAAGCATATGTGAAGGAAGTCAAGTAACAATCACAAAATTCTCTCTACTCTATTCAGATTTTGTTCATATTGACTTAACGTAATACACGTTTGTTGCCCTTATTTTCATGAAGCATACAATACAAATACAATTCTATCAAGATATATATAGTGTGTGTGTATGTATATATATATGTATGTATATATATATATATATATATATATATATATATATATATATGTATGTGTATATATATATAGTAAAATGTAAAGAAATTCTCATTAATTTTTAGTTTTTATTTTTGACGATTCTTTCGAAAATTGGTATAATCAGTTTTACAAAACCTCCGCGAATATCATTTGTTAGACGTTCATAGATTTTTTTTATGTGATACAATAAGAAAGTTAAAAAAAGAACAAACTTATATAATTGTAAAGACTGTATGGATTTGTATGTACTATCGTGCGTGTGTGCTCATCAGATGAAAAATACAATGAGATGCATCTCGAAAAGTTGTTGTTTATCAAAGTACAGAATGTGCTTCTAGCCCTCACAATCTGATTCTATTCTTAGTACCATGTCGAGTATCAAAAATTTGTTTGCTATACCCATTTAGGGTAGTTTAGTGGCTGATCTTAGGAATATGAACGACGAGGAAAGATATTTTTGTAACCTACATTTGGTGGATTGTTTTTTTAATATATAAATAAGCATTGTATATAACTGTGCTTAGTGCATAGCTTATAGCATATTAAGGCTGTGACACATACTGTTAACTAGTCAGATATCGATGATATATTTAACTACACAGTGATGGACATGTAAGAAAATGTAAACATTTTTTAATCACGCAGCGTATAAAATGCAATCAAGAACAAGACTGCAAGACTGAAGAAAAACTACTGACAGAGTCTCTTAATAAAAAAGATTATTCTTGAAGTAAAAAGTTTTTATTACCCACCTAAAGAAAAGGATTCTTAACATACGATTCTTAAAGATAAGTTATTTCATCTACCGTTGTATATAATATTTCGTCATTTAAAATATATAAAAACATCTCCCGATTTAACTTAAAAATATGCACATATTCAATGTGTGAAAAAAAGTATTTAAATATTAAACACTATAAAGAGAACGCGACCATTAATGCAATTCTTATTAAATAATATCGACACTTGAAATATATACTTTGCGAAGACACATTTTATTTTACTTAATCACATTGTATATCGTTTTGTACATATGTAAAAATATTTGCTAATAAATAGCATAGAGAGCAGGCTATTACTATAATATTCAGCCTGCAATTATAGAGATTGCTACAGAATTGTACTTTATCTTCCACAAAATGTAGATCAATTTTTCTCTTTCCCTTTCTTCTCGTATTTTTTTTACATACTATCAGAAATATCAAATTCTCTAAATATTTAATAATAAGATCAGTCACGTTTAGATAATAAAATTTTACTATGCAATAATAATTGTATACAATACGAGGCAACATTTTACCCCGCATCAATATTTTAAATTACAAAAGACAGATAAATAATGATTTATTTTTATAATCTTTTCAGTGTCCTCTTCCTGTCCTTTAACATTTTTTTCTTTTCCGCCGTTAGTTTCTTATCACCCGCATGTTTTTTTGGAAGAGGTCCCCCGCTTTCCAAAGAGGCGCAACTTTCCAGACCCGCTTTACTACCTTTACCGCCTCCCTAAAGAAATCCAACCATTGTCACATCGGTGTAATTAAGAAGGAAAGCCTTATAATTGTTCTCAAGATAAAGATAGCATTACCTGTGCATGTATCTCAGTCATCATTTTTGCTCGTTCTGAATATTCGTCGTGACTTTCTAAGAGTAATTTGCCAGCTTCCTCATTCAAAGCAGATTCAGGATTTGGCACTATTAGTAAACATTTTACGGTCTAGAAGCAAAATATGCAAATAATAAGCGAGTACTTGCAACGCGATACGTATAATTGTACACTTGTATCGTATAATTCGTGTATAATCATATACCAGTAATATATGTTGTATTCCAAGATCTGGTTTCCAATCCTTTTTTAAAGTATTAACGCATATTTCGCCATTTTTTGCTACATTGGGATGAAAAATCTTTGTGAGGAAATAAGCCTTTGGTGGTCCTTGCGGGAAGTCTTTTCCAAGAGCTAGTTTAACTCTAAAGAAACCGCCAGCGTACGGAGTCCCGGCTATCATAGAAGGAGAGAAATATATATTAGTCTTATTGCTGTATTATATTGCTTATTAATTAGAATTGAAACTCGCACAATTCAACACAATTTAGCATGAACGAGTAAGTTAGGTCGGATCGGTTTATATTTGATTCGATTCGATTAGGTTAGGTTGGATTAGGTTAGGTTATGGTCGATAAAAGGATGCTTCGTTCCGGGAATTTATCAACCGTAGCTGGACGATAATCGAGGAGCGAAAAGACGCAAAATGCCAAGAAAGATCGATCAATCTTACACGGGCCTTCGATGACAGCTTGGATATCGGTGATGTCCGCCTCGTTCAAAATGACACGAATACCCTCGGGTGGTTGCGCGGCCAATTCTGCCATCTCCTTGGCCACTCGGCGGATAATTTGCGGCGATAAATTTTCCACATTCTGCAAGAATGTACGATTGGCGATATCGGTCTCGTCAGGACACGCGGCGCAAACATTTCAGCGCAAGGCGCGCATCGGTAATAGACGGATAGGCTGATGGATAGGTAAACAGAAGAATACGTCGCGATGAATAATAGAGTGTGTTTTCGCTTCGCGATAACTAAAAACGGATACTCACGGAGCTCACGGCGGCAGCCATAATCGCCGAAAGCTTGCAACGTATTCTCGGCCAGGCCTCGCGTGCAACTGCAACGCCGCGACTACACGTTACACGTTCCGTCTTCCTCCAACTCTCTTTCAAGCGCGCAGCGCGCGGTGCAACGTGCGACGTGCGACGTGCGACTCTAGGAAAACGCTTAACGTCACAACATTAGCACGGCATCGCCCGCAATAACCAACATTTTAAACTGACAGCCAATCGCGTGCCAGACTCGAGCGTACTCTCGAAGCTAGAAGTCGATTGTTCCTCCTCTTCCACCTTTTCCTCCTCCTCCTCCTCCTCCTCCTCCTCCTCCTCCTCCTCCTCCTCCTCCTCCTCCTCCTCCTCCTCCTCCTCCTCCTCCTCCTCCTCCTCTCGTCCTTCTATCGACTCCCTATTCAATTCACTATTTCGACCATTCGACATTCGACTCGTCCTCCGACTCTGACGCGTTTTGCGCTTGTTTTTTTTCCCAACTCAAACACGCAACAAGGCTCGTCGGCGTCGCTGAAGAGCAAATCGAACTACCTTCGATGAGATAACGCGCGCGTTTGAGAGGACAGTACGTGGATGAGGATACGGATTTATACGGATACGGATTCCCATTGAGACAGGATTCTCCTTCTTGCGATTACCCTCTCCTTTAACGATTTAAACTCTACGCGTCGTAGCTTCGCGGCACCATACTGCACGTCTCACCTTTTCCCCCGCTGCCCCTCTGCTCTCCCACATATCGCCGTTGAAGTAAACTTAAACGTTGCCGCTGTATTGTCACGAATTTACACAATGACGGATGATGGAACGATCGAAAAGGTAAACTCGCTTTAATTAATTACGCCTACTTCATTATGCGGGTGAGATTCAACTGACAGATGCAGAGATATCTCCAATAAATGACATACACTTTTGTACTTGGTAATAGTAATAGAAAATCAATGACGATAAGACTCGATTTCACCTGCTGATAATGCGATGTCATCTTAGGAAAAGCACATGAAACAACTGAAGCGTAAGATGGAATGCTGGCGGGAGATAATACTGCCTTTGAACTCCATTCTTCTGTGGGAACGTAGCTGGCACCCTGGTCTGATCGTCGGACTCGTTACAATAATATTCTGGTAAATTGAATAATTTTTATGTAAATTTTATGTTTTTTTTTTTAGACTGTATCAAAGTCATTGATTGTTCCTTTCGCTATAAGTTTCTCATCCATCTCAAATTTAAATTGATTTTTTCCTCGTCAAAAATCTCTCGATGCACCTCGAGACAGATTTCTAATAATGAAGAAAAAGGAACAGATGACAATGTGTCCGTTTGTTAATTTTATAATAACATAGTTGTTTAATTTTTAATTATTAATCTAGTTGTACATGACATGATATTAGAAATCGTCATTATATCAAATTGTGATAATTCTTATTACGAGGAAAAATTATCTCTAAATTAACCAAGAAAATACTAGATAGAAAGAAGTTTTGAGATATTCTATATAAGGTTGTAAAAAATATAAAGTAATAATATCTTTTCCATTGCAGTGTAATATGGATTCTAGAACCAACTTTACTGACCATGATATCTATATGTCTATTGATATTTGCTCTTGTTGATTATCTTGTGCCGATTTTGACCTCAATCTTATGCAACGCACAGAGTTGGACAGGACAAAAGGAAAAAAAACTGATCGAAGTTTGTCAAAATCTCTCGATCGCTATACTACAAATACAAGGCACATGGACGTGCATCTCGAAAATTCGACATGATCGTCCCAACATTGTAAGTATGCCATTCTCCTACTATACTTTGTATGTCTACTAAATCTTAAAATTATGTATAAAAACTTGTTATTTGTGAGAGAAGAGAAATGTGTGCATTAGAGAATCAATATATATAATTAAATAGATGTAAACTATATAATATATATGTGTGTGTGTGTGTGTGGATGTGTGTGTATGTATACATTTTTTTTCACATATTTAAAATTATCTTTCTTGAGAATTAGATGGTAAAAAGAAAAGCGTTTTTTATTTTCTAATTAATTTTTCGCGAAAATGATATTTGATGATACCATGAGATTAACTAAATATATAGTATATAAATTGTATATAAAAATTAATAAATTTACTTTAATTGTTCTTTTATCATAGTACTATGGTGCAACAATACTCTGTCTTATTCTCTTTGCATGGATCGGCAACACAGTCAACAATTTGCTTCTACTTTACATCATAGGTAATAAATAAATTTATACAAATGTGTAAATTAATTTTCCTTCTCTCCATTATATCACATATTGTACTGTGTAAAATCTGTTTTAGTGAATGCAACCCTTCTCACTCCAGGATTCAGACACAAAGGACGAGCGCGTTGGGCTGTGAGATATGCATACAATCATTTAATTCATCGTCATCTATCATAATTGTCGTTTTACGTGTTCATTAAAACTATCCATTCTGTCCTTAAACCACCTTTGATATTAAATTCATTCATATTATTCTACAAAACATTTTACGAATTTACATGTGTATCTCGTGTACTAATTTCAAGAATAATCGAAGTTCTTCACTCTATCCAAATATAAAAGATCGACATAATCCAATACGCTAAAAAAAAGAAAATACAAAATTACACCTTATCGTTTTAAATATAAGGATTGATCTCTCATTTGCCATGTGATTTTGTATCTCGCATAATAGAATTATACTTGTGAATCTCCATCATATTGTTTCGTGTCACTTGTGAGAATTAATAAAAGACTTATTTTTCATTAAACTTTTAATTTAAGTTTTAGTTAAAATTGTATATATTGTAATTGTTATTGTTTTCTATAGTATGTAAAGCATATCTTTGGTATTAAGATATATTATTTTATATAAAGAAAAAAATATTTTCATGTGTTATGTATATTAATTATAGCAATAAAATGGATGTGTTTGTGATTGACAGATTAGCTTTAAAAAATGCGTTAACTGAAAGTGAAATTACAAAAATATATATTGGTAAATATAGACGCTTCTTTCCACCATAGATTGAGAGCAAGTCCTTTATTCTCACTACCTTGATGGATCGCAAATAATTTGAAAATCAATACACTAATTCTAATTGATTTTATAATTCTGCCATAGTTTGACCAATTTTTTATAAATGTTTCTTTCGCGATAAAAATATCAGAGCAATGCCGTCTTCGAGTACAGGTAGCAAAGCAAGAAATGTTCACTAATTATCAACATAAATTTCTCTTATAATAGAATTTCGTTTTGAATTACAAGGAATAGTTGCAAAGACACGTACGCGCGCAATGCAAATGTTGAAAATTGAAAAGTTGCGACAAAAACCATTGTTCATTCGTTTATTAATAATGGACGAATCAACTTTAAATTAATCAAATAAATTATATATTATATAAACAATTTAAATATGATGATTTAACCAATGTATGTAAATGTTATTTATACACAATTTTATCTCTAAATTATGCGAGATATACAACAAGTAAACATATATGTATGTATGTGCATAAGAATTTTTTCATAACCTCCCAAAGATACATTACACACACTGCCAGGATTTTTTTCTGTAAGTTCTTCCAAAGTACACACAAAGAGAGAGAAAGACAGAGAGAGAGAGAGAGAGAGTGCGATGACTTTGGCCGACTGGCAATAATGAAACAGGTGTGATCATCGCGATACTTATTATGATGATGTGAGGAAAACGCAAAGAAACACCAACAACAAAATTTCTGTATTAAATTTTGCGTGTAAGATTGCATTGAGTTATCTGTATTGTCTGATGAGAAAGTACAAAAGATAATTTTTATTCAAATTATTTGTGTCCTTTTATTTCTATTTAATGTTATTTATGCAATTGTGAATTCAAACAACTTTTCTGGAAGAAATCATGGACATCATTGTGAAACTGAATGAGCAAACGGCAGGCAGAGATAAAATAATAAGGTATGTATATTGTATATATGAAATATTCAAACGACTCATTATATATATATGTGTGTGTGTGTGTGTGTGGTGTGTGTATCATATAATAATTACTTCTTTTGAATATTTAACAATGCAATTTGTCTCATGTTCCTCTTTCTTTTCAAATTCAATTTATGAAAAGGTTTTTCAGTCACTTGTAGCTGTTATTATATATATTTCGACATTTCCAAAGAAAAATTATTTTTAATTTATTAAAGAAAATTTAGAATTTAGAAATAAAAGAATTAAAAGTGATTGCAAATTATAAATCATTTTCTAATATTTTTAATATTATCAGAAGGAATAATAAAAATTGTGTTAATTACAGATTATTGCAATACGGGAGTCGTACTTATTGGTACTATGCACAGAATGCACAAAGCACAAGATTCTCTGCAGAAATTTTAAGGAGTTTGGAATTCACTTTTAGTTCATTCCGAAAATGTATGTAACTTCTTAATTTGTAATGAAATATTTCGTTATTAACAAAATTTATATCATATGGATCTCTTATTACTTTCTAGTACTCCGCCTTGGAAGATGCTTAGACAGTTTATATTTGGCTTTAAAAATAATGAAGTATCCCGATCCAACAGTGAAGATAACATTAATTATGGCAAAAATAGCAAATGCTTTATATTTACTGGCAGATCATTTTATTTGGGTGGGTAGAGTAGGAATTTTAAGAGTCAATCTGGAAAAGTGGAATAAGATTGCAAATAAATATTGGCTAATAACTATTATTTTGAGTTTAATAAGAGATATTTATGAGATTGCCAAGATTTTTAAACACGAGAAGAGTATATTTAAACAATATCAAATAGTCTCTTGTCTAAAAAGTCACAAGAAAGTAGTAATGGATACTGTTAAAAACGGATGCGATTTATTTATTCCATTGACAGCATTAGGTATCACAAAATGTACTCCTGGTACAGTAGGTTTACTTGGAGTAATTTCTTCATTTATTGGTCTCTACACCATTATCAATCCACTTTATAAATTAACTCCATCTTAGAGTAAAATATTTTTATGATATTTCTGTGCACACACACGCACTTGTATATGTATGCATATATGCATATGTGACGCGTGCGCATATATATATATATGTGTGTGTGTGTGTGTGTGTGTCTTATCTTTTGATAGAAATATATATATATATATATATATATATATATATATATATAATATATATATAAAATATATATAAATGTACATATAAGGAGATAAACTATGTATAATATTGTTATATTAAAATGTCATTTGATTTTTATTCTTATAAAAGGTGATTACTTTAAATAATTACTTATATAAAAGGTGTATATTGATTGTATGTGGTTGTCCTGGTAAAAAATTCAGTGGATAAAATCAGCAGTGTTTTTCCTTTTTTGAAATATATATATTTAATAATCTATAAAAATAATCTATATTGAATCTTCCCAAGTTTATCAATGTTCTTTTCTGTAATCTCTCTCCTTTTCTCTTTATTCAACATGCACAAGAAACCAATTGATATTACTACACTTCCTAGAAATGACATAATCATCAACAAATATATATATTTGCACAATGACATGTGAAAAAAGTTCCAACATCCATCTTGTATTTCTTTCTCTATTTTATTCAACAAGATGATGGAAAAAGCTTATGCAAAAAACTTGATCAGATCTAATACATATATATATATATATATATATATATATATATATGTATGTATATATATTTATTTTATTAAAAAACAAGTGTAAATTTATATAAAGAATAATTTTATATAAAAATATAAATATAATATCATGTTTTAGGCATTGTCTGTAAGTATGGGTGCTGCTCCCTCTTGAATTAATAATTCGTATTTATTTGAATAATACATCAATGTAACGCCCCATTTTGCACAGATCACAGACCATACTGCTCTTATGACTGTACTCTCAGAAATTGGTTGAATGGCTGTATAATATAATAGAAAGTTTTCATGTATTAATACCAATTATAATTATACAAATTATAGATTTTAGCATTTATACACAGAAAACTAGGAATAAATAAGAATTAAATAAATATATATATATATATATATCTTCTTAAATAAATAAAATAATATGTAAACCAATTTTCTAAAATAACAATATACTTACGAATCTTGTAGTAAAATGTAAGAAACAAATACCAAATCAGTGCAGTAACACCAATTACAGCACATATAAAGCCCACAATATTTAAATTTTGCAATGTAATTCTAGTGTGCCATCTCTCCAAAGTTTCCTTGCCTTTTACCCAATGTAAGTGAAAACAGACTCCAGCTAAGACACCTACATATTCCAAAACAAATTAAATTTTGACATGTTAAAATTTCTGCTCTTTTCCCTGCAATATACTGTCATTGCATACATTGAACAATAATATCAAAAGTAAAAAAGACTATGTTTAATATTTTTATATATTGCACATCAAAGATTGATTTCTTTGTTTATACATTGTTCATTACATATAGTGGATAAGAAAAAAATTTTGTCTTTTTCTTCTTGATGTTATTAAAATTTTGAATATCTAATATAGTTGCAATAAGAAGTAGAATCGTATTTTATAAATATTAAAAATATTTAATTTTTTATTTATATAAATTAATCCCGACATAACAGTTAGAAAAATAACGATATATTTATTTTTATTATCATTATTATTAACAACAAACCTCTCTATTTCTCTCTTTGAAAATTTATAGTTGAAAAAAAAGTGATAGATTTTTGTTCAACACTTTTGTTTTATATATCAACAGAATCTAATTTTACTAGTCGAAATAAACTCTAAAAAAACAAATAAAACAAAGTGAAATAAATATCTTCTATTCAGGATGCACACAGTTAATCAAATAGAAAGAGAATTTAAGGTATTTATTAAAATCTAATAATCGCAGTGATCTGTATGTGATCTGTAACGTTTTATCTCCAAATAGAATATCAGTTTTCTAACCTGCTAGTATCGACCAAAATCCAACGTCATGATTCCCGTAAACAACAAACAGAACAAAAAACGCAGATACTCCAATAAATATACCTAGAGCACTAATCAATAATTGTACCAAGACGTTGCGTATCATTTTTTTCGGATGTCTATCAATTACGTTGCAACAATAAAGTAATTAAATGTATCATAATGAAAGTTGAACAAAGTACAACAAAGTGTGTATATGTGTGTGTTTTTCTTTACAATCTTCCATCTGTTCGTAACATCATGTGTTTCTTTGCTGCGTTCGTTTTGACGGTTTCAGTGCTGAAAGCATCGTTCTATCTTTGTTTGATATTCGATGTGTAATAAAGACAAAGGCCGGTATTTATAGTCCGATCTTATATTTGAGATCGTCTTAAGTTCGAGCTTGAAATACTACGCAGTCATTTGATTGGTTGAATGAGGTCTTAAGTCAACCTCGGACCAGACTTAAGACAATCTTAAATATAAGATCGGACTGTGAATACCGGCCAAAATAATACTCACAGCGCGTGAGCGTGCAAAACGAACACAGTCTTTAAAGAAAAATATAGGTTGTGTGCTTGCTAAAAAATGAAATAATCATATATATATATATATATATATATATATATATATATATGTTCAAAAATTAGAAAGAGAAAAAACACAAAAAGAGCAACAAGTTTAGTTAAATAAAGAATAAATTTAGGTTACGTTCCAAAACATAAGTAACCAAAGAAATTTTATTCTGATGGCCGTTTCGAAACTCTTTTAAGCCTTTTCGATTGGTTCAAATCGGCCATCGAGTAAAATTTTCCTCGATTACTTACGTTTTAGAACGTAACCTTAATATGATTAATCATAATAGATATCGGCCGCATTCAGCGACTGGGAGCGTCCCGTTTGACCACGTTGCGATTGACCACAGCCAATTATATCGACCTGTGCCTAGGGTAACCAGCAGCGATTAACCAATCAGAGAGTCCTATTTTGAATTGGCCAATTGGCGACGTGGTCAATCGGGTGCCACCCAGCGAACTCAACCGCTAAGTAGCAATTGAACGTGATTGGTTTCTACTTTCAGATCCGACCAATCAGTGTTCAGAACCATCGGATTACATCGGAAAAACTAGTAATGTTGCCCAACTATTGAGTTCGCTGAATGCGACCATCACGATCCAATTGTCAAGCTAGTTCGACGCTGATTGGATCGCAGTGGTTTAGCAACTGGCAACGGAACATTTGCAATGTATTCTGAAATGGTCCTCAAGGCCCTTGCACAATGCTAGGCAATAGATAATAAAAACAGAAATAGTATCTATTCTCTGTTCCTATTGGCGAATATTTTCTATTCCGCGTATTTATTGATGAATAGTTTCTATTTCCTATTCCTATTGTTTATTGACTAGCATTGTACAAGGACCTTAAGTTTTAAAATGCACGCAACTCGGATAGTTCTGTTTATATCCACACCCACACACACACACACACACACACACACACACACAAAATCGGAACATGAGAAAAACTATTATATAGATTAAAAAAAAAAGACTACCGTTTTCTTTTTATATATTTTAAATTTTATTACTAATCAAATAAATGTTTCTTTAATTAATTATTTATATATATATATATATATATATTAATTTTATATATATATATATATATATATATATATATATAAAATTAATATATATTTTCTTTCTATATAATAGCACTTTGGTAATCAAAAAAAGTAAACTTTATTACTAATCAAATAAATGTTTCTTTAATTATATACATACATACACACACACATATATATATATATATATATATATATATATATATATATATATAATTAATATATATTGTTTTTCTCTACATAATAGCACCTTGATAATCAAAAAAAGTAAACGTTTATTAAATTTATAAATACTTTACATAAATTATTTTTAATTTTACATATGTATATATAATTTTAAAATGAAAATCCAAATAATTTATCTATGTTTAAATAATAATCCTTTTAAATGCACAATTAAAAAGAAAATTAATCAAGAATATTAGTTGGCATCCTATTATAGCAGTAACTAATAATTATATGATAAAATTTAAAGTTTTAAAGACTATGGAATTTTATTTTAAATGTACATTCTCTAGCTACGCGCATTTTCAACACTATGTAAGAAAAAGAGAGAGAGGAGAGAGAAATAAAAAAAATATGGTTTATGTATGTATGTGTGTAGGTGTGTGTGTAAAATTTTCATTAGCGCTCTAACTTGAAATATATAAGAATTCAGATAAAGGTGCACTACATTTCATTATTTCTATTCCACTTTTGTTTGCTTTATGTATAAAAATAAATATGATTCTAAAATATATATACAACAAAAGTAAAATTACGTTAATACATGTGTGTAATACATGCATGTATCTTAAAATTATTTATTTCATTATATCCTTTATGCCGATCAACTTAGCACTTATATCCCATAAACGGAGTGCTACTTCAGAATCTAAATCTTTTTTAGAGACATAAAGTTTACAATCGCGATACAAATGTCCACTTTCTTTACATAATGATGATTCTGTTGCACAATGTAACACTGTTTGCGCACCCTGCAATTATTGATTCATAAGAAAAGTTTTATATAAATATTTCAATATATTAAATATGTTATAAACTGTATACAATGGAAATATCATGAAAAAATCATTTTCTAATAGACATTTTTTAAAAATTGTTAAAAGTATCAAATATATTTACCTGATTAGCAGTACGAAGAAACATGAGAGCAACAGGTGAAAAAATAATATAGTGAAACCAGCTTCTCTTCACATTCCTAAATAGACCAGTATAAGTAAATCCAGGACATACCATATAGACATTAACACCGGTATTTTCTGTTCGTTTTGCAAGTTCAGTGGCAAAGTATGCATTAGCAAGTTTCGAATTACAATAGCCAGGATTCATCCTACTTTTCACTGGCAATCCTTTCTCACCATTTAAGTTTTCAAAATCTATTACTCCAGATTCCAGAAGCTTGGATGTTACTACCACTATTCTATATGGGAAGAAAAAAATATGTTAATATTGATTTATTATTCCAAAATATTGCTTTACAATCACCTGCTAGGAGCGCTTTGCTTCAAGCGATCCAAAAGTAAATTAGTAAGTAAAAAATGGCCCAAATGATTTACTCCAAAATGAATTTCAAATCCATCCTTAGTTAATGCATGATCTTTGAGTGGCGCATATACGCCGGCATTATTGATCAATACATGAATATGAGGAAAATTTTTTAGAACTTTATTGGCAAATTCTCTGATGGACGAGAAAGATGCAAGATCTAACTCCATTGGAATCTATATAATTAAAGAGATACATATTAAAAGTGTGTTGTGTTACATATGTATGTGTATTAAAATAATAAAAAAAACATAAAAGTTTAAAAATATTTAAAAATCAAATTTTAATATTCAGCATTTATTTGTGTAGAGACAATAAATTGAAACTTTTTATTAACAAAAATTTCAATTATAATTACCAATTCGCCGGTAGATATTTTACTTCGGATTTCAGCAATGACATTCTTTGCGTTCTGTACATCCCTACAAGCCATGATGATTGTAGCTCTCCGTTTGGCCAATTCTTTTACCGTCTCTTTACCAATGCCAGAATTCGCACCAGTCACGAGAAATACCTGGCCTTGTAGATTGCTGGTACTCTTACATCTTCCCCAAGTGCGTTCGCGACATTTGCGAAGCAAGCCGATGAGCAAGACCATCGGCAAAATAAAATAACACCACGAAGATACCATATCGATGGTGGCTTTAACTTTGAAACATGAAAAAAATTTCTCCGAAAGAACGCAACGTACAGATTATGTTAAATAATACTAAACATACAGCTGTGTGCTAATGCATATTAAGCGCGATTTATGTATTATATTTCTTGCGATCGCTCTCGTTTAAATCGAATGGAGCGACTTTATTCGAGCTGCTCTTTCGTTTCAGTCTAATTTATCGTGTGTAATAACATAACAGCATGATCTGTCGTACAACGCAAGCGTTAGTCCAAAGTCAAGTTTTATCTCAAGTATTTTGAGTATATTCTTGCATCTTGAGCAAAATAATTATTGCAATTACTGCAACATCACTACTTGACACTTGACACCTAACACACACGAACACCTAGGCCGCCGTATAATATACTTGATCACTCTAGTCAACTCAAGATAAAGTTCGAGATAAAGTCACTAAACAAGTAGAAGAATGACCGCATTCAGCGGACTCAACGGATACTTTCCGAGTCACGCATGATGCGCATGAAGTGACAGAAAATATATAGTTCATGTCACGCATATTATACATTTACGTAAATCGGAAAGTACCCAACAGTTGGGCAACGTTACTAGATTTTCCAATGTAATTTGACGCTGATTGGTCGGAACTGAAAGTAGAAACCAATTACGTTCAATTGCTACTTAGCGGTTGAGTCCGCTGAATGTAACCATATATTCTTCAGAAAAATAGCTGTGATTGGTCAATAACGTCTAAACTACTTCGACAGTGATGTATGAAGTAGGATCTACATTGGTCGTATCGTAACGTCGCAAGTCGTAAGTCGTAGGCAAATTGACCAATCATGGTTGATTAGTTTTGAAATAATCGACTATGGTTGGTCAATTTGCCTACGACTTAAGGTGCAATTTCATTGACGCTAAAAAGTAGTGTCAATTATTGGTTAAATAATGAAGCAACTACTTACTTCTTTGTTCAACCAATGGTTGACGCTACTTTTTAGCGTCAATGAAATTGCACCTTTAAGATGCGGCCTCATTGACGCTAAAAAGTAGCGTCAACCATTGGTTGAACAATGAAGCAACTATACTTACCTCCTTGTTCAACCAATGGTTGACGCTACTTTTTAGCGTCAATGAGGCCGCACCTTTAAGGTGCAATTTCATTGACGCTAAAAAGTAGCGTCAACCATTGGTTGAACAAAGAAGCAACTACTTACTTCTTTGTTCAACCAATGGTTGACGCTACTTTTTAGCGTCAATGAAATTCCACCTTTACACACTGAAAAAGTTGAAACTGTTTGAACTTTATTTTATTGACGCCATATCTAGAGAAAGTCTAGTGATTTTAATTTGCCGCTGGTTTCTAGCGTCAATGAAATTGCACCTTTATAGGTGCGGCCTCATTGACGCTAAAAAGTAGCGTCAACCATTGGTTGAACAAAGAGGTAAGTATAGTTGCTTCATTGTTCAACCAATGGTTGACGCTACTTTTTAGCGTCAATGAGGCCGCATCTTATGACTTGCGTTCCTCTGCGACGTTTCGATACGACCAATGTAGATCCGGCTTTACATATGTCGTACGACAAATTTTTTAAGCCCATTGATTGGCTGCGGGATAGAAAATTTCTAAAGATTCAGAAAATTATTATCCCGCAGCCAATCAATGTGCTTAAAAAATGTGTTGTACGACAAATGTAATTAGATGAAGAAAGCCGCTCGTAATTCATAATCTTTTTTTCTTCTATCATCTATGCTTTTAAATTTCTTACAATATCAGTTTCGCATAAAATATAGATGAAATTATATAAATAAAAAATTGCAAATTAGAAATTGCCATTTTTTACTCATACTCTTATATATATTTGCCAAATTAATGGAGATGACATAATACAATCATCATTTAGCTTATTTATGAACGTTCATATAAAGGCGCTTTTTTCTTCTTATAAATTATTTAATCATTTAAAAATTGAATGCCTTCATAGTTTCACTTAAAAAATATATCTCAAGATTCTCAAAAAAAAAGTAGATCAAAGAATCTATAATGACAAAGATGTCATATTTAACAATTTCCTGTAGAAAATATAATAGGAAGACAATGTGTATACAAAGTTTATTTAGTATATTGGATGCAAAATATTAATAAAAAATATAATATTTACTATAATTGTACTTTTGCAACATTTGACCATATGCATTTATGTTTACTTATTTCTCTGTTTGCTGCATATATATGATTATCGTCGTACTATTTTTATATTAAAATAGAAGATTAAATTATTAAAACATTTTCTTTGTAATTGCTACTTTATGCGTACTTACATTGAAAATTTGCAAAAATATATAGATTAGCTTACACACACGCATATTTCAATAAATTATATGTATATTAGCTATATATATTTAAATTTTAGTAATGCTGAAATTGTATGGAACATGTTAAGGCACACAATAACTACACATAATTATATAAATTGATAAATTGCAAATAATATATATGTGTGTGTATGTAATTGTTTTTTTTTAACTATATACTATAGATCTTTAAATGGACGTTCTCTTGTTCAATAATATCAATTCGAAAAAGCGAGAATTAATAGACCTCGTATGCACATGAGACTCAAATATAATATGTACAAAGGAAAATTGTATATACAAATACATACATAAACGTATATACAATTTCCTCAGATATTGTAATCTAAAAGTGCTTATTCTTGTTGCTTTTCGTGTAAACAAATACTTTTCATTTGCTATTGTTTATGATCGTATAGTTCATTATCAAAAAAATTCTCGAGTTTAAGGTAAAAGTAAATATGATAAATACAAATTAATATTCAATTATGAATAGAGAGTTTTTTCTATCCATTCTTCCATTGTAAACGTAGCTGTGTTGGTTTGATCTGGATCTCTCTCTCTGAAAATATCTGTAACAATAACCAAAAATATAATCCACATTTTATTTTATTAAGATGAGAATAGTTATATATATATTATACATATAAAATATGAATAGACGAATAATAATTATTATTAACAAACAAACTTATGTATTATAATAATTTATAATACCTTAATGTAATATAAAAAAAGGGATATGATATATATCAAAATATAAAAATATTTATTAAATGTAATTGTCTCACTCACCAATCATTGTTTTAAGCCTGACTGCACACATTATAAAATCGTCGAAAGTAATTCTGCCATCTTTAGTGCCATAACGATGAACCAAAATGTTAAGAATATGATTGTTCAAACGATATCCTGCACTATTTAACGCTTGTCTTAATTCAAATGCACTTAAATATCCTGATTCATCTCTATCGTATAGTTTAAAAACAGCCTAAAATGTATTTTTATTATATTATTAATATTCAAATTAAGGAATTACAAATAATTGAATAGAAATATTTCACGCTTATTTACCCTCCACTTTCTAATGTCATTCCACAATGTTTTAAATTCTTCAAACCCGAGTTTCCCAGAGTGATCTGCATCCAACATAGCAACCATACTGCGACATATATCTTTGCTGAATCCTCTATCATGAGTGTCTGCAAATTAAAAGAAAAATTCTTTGGTTCATTTATCGTGATTTTTATTTTGAAATATTTATAATAAATTTAAATTTCACTTGAAAAATTTACACAAAAGAGTGTGAGAAACAAATAAATATTATCTATACAACTCTTTTTAAATGTGTAAAACAGACAATGTGTGTATGTTAAAAATGTCTTTGTTGCGAAAGAAAATTTTAAAACAATCCAATGGATTAATACAGATCATATCACAAAAAACCTCACACAAATGTCGATGAATTTTAAACATTGTACGTTTCATGCTTCTCTATTAATTGAGGAAGCATACAGTTGATCGTCAACTCTGCCTATGAAATTTTAAATTATAGTGTCAATCTATCAATGCTAATGCTATCTTGATAAATGCCAATGTTATCAATGTCTATCATTAATAAAAGTATATTTCAATTGTATCAACATTAAAGCTTATAATTAAATGAATATAACAAATCATCAGGATGAAACAACACAATCTGATAAAACAATCCTGCAATAGAAGTTGCCTTACCTATAGGCTTATTGTATTGTTCATTATTACAAATAATGCCGCATAACAGTGAGATGAGAGTGTTGACAAATGAATCATTTCCTTCAATAGTTTCGGGAACATTTGCCTCGCTATGATGCGCCAACTGTAGTAATTCTACCCGTAACATACACAGCTATGTTAGTGTAGAGTTTTACATACATACACTTGGCGATAAGAATTATACATATATAATGAGAATAACATATATAATGAGAATTCATTATATCAAAACTTAAGTTTCAATTTGTATTTTTCTAACTTTTACATGCCTTACAAATTCTGTTTCCATTTAAGAGAATTTAATATTTAAAAATTTTTTTATATTATTTCTATGTAAATGTATGTGAACTGGTTTTTATAATTAAATGGTATTAATTAAATTAAAAAAAACATTTTGCGCAATATTAATGGTAATTTTGAGAATCAAGATGTGTGTATCGCGCGCATTTATTTGTTTATTTACTTAAGAAACCCAAGTGTATTTATGTACTATGGATATGAATTACAAGGTAAAAGAAGTAAGCATGCGTAATTATTAATATAATTATTAAAATATTGTACAGCGTGCTGAGTGACTCAAGTAACTTTTAATAGAAAATTTTTAAAATATTTCATAATAAATTAGCTATAAAACTAAAAATAAATCAAAATAAATAAATCAAGCACAAATATTAATCAAATAATATTTGATTAATACAACATAGAATTAAAAATGAGGATTATTAAATATACAATTCTATATTGATGATTGCAAAGACTGTAGTAAATAACTAAGCAGAAAAAATATGAAAAGCTACAAAGCAAAGCTCACAATAAGAATAAAATTCATACGTTTGCAGGGAAATATCGTATTCATAATTGTGCATATTTATGTATATTTATATATATATTTATATTTTATAATATATATATATATATATATATATATATATATATATTATAAGTTATACCTAACACATAAAGAATATATCTTACATGATTTTATCTACCTTTTTTCATAGCGAAATCTAAGATGTCTTTGAGTTCCATCCAATCCACTTCCAAGTCATCACCAGCAAGTTTTTTGAAGAATTCTCTAACTTTTTCAGTATTGCGATCTTGTTCCGGTTCATCACGAACCTAAAAATATAACATAAAAATAAATTTTAAATATAATATATATAAACATATTCTTTGACAAAATAAAGCTCTCCCAAAATTTCTCTCATAAAATTTATAGGTATCCAGATAATTTTAATTTCAACAAGATATATAAAATCTATGTTGTGCATATGCAAAGATATATATACATATGTAAAACACATACAAAAATGTATAGCCAACACTATAATTGCAGACTTTTGACAACATATCTTATATATATATATATATATATATATATATATATATATATATATATACTACAAACATCAGAAACTATAATATAAAGTTATTTTATTTATTATAGTTTCTAACTTCTGTAATGTATATTTCAGAATTGTTATCATAAGGTTAAGCACATAAAATAATCCAACACCAGCATATTTTCTCCTACTTCTTGCAAATGTATAAACATACAACATATATTAGTCTTTTATGTGCCATTATGTAACATGTACAGACGTGCATTTTACTTACATTATCTTCATCATGCTCCTCTTTACCGCTCACAGAATTAATTACCTAAAGGCAAGCGACATAAACATGCAAATTGTTAGGTTTAGTAACAAGTACAAGGCAAGTACAAGTACTATTACTATTATAAGTGATGTCCTACATAATTTCACATCAAGTATCACACAGCAAAAAAAATGTTAAATGAAGACAAAAGTTAGACTTTTTAGGTGTGAGCTAGATACAAGGCTCAATTATATAGTGCTTCAATTTTATGATTTGTGCAGCATTATTTAGCATAGTCAACACTATAATTACAGACTCTTGACAACGTATTTTATACATATATATATATATATATATATATATATATATATATATATAAAATATATTGTCTGCAATATATGTGGTGTGTGTGTATATATACACACGCACCACACACACACATTCGCACACTTATAAAGCTGTGTCAATGCTTATTAATGAGAATTATCAGTAGTTATTTTATAGATTAAAGAAAATATGTTTATCACTTTTGAGATATAATCTTAAAGTTTAAAAAAATAATTAATCCTAAATAATATTTACATAATCTGAAAATCTTCCTATATTTCATAATGCAATTCCAAACTTTATTTCATCCCTTATTTCAGTTGAATAATCTTGTGAAAACATTTTTTAATATGATGATTTTAAAAATATTATTACCATTACGTCAATTTTTTATTAAAAAAATAAAATTTGTATTACTTAGAATTAAGGTACTATTGTATGTACATGTATCGATTCTTTTGATTCACTAGAATATTTATAATCCTTACCCTATCGTCGACTTCTCCGATACCAACTTCTTCGTCGTTTTCTCTGTAAATAAATAAGAATACTTTGAAGAAAATTCTTCAACTAGCATGAAACAACAACTATCGCTATATGATAGTTGAACTTACTCCATATTATTCTTGTTTTCAGAGAAGATTCTCAGCAAGAATTCACCCTCCTCATTTGGGTCAAAAGTACTTGGAACTATGCAGTACACGCCCGGTGGTAATTTGAAACGACACGTGACTTCCCGTAAGTTTATAAATGCCGGTGAACGTCCAACAGACGCATTGTATTTGAAAAAGTTTATGTCTAGCGGTTTTGGCAGTCTTTCTGGATATTCCAACTAGATCGATTAAAAATTAATTTATTAATGAAAAAATTTCCATTTCTTTCGTTAAATTTCATTTTTAATCATTTTTTTCATCAATTTCAATCAAAATATTTGATGTTTTTCCCTTCTTTATTCTTTTATAGACACTTTATAAACACATTTTATACACTTATAGACACATTTACAAACAATTGTCAAAACTATGTGTAAACTTAAAAACGAGCAATTTATGTGATAGTGAAATTATCACATTTTGAGATACTAAAAAAGCAAAACGAAACCTCGACATTTTAGACTTTGTATTTGAATCTAATCCAAATACTATACGATTTCACATTTTGATATATTACACGAAGTTTATGAAGAATATGAAGTAAATCAATTAATTTCATACATGATATATAGCGAATCCGATAGTGAGGCAATCTGCACCCATTCTTTTTTGCGCTCTCCTGTTTTTTTGCATCAAGGCAACAATTACGGTACACTTGTCATCGTCGTCATCTGGATATTCTAATGTGATACGATACTGCGGATTGTGACAGAAAGTCTCTGCAAAACACGCATATGTACAAATATATATAATTGAATTAAATATATATATATAATTCAATTTCGACTTTTATGAAATTGTAGCCGCTTCTCTCGATAATATCTCACCTAAATAATTTCTACAACCACCCGCTGTTACACCACGCACCCATTCTCCCTCAAATACACTCATTTCCCAGCGTTTCTTCCCAGCATCGATGTCGTCTGCAGTTAAGGAATCGGGATTTAAGTTGCATATCTCGAGTTGAGTGAAATGGCGTGTAAAATCATGAAATGACATCCAAAATTCGCCATCCATATCAAAAGTCAGACCAAGCTCTTCCTTCTCATGATCGGGGATAAATCTCCATTCCGGTGATCTATCAATGGGCGATGAAAGCGTAAACTCTAGGTAAAATCGCCTGCACATGAATAGAATTACTTACTGGTCACTCCAAGGTCCATTCCATTCCGCTTCGTTTCCCCAAGGATTTCGAAGTCTCAAGAGAGGTATAGTACCGTGTTGATTCGGTGTTTGAATCTCTACATGCTTTACATGGGTAATGCTGTATGCGTGACCGCGTATCAACCCCTGAGGTGTTTCAGCCTCTAATATGTTTGGATCAGGCTGAAAATATCGTACATTTATATACATGGTTGATAAAATAAAATAAAATTTATTAATAATGTGTATAAATGGTAAAAAATTGTGCATTTACTCATGTGGATAAAACAAGTAAATAATTATATATATTACACATTTAAAATAAACAGATTACTACTCCATATACGTGGGTCGTTTGATAAGTTTGGTAAATTTTCGTGAAATTGCGTCACAATCCATTTGGTGACGCCTCATCAGCCTACTTTTCCGAAGGTATTAAAAAATTGGAAATTTGATGGACTAAGTGTATAGACCTCAATGGAGACTATATTAAGAAATTACATAAATTTTTTCAAAAATAACGTGTTTTATTTTTTACCAAACTTATCAAACGACCCTCGTATAAGTGTGTGTGTGTGTGTGTGTGTGTGTGTGTGTGTGTGTGTGTGTGTGTGTGTGTGTGTGTGTGTGTGTAAATATAAAAGTTGATGCTGCGCATGTATTAGTTTATACATACACCCTTACATACATGTACAGTATATATAAACTGATTTTGAATATATCTCTTCATAAATAATGTTCTAACTTTATAAATATAATTCTAACTCGGCCACAAATTATAATCTAAATCTTTATCTAATGCTTTAGTTATCAAGTATTGCAAAAGATTTAGAGAATCAATCGACATAATGATTGTTACAAGAACCTGCGAAATAAATAAAAAAATAAATATTATAAAAAATTGCTAAATTACCTCGATGGAGCAACCCAATAATGAATTTCTCTCAAAGGCTTTTAACAGTATGTTAAATAAGTTTGGCGGTGTTTGATCCATTTGATACATTTCCGTTACCCCACCAGTAAAGTCCTCCATAGCTTCGCAGGTTGTGCCACCCTTTAATGCTTCGTAAGAGCCATGAAGTTTCGCATATGCTTTCTCGAGAAGAGCGCTCCAAAATTCGTTACTTTCAGCCGAATGGAGATATACCAATTCTCCGCGACAGGTAGGCAATCGATCATCAATTACCACATCAACCCATCTTCCATATTGCCAAAACCTATCATACATACATACATTTCTATAAATAATCCTTCCCAGACTGATGATTTGTAAATGAATTAATAGCTATATTTTTCTATGAATCTTGCAGATTTTTAGACACATCATCAAATATCCAGACGAAAAATTTAATCGCGATGTTTACTATTTCGGCGATAAACGAAAACAATCTCAAGTTATTATTCTTATTAAGCAATTATACTGATTTAAAGAGAAGAGGTAAATAAACTATAAATTACATTATTTTTTATTAGGTCGCGCGGAAATTGCGTTGCGTCTTCTTATGAATGAATAAATATCTTTTTCAAACAAAATTTACCTAAAATGGAAGATTCCAGCGTAATTTTCCTCGAAGCTCTGATCTTCTGGTACTACTTGAAAGAATAAATTCGAATGCATTGTCAAATTTGCTACGGCGGCTAGCAACCAGCAATCTCCTAACTCTCCTTGTTGAACGTCGAATCTTGAAAAACCTTCTACAAAAAGTTGAGGATTGTCTACAATTTCCTGTAAAAGGCAACGTGTTTATTACATTGATTATTTTGTATATACACAATATACATATTATACTTATAGCTATAGCACAAATTCACATAATAATGTAAGCCGAGTACTATAATTTCGATATATGTATATGTTAGTAGTTGAGACAATTTCTGACCATTGGTCGTTTCCATTCTATATATCTATCCGGTCTGCGGGAAAAATATAGCGATGAATCATCGGCTAAGAATTCAGGATCCTCGAATAATCGTCCTGTCGCTAGGCATTCTCGTCTCAGCGTATTAAAATCTTGAATCGCTCCTCGTGGTCTGAAGCCGGAACCTTTTTCTCCTAGCTGCGGACATTGGTTCGCATTAATTTGTGATACGATTTATTCTCGAAAATTCACAATCTAGAAATTTAAAGGGTAGCGTACGTTGTAACAAGATTTCCCGATGAAATTTTTTACAGTTCGTATAGCTTTATCATCATATAATTGTTTATCTTGACAAGAATTTAAACGCTCCTTGATCGTAGGACCGTTCAACTTGTTTGGCAAGTTCGCAAGTTCCGAATTGAGACTGAATTTGAGTTTGGTAGAGTATGGAATATTGTTTTTGGTAATTATTTTGTCACTCGTAAACTTTGCGGATTTAAAACTGGATCCGACTTTCAAAACTGCAAGACCTTCTTGCATATAATTGAAGTAACGATAATTAGTATATTTATTACGTTGTAAATCCATCTCCCGAATTGAATCAAAGAACACAAACCGATCGTTTGTATATATGACAAAAGTTAATAGATACGGGTGCGGAAAATAATTACGTATTTAAAGTAGATGTCGAAAAAAAACGTGCACCCGATACCGAACGAAGGACGAAACTATTTGTTACTGCGAAGAAAGCTAAAGTTTTGATATAATTATCATTTCTAGTAGTACGATAATTATATACACCGGATGACCAAATTAACCGCAATTTAGAGAATGTGATACGGTATTTAATAATAAGTACATGCAAACGGTTGCACACTTATTTAAGAAATGATAAATGGCAATGCAAGTATGCATGCATTAAGTACAGTATATCAATTTATGAGATGAATACGAAAACCTATCTAAAAAAGTGCCTATAAGTATATCCACATTTTTCTCTCACACACATATAACGGTCTTATTAATATTTATTAACTATGTGTGTGTGTATATATATATATATATATATATATATATATATATATATATAACCGCTCTTTTAAATATTTTTTTAAATTATAGAGCTATTTAAAGAAACCTTAAACTGATAAAGTAAAGCTTAACGCAATCTTTCATAATAGAATAAAAGCATGCTTTTTTCCCATGATTTAGTATATTTTTATCTTTAGAAATTATTATCAATCCTCTAGATTATTTCCAATCTGAATGATATACTGTCAATGATTTTATAAACATTTACGTTTCGAATTAGGTAAAAAGATTACATAATTTTTTAATAAGATGATATCATAGACACAATAATAAAATTCATTTCTTTCCCTCTAATCTAAAATTTTCCATTACAAATTATAGAGAAATATAAATGGAATAAATTTCACAAAATTACTTTAAAAGACAACTGTTGTTTATCTAATTATTCGGTTTATTTATACAAGTACGCACAAGTGTTTGCTTATTTTTATTACTAATTATTGTTCAACTAATTATTATTTTCTTATTATTTATCTTTATTTTTTTACAATACCAGCTCGCGAATAAAATGTTGAAAAAATGTTTCTTATTAAGTGAAAATTTAGATACCTTTTTCTTTAAATGAATAACGTAAATATAATATGTATACCGTTGTATGCAAATATTTGCAAATGTGTTATAACGCATATTGACATTATATTAACGAATATGTAAATGCATGATATTGGAATAATCACTTATTTTTTCTATCGTTATCATTGTGATGATTATCATTATTAGCCTTTTATTATTTTGTAGCTTGAGATAATTTTATTACTATAATATTAACGAGATTAATTAGAAAAATTTAATATTTATACTATAAAAAGGTTTTTAAAATTAATGTTAATGTTTGCAAAATATTGTATATAAGTATCTTTGGGACAGGGAAAAAGTGGAAGAAGGCTTTAAACACAGATTTTACATACACGTATGTATGCACGCGCTATTTTATATTTTTATGTCATTATTTAATCATGGGAAAAATTAATCCTTCGTGCAATTTCAATATGATAGTTTATTCCACGCTGTAGTTTATACTACGCTGCTAACTTTCTCTATTGCCTACATTATCTCGAAGCTTTTTTACACACATACACACACACACACACACACACACACAAGAATGATGTAAACCATGCATTACTTACTATATATAAATGTGTGCGTGTGTGTAGGCATAGATATAAAAATTAATAGATAAATCTATACTTTTTAAAGATACTGTGCGTGAGTCATGTACCATTAAAAATAAATTTCCACGTGTATATTCTTAAATTTCAAAGTTTTAATATAATCGATAAACGAGAGGAAACGCAAAAGGAAAACAATAAAAATCAATTTCTGACTTGTATGACATAGTTGATGACAAAAAAGCTTTTTTAAAATGCATGCTTAAACAATTTTCGTGAGCAGGGTAATTCTAATTTCAATCGAGATGGGCTCTAGATAAATCTTTTAAAAACTTTTAATAACATTTATATTGTTAATGTTACAAAGTTTGCGAGCACTGTTATACTCAGAGACCGGCTTCTTAGCTTCGAGCTTCGAGCTTCGAGTCGTATAGCGTACCACTTTGATATTGAAGAGCGACGGTAGAAATCGTTTGACCTCGACTACCGCCTTGACAAACACATCCTCCGCGCCATCTCCGTCATTGTAACCTCCATAGTAACTCATCCTCTCTTGGTTACTCAAAGAAATTAGATTAAATATCGAATTATTTAGAAATCACCGATTAACCGATTAAAAGACGATGCGACGCAAATACTTTGGATATCCGTCGCGTTCGTTTTATTGACGAGAGTGAAAAAATGCGAAAAGAGATTCCCGGTTTTGGCTTACGCATGTATAAAACCGTTAATCTGACAGATACACGGCACACGGGCACGGCTTACCCTCACCCATGACTTTTCCTGGTCGCGTTCGTCACGCACGTGATTCAACGCGGCGGCTAAATGTCAATGAGGTGCACGTGGTTTTCAAAGCGCGATCTTTCAAATATGTACGTTCATCGCTGGCTACCTACACATTCAAATTCGAAAATTTAAATTTTTAATTCTCTTTTTTTAATTATAATTCACGCATGTTCAGCAGAGCGTACATTTTTAAGCAGCGCTCGAATTGATTAGTTATTTATTGCTTTTGAATACAGGAAAGTAGTTTTGCACGCGGCAATTTAAAAAAGTTTGTTACTTTTTCATCTATATCCTATGTACATTATATTTATCGTCTCTATCCTATATATATATATATATATATATATATATATATATATATATATATTACCAATATATTTATGTTTTAAGATTATTGACAAACAAAATTTAAAAAATTGCTCCTAAAATATATAATATAAAATAACGTTTAAAATAAAACTTGGAAAAGGAGAGAGAATAAAAGGAGAAAGTAATAATAAAAATTATCTTTTCTCTCCCTCATTCTTTCTCTTTCTTTGAATTCGGCTTTTATGTATACGTATACACATTCCTTGTTTTATTTCAAATGTACTTTAAATGCGCTACATATCATATATAATTAAAAAAAAGAATATACATACATATATGTACAATTTGTGTGTTGTGTTTAATCTCCATTAATTGCGTGCACACGCGTCTTAATTTTGTCGTGCAAAATTCTAAATAGCAGAGACGCTTTGTAATTTTCAATAAACAAAAAAGTACTGTAAAAGCGCTTATCTAATTGTTTTAGAGATTGAAATAATAAAAAACCGTAATATACTCACCTCTATCTTTTTTGTTTCTTGTCGCACAAATTCCGGCTCGGATATTTCTTTGTTCCATCCATACGAATTCATTTTTACTCAGTCGATATTTTTATCTCGATGACGATAAATTAACGGGCCTTGTAGATTATATTAGATTAGATTAAGCTAATTACATAGCAAAATACATGAATCACTTGTGTCACAAATTACCCAACTAATGACATCCGGCTTAATCTTTGTCACTGAGTAGCCTCACTCTTTCAGCGTCAGTCACATGACCGTAATCACGTTTTTAACGGGAGATTAATTACGTTACGATATACGAACGTGATTATTTTTTAAAATAATTGTACGATATTCTTGCAAACTTGAACACATAGTGATCAAATAATTTATGAATAATTAAGAATTATGAAGAAATAATTTATCAATAATTTATAGAACGAGAGGAGAAATAGAGAAATAATTTATGAAATATTATGTAATTATCGCAAATAAAATATACAAACAATTTACAAGAAATGCCGCGATTACTGTTGTCGCACAAATGAATAATCATCCTCAAACTGTTTCGCCGCCAGCACTATTTATCATTGCTCTTGAAACTGTGTATTCACTCGAACAAATATGATCATTCGAACGCGGAAAAAGAATGCGACTAAATAATACGACGATTTATAATTTCATTGTATGACATTTGCGATAAACGTGCTAACCTACCAGCGGCGCAATTCACGTGTCACTTTCGATCAACGTCACGCCAATGCCAACATTGGGTCTGTTCTTTTTAGCTGCACCGCTGTACTAGTGCAATAAGTTCGAAAGAGATAAACATACTTTTTTTCACTCTAACTAACTGCACTAGTGCAGTAGTGCAGCTAAAAAGAACAGTGGCTGGATTCAGCAGAAATAGCTGCTTTGCAACTGTGAATCATTTCGTCCTTATTCGATACCAACAAGCGCGACCCTGTGCCCTACATATCGAGTACAAAATTCGCGCGCAATTCAATCAGCCAATTACGGCCGAGCGCTGCTTCGCGATTGCGCGCAATGGTCAGCCAATCATGATCGAGCGTTGTTTTACGATTATCGTGAGAATCGACCAATTACAAACGAGCGCTATTTTACGATTACAATCGACCAATCGCAGCACACGTTTTATGATCTTGAGAAATTCAAAGTTTGAGAAACTCCAAGTTTAGCGAAGTTACGCGCCTTCCTTGGACTCTCCGCGATCGTGATCGATAGTTCGATCGAGTTATATCAAGTGAATTTGACAAGCGATCGTCGTCCTTCTCGCGTTACGTAGTGTTATTTGCGATATACACCGAGAAAAAGGAATCGGACTTGAGTAACGGTGATGCGAGCGACGGTGATCGCTCGTCTTAAATGTATCCGGTGCGCGATGCGAATGCCGGGAGTGTCTAGTGGCGTATTAAATGATTAGTATTGTACGAGCGTTTTTTTCTTTGCTATAGTGGAGTCGTAGCGTCGGCGAGAAAAACATTTACTTGCACGTACAAAAGTTAACGTCGTTAGCTGACGCTTTACCAACTCTTGTAATAAATCGAAAGTGCGAAAAGTGTCGCCCTAGTCCTTGTACAAATAACGGACGTATTGTCTTAATTACTGCGTAAATTTTCTTTGTGGCTCGACTCGCAATCAATTCGCTCTACAAATATCCGAAACAATAGAGTAACTGGCGAGGAAGTAACAAGCAACGAGTACCTATCCCCCCCTCGCTCTCCGTCCATCGCCTGGTGAGTGCATTTGTTTATTATTACATTCGCGTTATCGACCATTCGTTCGTTTCATTCGCTTGCAATAATTTAATCGAGCGATTCGATCTCGATCTCGATATTTCGTCACGAAAGATCAATCTTTGTACATCGTTGAAAATACATTCGTACATACATGCGACATGCTGAGTAAAAATGTGAGAAATGACCGAGTACGCGGCAGTCGGTAATTGTTGAATTATCTTTCGGTAGCCTATCGTTTGTTGTTTCGCATACATGGACCGTGTACCAGATGTCGCCAACATGCAAGTCTACTTGCTCGAAAACGCGACTTGTGCACGAGTACGATTCCCGCAACATTCCGACGATACCTCCGACGCGCCTTTCAATTTTGGCAAATTGTGTGTGTCGCGATCTATTCGCGATGAAATTATGCGATATCGCAAAATTATGCATAAAATTATATACAAGAGACTCATATATGATATTAGTGACGCGCATCGCGATTGTATTCGCAAGCGTCTCAAATAAAAGCCTGTCCAGATAAATTGGCAAAGATGCATAATACATGCATACACATATGCATAAAAAAATTTATCAATCGTCTAAGGATATATGAGAGATGTTACATTGCCATCTCTCTTTATACTAGAATGATCGATTGATTTTTCTGTGCATATCTATATGCATTATACATGTATCTTTATCGCCATATCGATTTTTACTATGCGCCAGAAATTTAATCTGTCACGTTTTGCGAAACACCTTCAATAATTTCTATTATATCACGGCCAACATAATTACATAGTCGATAAAAGACAGAATCATATTATTATGCGATAGCGATTCTTGTCGCAGTTCGTTGCATTTTGGAAATTAAAATTTATATATTTCTAGATCGGTTCGCGAATGCTTTTAGATTACCGTTTTACAACTACGTATGTGTAATTTTCATAGAGAGATATATATAATTGCGAAAAAGAAGAAAAAGAATAATAAAATGTCAAAACTTTCGAATAGTCCGTTCACCGATATCTCGTATCTTTTCCCTCACATAAAAATATATTTATATTAAATTTATCAATTTTCCTTCTGAATATCATTTTCATAGAATTACAGTCTATATTGTAGCAAAAAATCTTTAAGTTTTCTAGTAAAATGTTTATTTATTTTGCCAGATAATACATTTTATGACGTATACCATAATGTTCGATGCGTATGTAGACATATGTAAACATTATTTATTTACATTTGTTTCAAATTAAATAAATATATTTACTAGAAAAACATACAAAGAAAAATTTTTATGCCAAAACATACATTGTAATTTTATAACTATTATATGTATGTATATATACATGTGTGTGTGTGTGTGTGTGTGTGTGTAAAACATTATATACTCACACACACACAGAGAAAAATATCATTCTACTGCCAAGAAAAACGATTACTCAGTTTATTTTTCTTTTTTTAAGTAATAATTTTCTTCAATAAAAAATATATTCTTGATAATAGTCTTAAAATATACTCGTCACGAGTGTTAGAAAATCTCATTATCATGTACTCAAAAGAAGAAATCATTTTCTCTTCAAGAATATTGTAAAGTTATATCAAAGAAAAATCAAACTTACTTTATGTGGTAAGCAAACCAAATTTTTCTTTTAATTTAATATTCTTGACTAAAATACTGCAGTTACTAAAATTCAGAATGTATTTAATTAAATTTAATGCTTGTGATGAACTTATGATATACTTAAAATAAATAATATTTACTTGAATACAGTATACATTTTTCTCTGTGCATTATAGTCATAAGGCCGCAGCACACACTTTTGCATAAGCAAATTGATTGGTTCATTTTTTATGCATATACTTGGGGAATCAATTTCCTTATGCTTATGATTATGCGCTTATGCAAAAGTGTGCGCTGCGGCCTATAGAATTACAATGTATGTTTTAGCATAAAAATTTTGCTCTGCATGTCTTCTAGTAAATATATTTAACTCGAAACAAATGTAAAATAATGCTTGTACATGTCTACGTACACATCGAACATTATGGTATACGTCATAAAATGTATTATCTGGCAAAATAAATAAATATTTTACTAGAAAAAAAAAATATATATATATATATCTTTTTACTTTCTAGTTTCACGTTTTTATTTTGCAATAATCCCAAAGCCGTATTCTTTTAATGCTTAAAATTAATTGAAATTATGGCGTGTTCAATTTATCGATTTGAAGACACACCTTCATACAAAATGAATCACTTGCGTGTCACGGTCGTTATGTTTTGTCGTTATGGTTGATACTTCGCACTTGTCTGCCTAATTTAGATACAATTTACTCGGCAATTTAAAAATTACTGCAATTAAATGAATGCAGTCGTAGCGCGAAAGACTCGTAACAAAATATAACGATTAACGTTATGACAAAAACGAGTGAAAATAGCTTTGTTATAAAAATCAACAATGTAATTAATTGCTATCGTTAAGTCATTTTTATGAATGTTTGATATAATAATTATCATTTATACAGAGTCATTATTTTTAACCGATTAATGCTCCGACTTTAGTCTCTATTCAGAGATAAATGAACACACGCTATTGAATCATTTTCCAATAATGTAACAGCGGATAATAGTGAAATTACAACAAAATAAGATGTATTATGTAATGGCTAGAAATAAAATATTAAGATAAATATTATACATGTATACGAATATTTTTCGTCGTGCAAATTTGATCACGTGCGAAAAATCCCATAATGTCAGAAGTGTTATCGTACTTGAGTTTCTATCTGCCTATCTGTATCAAAATCAATGATAATCTCCTATACAGCGCGTTTTGCGAAACGTTATACCGCATATACAAACTTTTTTTCTTGCACCGCACCTACAATAACATGGTGGATTGTAAACGTGTTTGTAAAACGATACACCAAATGAAACACGCAATCGAGCCGAAACTCGAAACGAACGCGTATGGCCAAGTAGTACGTATCACACTGACTGACATATCCGATAAAAGATTTGTTCCGTTCCGGAACTATCCCTTCCCTCGTACATCGACGTAGCGGCCGCGGCCGCGGCCGCGACACGTCGGCGCCGACGCCGGCGCGGTGCACACTGCCGATCACGAACGCCCTTATTGCCCGCCGTATGCTGAACCGCTTTCCCTTACAAGGAATTCTCGTCGATATCTCGCCGAAAAAGAAAGTCCAGACCGGTTATCTCGTCCGCCACTCTGCACGTCATATGCGATATAATATTTTTTTTATATATAAATGGAGGACATTTTGTTCCATCGGTCAATGGCTGTTGTATCGTATTACGATGAGCATGGCATCGTTTTTACAAATTGTAATTTCATTTATACATTCTCTATTGGTATTCTCCTATTCGAAAAATATTCATAAAATAATATTAAAAATCAGAATATGCACACAATACACTTCATTTATATTTTTTCACAATATGAATAATTATATTTTGTATTATTAATATATATTAAGTTAATTTTTAATGAAGACTTTTATGTACGTGTGTGTGTGTGTGTAATGAAAAAAATTTTATATTAATATCTCTTCAATTTTTTTTCAAGCTACAAAAGTTAATTTATAAGTTTCAACAAAAATTTTACAACATGAGATAATATTTAAAGTTCAAAGTAGAATATTCCAAATGGGAATATTCTACTCTCTCATTATACGCATGTTTTCATTCGCCTAATCTCATAAAAGTTATTTTAGGGACTTTGAAGAAGCTAAGAATTATTGCATCTTACCACAAACGACAGCTCGAATATTTTTGTTCGCCGTTGGTGAATACCGTTATTCTTCGTATATTTCATAATCGTCTCGCAAACTAATTATCCTTAAAAATAAACATTGTACGTAACATACCAAGCCAGGTATTAATTAATTAATTCAATTAATCAAGTCAAGAATATTGCAAATGCAATATTTGCTTCATTCTAGCATCGCTAGTTTATCATATGTATGACGAACCATTATTTTGTGTATTAAATAGAAATTGTTAAAAATGTTAATGGCAATGAATGTGTAGTGTACGAAACAAACAAAAGTATGTATCTAGCTAAAATCGAATCTTTAATATTAAGATGTATATATTTTTTAAATTTATAAACAATATATAATATATGTATAAATTTTTTCAGAAAATGTTTTTGATGTTACTTATAATTTTTTAGATGATGCGCTACTTTTAATAAAAAGTGTGTTTAAAGAAAAGGTAATTAAATTAATAAAACGCGTTTTAATTATATAGATTTAATTATATAGATTATATAGATTTAATTATATAGATTATATAGATTTAAAACCTCAATTGTGTACAAAAATATAGCAAAAAGTAAAATTATTACAACTTCAAAATTTAATTGAATTAATTATTTATTTAATTTGTTAATTTTGAAATATTTCTCTCTCTCTCTCTCTCTCTCTCATAAAAAAAGTAGAATATCAACTTTACAAAGATTTCACAAAGCCCTACTTTTAATCAAGGGAATCGAGAGATACAAAGTTATGCAAAACGCGTCGCAGAGACACGAGTGCGCGAGAACAAACCAGGCCTAAAAATATATCGCGACGATATATATCGTACATGCCCGCATATACAAAGGGGTTTGTCTTAAAAGTAAATTTGGCGGTAAGCCAGGAATATGCCGAAAAAGTTTTCCCCACAGGAAGGAGAACGCGCAATTGTGAATGCAGCGAGTTTTAGTCGCCGTACATGCCGCGTTGCATGTTGCGTGTTGCGTCGTTGTGTCGACTGCGTTCGAATAACGTGAAACATCCACCGCGTTCAATGAGCTAGAAAATATCAAAGAGCCAAAAGGGAAAAGATATTTTGAGCCGGTATACCTAGAATTCTGAATACATTTCATTTCGGATTCTACGCTATGCTCGATCTCGATCTCGGTCTTGGTCTCGGTCTCGGTCTCGGTCTCGGTCTCGGTCTCGATCTCGATTTCGATTTCGGTCTCGATTGGAGAGCGCGCTCCGAGTTCGAGAGATCGGACTGGAATATTATTTCTAAATTAGTTGCGTAAGATTACAGCGACTACTAACGCGTCCTTGTAAACTGCGTGTGAGAAATCTTGTGCACATGCGTAATGTTTTTTTTTCAAGAATAAATTTAGTAAACTAGTTGTTTATTAAACAAAATTATACGAAAAATCATGCCCGGTAAATCAAGATTATACATCAAGCTTTTAATCTGGGGCAAATATAATACGTGATCGCGAAGCAGCGAGTGAACTTGACATTAATATTAATATTAATGCTGCACGAGTTGAATTAATCTATATACACACTTTGCAAAAAAAGCTCCAAATACATTTATTTATCTCATAGAGATATCGTTTATGGCGTATGAGAAATTTATCAGAGCTACAAATTATGTATAAAAATTAAGTTTTATCACTTGAATGATGAACATGTGTCGCAAAAATTCCAACAATTAATTAACAACAATATATAACAAAGATGATAATGCGTGATATTAACGAACCTTGAAAGTAGTATTGGCGGGATGATACACATCGCCGGAGCCGGAAAGTCCTCCTCGTAATAAACGCGACGAAAGATTATAGCGACCTAACGTAGCCCACGCGTCCTTTGTTGCTTGCACGGGATATCTAACGATATAAGCAAAAAATTATTCTCCTTTTCCTTTTTTTTTCTTTCTCTTTTTACCTCACGGCTTTGTTACGTTAATTTAATTATATTCCTAAAGGTGAGAGGAAAAGAGGAGGAACGAAATGTTTTCCACGAGAAAGCAAATTTGAGAAACGAAATAAATCTCATGTAGGATAAATAGTTCACATTTCGTCATTATTAGGTGTAAACATACACATTATGTAGAGATCGAAACGTCTATATTGTCACTTACACGCTTACCCTTTCGCGAATTTATATGTTTTCGATGGTTGGCCGTCCTCGACAATGGTTTTGACATAATAATACGAATAACTCGACATTGTCTTGGATCGTCAACAGTTGATTCGACCGAGAATAATCGGAGATGCGACGTTTTATAACGACGGATATGTAGAAATACGAGAAAAAGATGCAGTTTGTCAAACGATCACTGTAAATTAAATGTTGTCTGACTGTGCAACTTCTTTCCTTTGCTGTGTATTCGCGAATGCATACTTGTCGACACTGCGCTTATCTATGCTTCGTATATGAGTGTGCACGAAGGTATATATATAGCCACCGCCGGCACATTATTAGGAAAACTCCGACACTTTCCAAGATGTGAAAATGTCATTGCACGCGATGCTAGAGATATGCATGATAAAGCTTACTTGAAAATGCGCCAGTAACCGAAAAATATAAACGATAGAGAACGGAGAAGTAACAGCGAGTGTGATATATATGTAGAGAGAGAGAGAGAGAGAGAGAGAGAGAGAGAGAGAGAGAGAGAGAGAGAGAGAGAGAGAGATAATACTAATGATAATACTAATATTACTAATCATAATGTCAGTAAAATTTATACCTTTCGTTTGTATAAATTACAACATTATTAACCACGTACAAGTTTATTTTCTTTACACAATACAAACATAAATGCTAAATAAATGACAAAAATAAAAAGTTCATTATTGTTTTCAAGCTATTGAATAGATTTTCTAAGAGTATTTAAAGTTCAAAAATTTCTTTTTTATTCTTGTGACATTTTTTTCTTATTATTTTTTATCCTACATTGTATTTACCTAGATGGAATTAATCAAATTTATCCACCATTAATATCTATTATCAATAATATCTAGAGATTGTGTGTGTGTAAATGATTGGATAAATACATTTGCAAATGTAATTTTGCAACAAGTTTTGTTTTCACTCGCAATGATTTTTAATTTGTTTTAGAGAGAGAGAGAGAAAAGCATGATAAAATATACAGTTCATAAACGCCTTTATTACGTTTCACGTATAGATACATAGTAACTGACTTTCATACGCTACGCGTACGTAAAGTACGTCGTCATTGTAAGAAAAATAAAAAAGGGCTCGTGCTCTTTTTATTCCCCTCTTTCCAAGATGCACTCAAAATGTTGTCCGTTTTACAATAGGGATAGTGTACCGACGAAAATCGAGTTATGTCGTTGCTTATTTGGTTAAAGATGAATCATGAAGTAGACTATCAGCCTACGGAGACTTTTACATCGACTTTTACATATTACGATATATATTACACTTTACTCAACAGTCACGTGACGGATCCGAATTCGAATCGATCCCATTGCTATTCTTACCGATTAAACATATAGATGACAACCGCCTGTTTCCAATCAGAGATACTTTACTCTCAAAACTATTCGCGTTTATTTATTATAATACATCTTTAAATGTCGAGTATATATACATCGTAAGAAAAAGATCTTTTTTTCTTCGCGTAAAATTAAAAACCGGTTACATAAACTTTACAGATTATTTCGATTAATGTTAGATACTCGAATAAATGCTATTTATCCGAAGGCTGTTTATTTTTATCTGCGGTTTCAAAGTACACACATACATAAACATTCGCATTTTTCACAAAGTTGAGTTCTTCCTCCGATTAATTCGCGCTCAAATATCTTAATTTAACGAGTAATTATATCCGATAAATTTATATAAATTTCTTCCCGTCTCATCTCGTTATTAAAATTTCTCTCAATAAGCTAGCTCGTCGTTTTATGTGGTTTGAATATGTTACGTGTATTTGGTATTTTTTTTTCGTCGTTTCTCTTGCATACATACGTCTGGTCTACATTCGTTTAACAATCTCTCCTGCCGACTTACAATTAGTCTTTTTTTCTATGCAAACTAGCTTCGGTTTGCGTCAAAGAAGCATCCGTCCATTTTCGAGCGTGATTTCTATTCACAGGAGGGTCTCCTCGGAATAGAAACGACGCGAGTATTCATTGTCATGGGTCCATGTAGGCGAGGAGAGTTCTACGAGCTGCGGGTCCATCGTAACCGCAGTCGTCGTGGCCGATCTTTGCAGTTGCAGCCGGCAAGCGGCCGCGATCGCGGCCTTTGAGCAGCCTCGTCAACCCCCCTCGGATAAATCTCAGCAGGAGCACTCCTCCTCTCTCGGTAGTTCGTGACCCAGGGAATCCTTAATCGCAAAAGCGAGTATCGTGTAAAATACACAAGGCGGAAGATTAATAGAAATTGAATCAAAAAATGGAATTTATATCAAAAATGTAATGCGAAAGTCTGTAATAAAATTGCGATAAATACCTCTTTTAGAAAATTGGGATTAAATTTATAAAATGTTTTAATAAAAGATAAAAAGTCTCCTACGTATTCAAAATAAAAAAAAGATATTTTCTTTAAAAAAAAATATTTATAATCTTTGAAAAATGTTAAAAATTTATTAAATTGCAAAAGCAGGAAGTTTACATTTCGTTAAAATTCAGGTGAATTGGGAAAAAGTATGTACCGCGGCACGTGTAACATTATATATTAATTCCCAATCACATCTCTCACTTTTTATCATTAGGTATTTTTAAAGAAATATTTCCCTTTGAATTACATACTCGCGTGTATATATATATATATATATATATATATATATATATATATATATATGTTTTATTGCTTTAAGACTTTAGACTTACAAACCTGTATGTATTTCTTGAAATATTATTACTACAACGCACATTCCTTTTCGAGTGAACTCTTCGATTGTAGATTGATTCGAAACGATCAGTGTGCGCGCTAAACGCGCATAATGCGTTTTCGAAATCGAGAACAATCGTAGTCGGATAAAAACTTTGCGGGACACCAAATGTGTAGGATAAAAATCAAATTACCTTCCTTAGCTCCATACTGCCCGGTGTGCTCGAACGTTGCGTTCGCGTTGTAATCTTCTCGTAAGGCATGGTGCCTCTGCAAAGAGCGCTCGGATCCAAACTTAATGTCGCTTTCAGGGTATTCTTTTTCACCATACCGTTGACATTGTTGACGTTGAAAGTGGTAATACGACTCGGTGAACAAGCGCGCGTATTGGGCGACGAATTGGTGGTTGTCGTGTCGAGCGGGGTGTCCGAGGATTGCGCTATCAAAGAGTCGGAATTCGTATCGGTAGTCGTTGTACTCTCATTGCCATTTCTGCGATCCGTTATCGCGCTATCGATATTGGCAGCCAAATGACATTCTTTCTCTGGACGGTTATTACCGTTGTCTGCGTTATCGCGGTCTTCGATGTTGCTGATTCGATGTATTATCTTGTTATCCCGCTGATCCGATCGGGCGATCCTGTACTTGTCCTGCGGATCGTTCGTTTGTTTATAAAAATTAAAAATTAATACAACGACAGCAAATAACCGGTAATTTTGTTTATAATGAAAAAAGTGACACACTTTAAACAAATTGAGAGAGAAAGAGATTTTCGCCATACAATCTTTAAAAAAAAGAAGAAGAAAAATAAAGCAGATGCAATGATAAATTTTAATTGTTTTTAAACGTAAAATAAAACATCTATTGTTATTATATCAAAAAAACTTTTATTAAAACACTAACAAAGACTAGTATATTTTTTTTTATTTATCAGACAAATGCGCGCGCTCTCTCTCTCTCTCTCTCTCTCTCTCTCTCTCTCTCTCTCTCTCTCTCTCTCTCTCTCTCTCTCTCTCTCTGACATTTGAAGCTCTAATAAATTCTACCATTATTTATTTAAATGCAAGAAGTGACTATAATAAATGAAACTTGTATTAAATGATAATTTATCCAATGAAAATAATTAACAATGAAAATAATTTATCCGGCGGATAAATTTTCCAAACACGTACCTTGCAATCTCCCATCATCTCGTCGTCACGATCATCGTCATGATTGTTGTCACCGCTATAAGTTTGCTCAAAAGTATCCGTGCTAGAGTCATACGTATTGCAACTGAATGTTCCTTGTCGATATTCTGCCGGTCGTGGAAAAATTCCGCCGTGCGGTTTGCAATTTCTATTTAATTTTTCGTTTTCCGAATTATAGCCGGTGCCACGTACAGCTTGACCTACGCGACGTGCCACGGAACGAGGATCGATGATTCTCGGTTGCATGTAACCGCATCCATCCAACTTTTAGACGAAGTTTAACGTTTTTTTACACATGCGTATGTGTATATGTGTATCAAATAAAAATATTTAACACAACTATACTCACATCAGATTGTACATTAATGCATTCCGCTTCCGGATCCGGTCTCATAATCGTTATTTCACGATCGCAGATCGGCAATATATCAAAATTAGGCGTGGGATGGTTTATTACGTCTGGATCCTTTGCAAAATAAAACATTGCGTTTCATACAGTTTATTAATTAAATAATAGGTTTATTTAAACAAAAAAAATAAATAGATAAAAATTTTTGGCTTGCATCCTCACCTGCAAACAATAACCAATCCTTTCAGCGATGGTGGAAAAACTTGGCCTGTCATCGGGCTGTGGATGCCAGCATCGCGTCATAATCCCGTAAATAGGATCTGGGCATCCTGCAGGTTTTTCTAGGCGGCCACCAGATGTTACCATCGACATGACTTCGCGATTTGCGCAACCGGTATAGGGCATGTATCCAAATGACATAATCTCCCATAAAAGCACACCAAAGGCCCTAAAAATCAATTGTATATTATGCTTTATCCTCTATTAAATACATTATATATATATATATATATATATATATATATATATATATATTCCTTCTATATTTCAAATATAAAAAATTACATATCGATTAAAACTTTTTTTGCACTATAAAACTTTATAATTTTTGCGAGAAATGAACAATATAAACAACAAAAAATAAGCCACAGTTTTTTAGAGTGCAAACGGGGTTTGAGATTGAATAAAAAAAAAAGGAAATTGTAACGAAATCTTACCAGACGTCGGTTTTCGTAGTGAATATACCATCCAAAAAGCTCTCAGGTGGCATCCACTTTATGGGCAGCATCGCTTTACCACCTTTCCTATAATAATCACTTCGATAAATATCTCTGGCCATACCGAAGTCGGCGATCTTAACGGTACGCCCTGGTGCTTTAGTAGTCAATAAGCAATTCCTAGCGGCAATATCTCGGTGTATAAAACGCGCTTCTTCCATATATTTACAACCGTTTGCGACATCATAGCCGCACATGATGAGATCCAGCATTGTTAATGATGTAGGTCGATCCTGGAAATAAAGAATATATAAACACACACATGCGCGCGCGGGCATATCTCCATTCCAAAAATTAAATAAATACTCAATCCAGGTACTGTTGAGTATTTAATATATATTTTGGCATAAATAGAAATTATACTAATGTAATAAATATAATATACATAATATGTTTTAGTAATTAATTTTATATATAATAACAATAATAATAATATAAGTGAAGAATTCATAATATCAAGACTAGTACTTAATAAAGACTAGTACTAATGTTAATTTAAGTATAATTAAAAATAATTTCTATGATCGGAAATTTAAATAAAAAAATAGAGAAACAAAATATCGATTAGTATTCTTTTCAATTATATAGATTGTGGTCGGAAAGACGTTGTTAGACATGTTGCAAAGCATTGCATTAACTAATTAGAATAGAAGAAAAATTTTTTCTCTTTTTGTTTTAATTGATTAATCAAATGCTTCAAAGAATTTCTAGTGTCTCGCCAACTGCAGCTATGATTTTTATTATTCGTATATTCGGAAAAATCTATTCATTATTCATTTGTTATTTTCGGTTTTGTAATAGCTGTGTTTTCATAATATATAAATTACTTTTTAAAATGTCATCTAATTTCGGAACAATTTAAGGCGTAATAGCATGACATTAATTTTCACAAATGTTTGGTGCGAAATGTTTGGACGTTATCATATTTCTTCATTAATGTGAGAATAAATCGTAAAATAGAAATTGACAAAAAGGAAATTATATAAAAAAATTTAATTCCGGCATTGTATAGTTTCAATGTTGCACAATTTATAAAATTTCGGTTTGACTACAAATCTAATTTGATTGGAAAAAATAGAGTTTTGAAATAAAATTAGTAAATTAGTAAAAGAAAGCCACGAAATCGCCAAAAAATTCTTGATCTTTAATATTAATAATTCTCGTATTAATCTGAGGAATTATACTTTCTACAATTACATTTTTCTTTATCTTAATTCATATATTCATTATTTAACGTCATTTCTCTCCCTCTCTCTCGCTCTCTCAAATTGATAATGTTATTAATACTTACTGGTCGAGGCCTTTCTTCGCGTAGAAAATTCTTGAGATCTCCTCCGGCTAATAATTCGAGAACGATGTATCTCGGATGTTTATCAAAAGAGACACCGATAAAGTGTACTATATTGGGATGATTAAATTTGCTCATTATTAATGCCTCCATCATGAAATCAGCTTCTGCTTGTGTGGTGGATAAAGATGGCAGCGTTTTTACAGCAACAGGGTGTTCTTCGCCACGTCTATATTTGTATACCCCTTGGAAAACTTCGCCAAAAGCGCCTTGACCAAGAGGTCTGCATTTAAAGAAATAATCTTTTTTATTTCATTCCATAATTAAAATAGATAGCTTTATCTTATTTCATGTTTAATTTTAGATAAAAAAAATTATGAAAAGTTAAAATTTTGAGAGCAAACATTGCGAGAGGCAAATTTAATTATTTGCAAAGCTATTCAAATTGATATGTTTGATTGACGTTGATTAATCTTGAGAGAGAGAGGCTAAAATATATTTATACTAACTTTACTAAAGTTATATTATCCCGGGGTATTTGCGGTAAGTCTTTAAAGCTATACAGATTGCCAGCGAATTCATAGTTGGGATTGAATTCAGTCATCATTGTATCCGATACTGCACGTAGTGCGGTTAATTCTGTGCCGTTACCAAACATCACTTGACGGCGATGCAAAAGCTCTTGTTGGCTTTTGTACCGTTTATCTATCGAAAAATGCAACAATATAAATAAGCATATCATCATATGACACAAATTTTATACAAATTGCATGAATACATACTTATATATACTTTTATGCAAATTACATACATATAATTTACATACAAAAAATTAATAAAAAATGGCAAAAACATATAATCAATAATAATCAATAAAGATAAAGAGAAACTCACATTTTATATATTTCAAGATAAGATTTTATTTATGAAATTATTTTATTCTATATTCATTTTTCCAATATCGATACACTAAGTGATAATTAATGATAGAGTGTAATAATTTCTAGTCTGAAGATTTTGTCTTGACTTTTAGAAAATGTTTATTATGGAACTGTTTTAATAAATCTTTTAAAAATCGTTAATATCTATTTCTTTCTCTTTCAACAGAAATTTGTTATCCTTGAACAACAAGTATACGCATTTGCCTTATTTTGATTTGATTTCGAAATTTTTACAAAAAATCTAAACCAAGTTGTTCTACCGTTGGAAAGAAGATTCTTCACAAAGCCACGAAAAGAATTATACAAGCTAGTCATTAGTCTATCGAAAATCGAAATTGAATATTTTTACATAAATCTTGTCAATCATTTTGAACTATGTTATTCGCTGTACCGATGAAGGGAAGGAAGGGGGAATATTTAAATAAAAATATATTTAGAAAAAAATCGCGCTTAATGATTATATATGTGATTCAAAATTCTTAACATATAAAATTAATTAATTAAAAAAATATATTTAATTTATCGAGTTATATATGTTTATAAGTTTGTATACTCTAAAATGTATGTATATTTATATATTTATATATATATATATATATATATATATATATATATATATATTCATAAGGTTGTATTTTATGCATACTTACAAGAGATTAGGCAAATTCCGATAATGACGAGTAGACCAATAATTACGGCTATAAGTGGGATTAGGTACGGTTGGTGTGCATCCTTAAAATCATCGGTCACTAAAATTCAAAACAATTTTTTACTTTATTCATATTTGCATAGAATAATGAACATGATGATCTTTTACGATTATCGTTGTACTTACTAATACACGATTTAGAATCGTTGCTGAGCAACCAACCCTGAGGACAGAGACACTTGGTTTTATTCAAATACTGATCTAGTGCGACGCAACGATAATCACAACCACAGCCGCTGATCGCAGGTATGATGAGAATTTCGCCCGAGCCATAATGAACTGCAGCTTTAAAGTAAACGTCAGTCAGCTTATTCGGATTGGCATACGAATAACCACCCTCGCCATTCCCAGAATCTTTATATCCGGCATTACCGCCTGAAAAATATAAAGTTATATTTTTAGATTAATTCTGAGAATTATTATAATTATAACATAAATCAGCAAAATTTATTTTAATCGCTTAATTAATTAGGTAACTTAACTTTTCAATTCTATCGCGGTCTATATTCTAATTTTAATAAAAATGGAATAAAAAAATTCAGGATAAATTAAATAATAATAATAAATTTAATTTTTTTTTTAAATTGAATATCTTTAAGATTCTTATTTACCAATATAACCACCACCGCCGCCTCCTGTTTGACAACCGCCCCCACCTCCACCGAAACCTCCATTACCGTAACCTTGGTCTCCAGATTCGCAACCAAATCCTCCCAAACCTCCATGAATCAATGGCATTCCCGCAGGGTTTTGTTGATTGGAATCATTCCACAAACTGTTCCAACTGCCACCAGGTCCGCCTAGAAACCATAATATTCTCTTCAAGTTTATATTTTCAAGTTACACTCAAAGTATCAGAATCTTTAATGTTCTGAAATGTACGTATGCGTTTTCCAAATGACTAATTACCTATACCCTTTGAAGCAACGGATGGAGAAGATGGAAGTTTATTTGCGGGAAAGGGACCACGTCCGTGTTGTAATCCGTCCGTGTTGTTATCCGTAGAAAGACCCAGTCCCAAACCACCGCCACCACTCGCGATTAAGATAGGTTTCGGTTCACCATTGGCTTCTAGCTACAATTATTCAAGGAATTAACTCACACGATGAAAGAAAATTAGTAACATTTTTATTGTACAAGTATTATTATTAATAATGGAAAAAAAACACACACATACACACACACACACACACACACACTCCCTCTCTCTCTCTCTCTCTCTCTCTCTGTGTCTTTCACTACATTGACTTGTCTCTTTAGACATTTCTATTCTCTCTTACTTACAAATATTGTGTGTGATGTATATAAATGTAATATGAATAAAATACAACAAGAAATATTATTTACCAAAAAGATGACTGTCGCACCACCGCCACCACCACCACCATTCTTAAATTCGATTTTTTTCACTTCTCGCACTTTTGACGAGATGCCATGTGACGCTGATGACTCGTGCGATTGACCCGGCGATTGACAATTGACTGTCTTCATGCCGAGATTCTGGATAATAATATAAACAACAATATAAATACTAGTTCTGTCTCTAATTGATCGTATAACCGAGAGGAAAAGGTAATTTTATACATGAAGATTATACGTAAAAATATATTTTTCTCGGTTATATTATCAATTTATTCAGGCACACATTTTTATTTACTTATATATATTTATATATACTCACTTTGGGACACGCGTCTGTTCCCTCTTGACCTACTATGAAATATAATTGGTCACCTTTTTGGAGTTCTATCACACCGCGAACAAGAGCACCTAAAGCGTAACCCTTACCGTCGGAGCCCTTTCCTCCTCGTGCTCCACGGCTGATTAAACTATTTTGAAGATAATTTATTAATTGAATAGATTGAAATACTTTTTTTCGTAATATGCTATTTATCATATTCGCTTACTTTACACCAGCCATCTGACTAGTATAATTCTTTGATTAATTAAATACAATAGCATATATATTTGCAATTATATATGTACACAATAACAAACGTACTAATGTAACTTCTTTAAACAATTCTTATGTATTTTTAATACGAGAAACACTGACTGTTCTTGTTATAATTCTATATTTTTATATACATTTACTAACGTGTAGTATTCACCGCGTGGTGCAGTCCACCATTGAGTTCCATTGGAATTAAAGATCGGTGCTGTATTCTCCTGATCTGACGATCGCACGATCAATTCTACATTAGTGTCATTATGTTCCTCGGCGCATTCCTCGATAGTAGGGCCTTTTCTGCCAGTAGCTCCGCAAGTGGTAATCCGGATGACTGAAAGCAATGCATCAAGCAATTTGATGTAAGGAAATTTGTATAGAAAATTAAAGAATACAATTACAAGGAAATATTTTTTAGAAAACATGTAAGAAGAGCAGACAAAATATTTTATTAATTATAAAGGAATAAGGAAAATTTTAAGAAGCTAAACAAATGTAAATGACAAATGCTCTATCAAAACATGTTTATGTGTATGTGTGTGTGTGCGCGCGCGCGCATATATATACTATCAAAATATCTTATTTTATTTTATAACAAATATTTGAGCGATATATTTACAATAAATAAATGGTATTTCACCAATAAATATGTACCAAGTTTAATAAGATTAAATGCTTCAGTTTTGCATACCTTTAGTCTTATTTATGAAATCCGGATGCTGCAGTGGTACTTTTTCGGATTCAATATCGGGTTTGTAATAATCAAAGTTGCCTACAACTTCCGGTGGAACTCCTGAATAAGAAAATGTGTTGTTTGAAGAAAAAAATTTTCTTTTCCCACGAAATTTTCTTGAAATGCTAAGTTTTCATCAACTTTTTTTTTAATCAAGAGAAAAGTTGTATTTTTAGCTATTGAACTGTTAGCAAAATATGTTAGTATTATAATTTTTATCCTTGCAGGATCATGCGTTTTAAACTACTCCAATTACGTATATTTACGATATAATATATTTGTTGAAGTTACCAATGGCAAAACACTCCGGACTTAAGGAAATATCGTCTACTGCTATATCACCTTTCGCAGAAATCCCTCTGGACGCCTCAAATTGCAAAACATACCTACAAATAGTAGTAGATGTTGTAACAATTAATCAAATTTTGCATTATGTACACGCAACTGTCACTATATTTTTCACAATTACCTATATCTTATGTCAGGTAGGGCAACTACTTCATAGTTCCAAATATCGCTATTAATTTTGTAAGACCACCACAATTGGGTGGTGCTATTTCCATATGGTTTTATTTCAACCAAAAACAGTCCAAGAGCTCCGCTATGTGTACCGTATTTGTGATAGAAAAAGCGTATCTAAAAACGTTTGTGCCATTCATAAGAAATTCGTTGAAGATATAAGAATATAAGAAATTAGAAATAACCATCAATACATTTGCTGCATCTATTATAATGTATACCATATCGTATCTCTCTGCGAAAGATATGATATGGTGCACATTATACTAGATGTAGCAAAATGTCTTGATGGTTATTTCTAATGCATTTTTTAGAAAAGAATGAGAAAGACTCGTATTTGATATCATATTCATATTTATATATCGTGAGTACAATATTCGTGGTACAACATTCGTAGTACAACATTCGTAGTACAAGGATAAGCAGTACCGGACAATATACATATATAGCAATTGACATTGCGACATATGTGTTGTATTTCAAAATTAAACGATAAGTAAATGTTACGTCGCAACAAATTAATTAATAAAGAGATATATCGATATTGTAGTATCAATTTATATATATTTATATATTTCATATATACATATATATGTATAATTCCTAATTCGTTTTAAATTTAAAAAATAGTATTTGAATCAGTTTAGTGTTCAATGATTCATTGACGATAAATGACATTGGCAAAGATTAATAAAACTGATGCTACATTGATATATTATATATATTATATTTATAAGCAAAATGGAGAATATATAATGATAGAATAAAATTGCAAACACATACTTGACACGATTGATAATAAAGGCTTTTTGGATCGTTGCTATAAGGTGGTGTCGGATTATATAAAGGACTTTCGATAGTGCCTCGACTACCATATTCAATATTCATGCCAAATGCATTTTTAGTCGCCATATTCACGTACACATAAGTTCCTGCCAAATAAGGAAAAGGATAACAACATAAATTATTATTATTATTTTTGCATATGCGTTTCTCTCTTCGCTTGATCTAAATTAATTGCGCACCTGTTGCATTGCGATAAGTATGATCGTAATTAGGTCCAGTTCTTACAGACGGCGTGGCACCTTTATGAAGAGTCCAATTTAAAGGTCTTCCAGGAACATTTGTCCATCCACACCAACCGTTTTCAAAGTTACATCTTGCGTTCTTGGGTATTTTGTCTGTATATATAGAAATTTTCAAAATTTTCGTTTACTATATGAAATTTAGCGCAACTACTCTCAAAGACGTACATATATGAAGCATAAGGAAGTTTTACAAGGATTACAAAAGTTAAAAAGGGGGAAATGTGAATTTTTGATCTAACACACCGCACTCGAGCGTTTCATCTTCACCATCGGCGCAATCCTTTGTGAAGTCACAGATACGAGTCCTATTCAAGCAGAAATCGTCGTTACATCGAAACATATCCTTCGTACAAGGGGCACCGATCGGCACAGATTCTAAATAGATGCGAAAAATTATTATTTCGCTTCTCAATCATTAAATTAAATTTTGTCGATTAATAGTTTTCAATTAATCTTTTCAATTAATTCAGTTATGATTGCATATACAAATTGCGTTTTTTATATACAAATCTCCTTCAAAATCATATGCCTATTTTTTCAAATAATTATGCTTTAACTTAATTGCTTTTCTTTTTCAATTAACAGGATGTAACTGTTACTGCAATTGTATACAAATCTAATCTTTGTATTCCGTTTAATATTACGCTATTATATTAGCTATTGTATTAAATAAACTTGATAATACTATTCGAATATGGTTAAAAATCTACTATTTCACATCGCTTAATTTTAAAAACAACGAATACCTATGCGTAAACGAAGAATAGGCTCACTATTTTATATGCAAATGCCATAAATTTCAAAAAGGTACAAACGTATCGTATGATATGACGATCAAAATGTTCAATCGACTAATTCACACATTATACATACAATATTAAAATATGTTTATTATAGTTACCTGGAAAACAATTGACTAGACGAATATTGTCAACACCGACGCTCGAGTTGGAGTAGGGCGCGTATACTTCTATTATTAATTGATAAGGTTGATCGACTGCGCGTAACTCGTAACTCATTTTTTGCCATCTACAGAACAATATTTAAAAGTATTAATCTTTCTTTTTCTACAAATTTGTATTATCATAATACATACACGAATACAACTTGTTTTCTACATACTCAACATAATTATTCCCATGTTTTGAGTATGCGATTGAGCTCACATTGTTAGTTTGTATGATAATATTTATGAATCCGGATTCCATTTCCACCTGATAAAGCCAGAATTGGACGTGGCAACGCGGGCCCGTGCGAAAAATTATCTTCGACCATATTTGAGCATCTCCCGGACCGTTGAACCACAAAAAATAACCTTGAAAGACAAATCAATTTTATATACATATACATATATATATATATATATATATATATATATATATATAAAACGATCCTTTTTTTATTTAATTTAATAATAATTTCATCCCGAAACGTTTTTTTGCAAAAACGTACGACTGACCCAAAATTTCTGTACCGTTTGTGGAGTTATTGGCATTCGAGGTCGGAAAATATTTTGACAGATTGCCGGATGCTGATGTAACTTTCTTAAAGATAGGATTCGTAGATTGCTCATTCGTAGATGGTGGTTGCCAAAACCAGTCGCAGGACCAGTCTGTCTCCAAGTCACAGTGGCCCATCAAACGGGGCGAACCATTCAAGGCTATCTGCAAATCCTTGATTCCACGTGATGTTTTATCCTTGTGACTGCAGGTTATCGTGACGCAACAGAAAATCAAAAAGAATCGAAGCAGAAATCCGCCACCACCGCCATGTATAGACACGTGCCGACGACCACACGTGCAAATTGCCTGATTGTAATCCGCGGTGGGGTTCGCCAGCCTCAGTCGTATATCTCTAATCATTACTCTACGATTTTGTTAAATCGACCGTTCAATAGTTCCTGATAAGGTCACGCACAATATTGCATACTCTGTCTTTGCGTAATATTAGACATGATTTTACGAGTATCGTTATTTTTCGTGGATTTATTTTTGAGAGAACGTTGAAAGCGGGCGGCGTCATCCAAAAACGTGATCGATGATGAGAAATTTGCGACGATATATATAACGATGAATTTGAACATCATGGATCTTTCCGGTGATGATCAGCTTCCATTGTCTATAAGACTGAAATCAAATATATATTTTGACGTTATGCGTATAATCTTATTTCACCTATTTAATATGTATACATATATATATATATATATATATATATTTAAATTATATAATAATTATATAATACGAAACTTTTTTGAAAAATTTTGTAGTTTTATTATTATTATTATTATTATTATTATATATCTAAAATATTAATTTTTATATACTAGTACAATGTGTTTTCATGCAATATTGATGTAATGTTGAATACATGTTCACACTTTGTAAATTTTTTTAAGCTCGCATGTAAAATGTAACATTAAACATACAAATGTAACATTAAATTTTACATTCGTATATTTCACGTACAATGAAATAACAATACACACACACACACACACACACACACACACACACACACACACACACACACACACACATATATATATATATATATATACACATACACACATACGGAGGAGATTGCAAAATTATGAAAAAAGACAATGAAATGAATTATACAATAAAATGTAGCCGCGAAGGTGGATTAATTGATTCCTCTTTCCCTTTCTTTCTCTCTCTACACGCACACATATCCTAATTTCCGATATGTGCGCAGAGACAAAGTTATGCTCATTCTCTATCGTCGATATGATATTCTAAAAGCGATTAATGCTAGAATATTTATAAAACTAATAAAATACATTTTTATTTATTTGGTTCTATATATATTAATTATAATATTTTATTTTTTAACTTTTTAAGGTACAGAAGAATGTTTTCGGAAATTTAAAATCAAAAATATGCACAAGTATTTCATCTATAACAGATATAGATTTATTTAGATTTACAAATAAATAATGGTATAAAAATGTATTTAAGATAATTGTTTGAGTATATTGCCAACTAGAAATGTTTTACAGCTATCTCTTTTGTAATTTAAAAAAAAGTTTTGTAGTTTTTCTAAATCTGACGTTTGTTAGTATTTATTCAGTTCACCTTTTTATACGATTTTTTTTATATTTTACGATTAAAATTTATTTATTAGTGCGAGATTTGTGCAAAAAGTAACAATTGATCCTATAATCAATTACATCTATATGCTTTCTTTCTCGTCCTTTCCATTTGGCAAGCGATGCAGTTATCATTGTTAGAGCGTATTATAGTTTTGTCGCGGAACATGCAATGATCTTATGTTTCAACTTGCCTCTATTTTGAGATTGCGATGAGGATCGAAATAAAAGTGTTTCACAAAATTTTTAATAGCAAATCGCGATTTAACTCTCTTTATATCTTTTAGAAGCTTTTTGTCTTTTCAAGCATCATAATATGTCTGACAACAAATAGCTATTGTCAGCATGGTAGTATCGATCGGATCCTATACGTATACTGAATGCTCGCATTTGACAATCATTCGCGGCGTTTCTCTGCGACAAGAGTAATTATTCGAATTCTTTGTATATTCTTTGCATTAATTATGCAAATCATCATAAATTCTCTCTTAACAAAGCTATCGAAATCGGTACTACAATCGATATCACAATTTATTAAAATCACTTTTATCATAAAAATAAAAAAGGAGAATCAAATGACAAATTTTCGGTTTTTAATTGACAAATACGTACGATTTGTTTCTATAACAATGTACAAAAATGTAAAGTGCGGGAGCATATTAGGAAAAAAGTTGAAAAAAATATCATCTTTTCATATTTTCATTTGAATTAACCGTGTGTATATATAATTTATATACAGTATAAATTAAACTTGACTTTTATTAACATTTAAAATGGGTAAAATATTTTTCCAAATAAATAAGTAAGAAAAATATTATTGGAGAATAATATATAATATAAACGTAAATACGATTCTGAGCAATTAGAAACTCAATATAACTTTTTCCGTCTTCGAGATTTATCGTCCCTCCATATATTATATATATTATATTACATATATTATATTATTATATATATTACATATATTATATGACATTATAATATAGAGATAAAATCACGCAGCAATTGATTACTATGACATGTTGTTAACCATTTATTCATAACACTCTACAATTCTATTCTGGCGTCGGGAATCATCAATCATTTGAAGCTTTTGATTATGAGTTCTTTTAATATATTTCGTTTGTAAAAGTATTGTAGACGCATCACTACGAAAACATACTACGTGCAGACTGCCATATCAAGCTCCGAGCCATAATTTGTCTGTGTCTTGTTAACAGCAATTGAGAAAAGCATTTTGCTCTCCATTTTTTTCGCAGCCTTTCCTCCCCCCCCTCTTCCTTCTCTCATTTTCTCTCTCTCTCTCTCTCTCTCTCTCTCTCTCTCTTTCTCCTTTCCGGAGGAGGATTTGAGTGGTCGCTTAGCTACAATCATTCCCCGTAGGTTATATCGCACCCTCGTTCAAGTAATCACCCTAGTAACGTAATCCGGAAGTACCCATTCACATCAAATTCTAAGAGTCTAGAGCCATCGACCGATGTTTATTTCTAGATCGTTATTTGCAAAATTCATATATTTATGCAACTATAAGCAACGGTACTAAATTTCGCTTAATTTTTTATAACATATAAATACAGTACAAGTTTTTTGTTACGAAAACAATACTTTGAATAACCATGATGGACTCAAAATAGAAAAAAAACATATTGCATTATGAAAATAAATGATATTAATATTGCTAACAATAAGTATTAGCATAGATAAATTTATGTTGTGCTCTCATGTGATTTTTCGAATGTACAATGTTGGTGATTGTTCGAGACATATATCGATTGCTCTTATTAGTTCAATACAAAATACAACGTATCAACAATTTTAATATATACATACATGATTGCAAATATGTTTTCCATTACTATATCATATCAGGTATAATTAGATATTGTAACGAATCAAATGATAAGTATATTCTTTCTTATTATATATCCTATGTACATGTTATACATAAAGAAATTTTTTATCATCCAATTGTTACAATATCTAGTTGTGCTTGAAATGATGTAAAGTAAAGATAATATTTGTAATTATGTAATATTTATTATATATTTCTCGATATTATCATTTAAAAAAATCATCTAACGTCTAATATACATCTTTTCTTTTTCTTTTTATATTAGCTGAAGCATTTAAAAGATTGTATATTTATTGCCAAGACACGAAATGCCTTTAAAGATATGATCCAAATATGATCCAAAATATGAAATTGTATATTTTAACTTTTTTTTATCACACACATATATACACTTATCTCTTTAAAAATCTTATTTGTATCTTTCATGATATTTCCGAGAACAAAAACTTATTTTTTTTTACGTATATCTTTCTCATGTTATATTTCTTCTTTATATTTCTTAACTGTTTTATGATATATATATATATATATATATATATATATATATATATATATAATCACAATGTGTGTACATATATATATATATATATATATATATATATATATATGCGTGTGTGTGTGTACATGTATGTATATTCAAATATCTACTCAACAATGTTGAAAAACACAATTAAAGAATTTCTCAAGAAATATATGTTTCTTTAATTTTTTTCAACATTTGGGAATCATTTTAATAAATGTCCATTTGCTTATAAACAACATATTTAAGGCTACGTGGAATGATTACGAACCAACCATTAACCTTGTCGTTTCCGATTATTAATGGAGAAAATGGAGAAAATTTTTCTTCCGAAAGTACGATAAAGATTAACGCAATTTTAACAACACAGATATCAATGTTGCTCACCTAACAATATGAAGTTGCACTCAAATAACGATCAATTTTCTCTTTATGAATGATGCGTGATTTATATATACTTTAAATTCGTTTACATTTTTGTCATTAAAAGAGCAAAGTATATATGTTGTATTATTGTTTCGATGTATAATTATACTAACGGATGAAAAATATATTACTTTACATCGTGATTGCAAATATTTGTGAAAAAAAAATTATGTCTAGTATCGCGAAATAAAATACGTAATTATCGAAATGTACATGATGAATGGATTTGAAATTTTGATTAGTATGCGCTGTAAAGTAATTAATAGTAATATATTACATCAAGAGTGCCATATTATACCACGTACTTTTGATGGAGGCCCTTTCGTTCCGCTTCCGGTTCACCATCCAAAATTCCGATGGTGATCAAACGACTTTTTCGCCAGCATACATGTCACATTGACGAGAGAGCCACGGACAATGATCGGTGCATGAATTTTCCTCGTCAAATACCTGACACGCGATAAATGCTACCACAGTCTATTGAGAAAGGTTTATCCGTACGTCTGTCTAACGGAGTATCGAACGAGTTTATTGCGTCTAAGAATTTCTCAGGCACACTAACTATGCGCTCGCACGACAAACGTTGATTGGTATAAAGTGCCAGCGGAGAAGACGGTATCTTCAAAAGAGAAACAACTCGATCGAACTGCGTCGATCGAACTTTAACTTTAGCACGGAGCCCCTCGATAGTATCGCCCCGTCTCCATTCTCGAGAGAATCCGTCGAAAGTCCAGACACCTTTTGGAATTTTGCACGCAAATTGTTAGGTCGCGTCATGCCATCCCGCCTGTGCGTAGACACACACGCGTGCGCGCGTACATCGCGTGCATCGCGATCACATATGTGTAATCAACGTACGGAGACGAGAGGGAGAGATATCGTACCGAGTGTATCCCTGAACGATTCTCGCATTCTCTGGACCGCGTTTCGGCAAGGATCGAGTCGCGCTCTTTCCACCCGCTTTTCGGCGCTATCGATCGGCTGTCGCGCGCGCGAGACTCTCGCACACTCCTGACAAAACTCTCGTCGTCCCTGGACCAGATTTAATTCACCAATGTCGATCTCGCGCGCTAGCTAGACCGTTTACGAAGCCGATAGCCGAACGTTTAACGCGTTTAACGCGTTTCACCCACGAGATGAGAGATTCGTCGACGAGATATCCGAGATATTGCGGCTCCTCCGGCGGCTACCGCAGGGTGTCGTTCCGTCCGGAATCTGGGCTTCGCGACGGAGCGGCGCGCACGCTCTCTCTCTCTCTCTTCGCACGCGCGTGGACCATACGGGGAGAGATTACGACCCGCGAGAACGCGGGTCTGGCGGGGGATGAGAGGAAAAGATCGAAGAGAGAGAAAGAGGTAGACGGAGGGATGAAGAGGTGGCGAATGATTATCTCGCGATCGAAGGAGTCGCGTTTTGAAAAATTTGCAATCCAAAACTCTGCTAACCATCTTCTCTGATACGTTGCGCGTAATTATTCGCGAATGTATAACGGATACTAATTGTAAGTCGAACCAAAATCGATTAGAGTTTAACCTAGTGTCGATTAATCGGATACATTCCTCGTATTCGCTCTTGTATGTACGTGATCTCTAATAGCAGTCGGATCAATGATGCTTTGTTTTTCACGTTGTTTTTTAGGTGATAAGACACACCAAAATGAATATTGGCATATTAATAAATGAATAAAGCACGTATCTCGGATACACATAATGTACATATAAAATTGTATATAAATATTTTACATGGGTGACCCTTGGATGGTGAATATATATATATATATATATATATATATATATATATATATATATAATACTATGCGAGATATAAATTTTTATATTTTTTTATCTGTACTACTGAATAATTTCCCACGGCACAAAATATGATCGAAATTATAAATATCGCACATTTTTCATTACATGTTACAAAAACATAATGCAATGAGAAAAAAAAAGTACAAATATCGTGTATTAAAGCGAAATAATTGGTTTCGATTTTCACAATACTACGCTGTAAAACTGTGAAGGAAAAGATAGATTAAGCAAGAGAAGAGATGTAAAAGAGAAAGACGATGAGGAAAAACAAACGTAAAAAGAATGAAAGACAGCGGAGGAAGAAGAGGAGATGACAAAAAGAGATATGGAAAAGAGAAGGCGTAAAAATACACGAAGGAATATGTGTACACTCTTTTATTATGTTTGCCGGTCTTCATCCTTGACGAGAATTATCCCATCGAATAAGCGCAGTCGCTTTTATTATACATGTAGTATGTGTATGTCTCTCTCTCTTAAATGTAATTATCTAAAACTAAATAAAATTTTATATAATAGTGTCAATATTGCAGAATTAAATTGTTTTATTGAGAGAATTAGTAATTACATGTAAGTATATTTAAAGATTTTATTTTATATATATGAATATTTCTAAAAACAGACGTGTGAGTGCGTATATATATATATATATATGTATATATATATATATATATATATATATATATGTATATATGATGAAACAAAATTTAAAATTAATATTACATAATTTTTTTCTTTTCATTAAAAATCGAATATACGCAATTTATTTACGGAATAAAGACTTGTGTGTAATGCACCATTAAATTTTCAAATCATTTCATAACTCTCACAATTTTACACATGTTCATCATTCACGGTCCGTAATGACCAGCCGTTACGTGCGGTATGTATAATAATAATTCCGTGTCGATATCCTAAGAATTTTCATTAAACTATACAAATAATAAATTATAGAGTAGATCGAGAGAAGGAAAGGGAGATAAAAACAAAGAAATAAGAATAAGCTTATCGTGCTCAAACTTAATATTTCATTTCGCGTTCCTTTCTAATTATTATTAAGTATTAATGAATTTTACAAAAAATGATATACATATTGCAAAATGTTCAAGTGCCTAGAATCGTCATCATATTTTCCTCGTATAAATAAATAATGCGTTTTTTGTTATAGAACTGTACGTGATATTGACAATTAGTAAATCGAAATGATGAGAATTGAAAGAAAGAAATTTTTTTAAATTACCCAATTAGCCAATCTTGAACGCGAATTAATAAATGAAATAATATAGATATATGCGGTAGAAAGAAATATGCATTTAGGATTATAGACGCTATATATAAGAAATAGATGTAATATTTTTTTCGTCATGCTTGCCTCATCGCGCATCATTCTTTTCTTGCGCGCCTCATCTGGTTTACCGTACTCCGTATATCTCCTCTCTAGGAACGCCATGCCGTCACTCGCACACTCGATATGCCCAAAATGAAACAAGAATAAAAGCAAAAGCGTGGCTTCTACAAGTTTGCGTTGCCCGTAAACTTGAGGAATATTTCGCAAAAATTTTTACGTCGTACAGATTATACATGTTTCGTTATATTTCCACACCTTGCTCTTTTCCTTCATACATCTCTACTGTAATGACCTCGCTACATTTTTGCGAGAAACAAAACCATTTTCTTTTTCATAAAATATATATAGATGATACAAGTCACCTAAAAAATATCAAATTAGACTATTTCCAATAATTGATACAACTTTGAAAATGCAAATTTTCTCCGTTATGATCATCTGTCTATGTATTATATATAAGTTATGCATATAATATATTTTCCTAAATTATTGCCAAGCAATTTTTTATATTTGTTCTCGGAAAGCAGCCAACTCTCAAACAATTATTGCAACTTGTTAAACAGAAAAAAGTTTATCGATTACAATATTCCGCTATGTATTTATCGCCAAATACCTCATTGTGTCCGATGAAATTGTTGATCTCGCCCAACACGAATCTTTATACCTGAATATTTTTCTCGTATCGAATATCTTTTGGATTTCTCTTGTACATTTTTGTATGACATTTATAAAACACGAAAAATTTCTTCTTTCGAAGAAGGAAGAAAATGGCGAATCTGCTTTTTTTAGTTTTAAACGGTCGACGGATACATGTGTATCAAGAGTATGTGTAACGCCGCGAATACGATCAATACTCTTTCTGAACGCAGAATAAGAGTTCATATTTAGTATATTTTAGTAAAATTACCAACCTCCGAGATAGTAAAACACTTTACTGACGGTGACTGATTCTTTTCGCTACAAGTGAAGCGAAGGAAGGGTATCTTACACTTCATAGACGCGCTTCGAGATAATTTTGACGTCGCTATGTGAGAAAAGTATGTGTTTTCGTGCTGCTGTCATGTAATACATGTACAGAGATATTATTCCACTTTTAAATATCTTTTAATTCGTAATACAATTAAAAATTAATAATCGAAAAATTTTACAGCTAATCAATCAATTTATACTTTATTATTCTTAAGGATTCTCTTCCTTTCTTATATGTATATAAATTCTATACATGTATACCTATGATATATATTTTTTAAATAATTGAAATACACATATATCGAATATTTGATTAAATTTGATTATAATTGATTAAAATATATTATTTTAATTAAAATAGAATAGTAAAATAAAAATAACAATAATACGGTTGCCGATAAAATGACCGCGAGACAGATGTAATGGTTTTCTTAAATCTTTTTCGTGATAAAGAGTATTTACCGACAAAGCGAAACATGATATTGCGCAGTTAAAGATAATATCTATAGTTGTGTATAGTGTCAAGAAGAGAAAACATTAAAATTAAGATAAAATATTAAATAATATTTTATAGTGTTATGTCTTTAGATTTTTAATATATTCTATCAATACAATGTAAATTAAGACGAAATAAAGTATTAAAATTTAACATAGATATTGTACGAAATATATAAATATAGCATATACTATATAATGTCTCTCTTTGTGCCTTAAGTAAAAATATGTTTCGTAGGATTACTTGTAATATATTCCAATTGAAATATATATATATATATATATATATATATATATATATATGTAAAAAACAGTTAATTTTATAATCTTTAGACTTATAAATGAATGTATTAAGAAGAAACGGTAATATTTTTATTTTTGAATAAGAGCACATTTTAAAAAATTTTAAAGAGTTTTAGGATATTAGAGCAGGATTATACATATATGAAGAATTGTAACGCATAAATAATCAATAATTATTTTAAAGCAAAATATTCTCTCTCTCTCTCTCTCTCTCTCTCTCTATATATATATATATATATATATATATATATATATATATATATATGATTAAAGAAATAAAATAATTACATACACTATTATATATAGGTCTATGTATAACATAAGCTTGCATAAATAACACCTGAAAGAAAGAGAGAGAGAGAGAGAAAGACAGAGAGAGAAAATGTAATCTGATAGGAAAAAGAAACCTAGTTTACTACTTTGATTAGAGCACATTACTCAAGTATTTATTCATCGTTATCTATGTGTTGAACTGCCTAGGTTTCAGTGAAAAAATATTATATGATAAAATCAAAATATATATCCGCTGTATACAAAGAAGAGAATTATCAGCTTGCATTCATCATATAACCATTATTCTTGATAATAGTTCAAGTTTATATACACATTGTATTTTCAATGCATATTACGATCAAGATATTATTTATACAGCATGATACATCTCTCTGAAATGCTTTCGAAATTTATTTCAATTTAACTTAATAATATTTCTATGTCAAAATTGTTGTACATCAAACTCTTATTTCTCAAGCTGATTTTCTCCCTCGTTTTTCAGAAAAGTTAAAGCTTAAATAACTTTATTATGGGACTTTATACGCATGTTGCGTGTGCCATATATTAAAGATACAAATTGCATTTTATCGACAGTTGCACAAAGCTCAAGTGAAAACTAATAAGTGAAAAATAATATTTAGAGAACTATAATCTCTTTCTCTTCTATATATTTTTGATTGGTTGTTAGCTCTAATGCTCCTATCGCTTTCTTTTCTCTCTTTTCATTTGTGCAACTTATGGTTCGCAGTTTTTCTACTCATAAAACGCGCATACAAATACAAACTATCATTTTCAATGAATATGATGCTTGATTCTCTGCAATTATAACAGAATTCGTGGTTGCACATCACATTACTAAGAGCACTTAAACCACGCAACACTTAACGTGCGTTATAAAAATACGCAATATTATTACAATAAAATAATTATTCGTAGTTCTTAATTCGATCAATTGCATTTAGTTATCGAAAGTTTATTACAGCCTTGCACCTTATCACAGTGTACGGTAGTTCCTTTCATTGCATTGCCTATAGAATTTCCATGAAAATGTGGCAATCGCCATCAAACATGTAGCAAGAATAATGCCACCTGCAATAAGGACATTTAGCACAAGTGCTTTATTATCAAAGATCATCTCTATTATCTTGGATCATTACTAATTAAATTAATAAATCAAGCATATGATAAAAGTTATTGCAAGAAAAATTTTATAAAAAGAGCTTTTGTAAAATTACTTGTATAAACACAATATATATATATGCTATTTTAATTCTTTTAATGAAATTTTAATACAAGTCTGCTTTACTATGCAAATTATATGTTTTATTAATCTCTCAAAATAATTAAAGTGAAATTATCTCTTACCAAAAAAGCTTAGACCATCAAAATGACGATGCTCGGTAGGTGATGAAGTAGTTGGTGGTTCAGCTGTTGTTTTTACCGCAGATGTACTAGTGGATATAGTAGTAGTAGAAGTTATTGTAGCATTGGTACTTGTCATCGGCGTTACAGTTGTAGATTTAGGAGTTGTAGATGTAGGAATTGTAGGTGTTAATGTAGTAGGTTTTGAAGTGGGTGTAGGAGTAGTAGTATTTGGAATTGTAACTGGAGTTGAAACAGTGGATGTCGTTGTAGTTGATGTAGGTGTTGTAGGCTCAGAAGTTGTTGTTTTATTATCCTTCTGTTCTGTCTGCTTCACTGTAGAGTTTGACAAAGCAAATGTAGATGTTTGTGTTGCATTTGTCATTTCTGCTATACCTGCATATGAACATGAAAACCCATACATTATTTTTTTATCTACAAATTAAATTAATTAATCTTATATCAATTATAACAAACAAGATATACATGAAATTTTACTTTTTCTATACTATAAATCTATTTATACGATAAATCATTGTTTATCTATGCACGATCAACTAATATGTAAGTGTGTAGACATCTCTTTGGATACATATGTAATATAAATGCATGTATTAATCATATACAAATGATAATTAAAGTTAATAATTTGTCTTAAAATTTGTAAAATATTTAAGAAATATATATCATATATTTCTGATTATAAATATTTTACAAATTTAAAGACAAATTATTATGTGTATATATATATATATATATATATATATATATATAAAATAATAACTTAATTGTGTATATATATATATATATATATATATATATATATAATTTAATTGTCTTTAGACATGCATACTTGACTACGTTAACTGACGATTGACGTCTGCGTGATGACGTCGCCAGAATAAATACTAATATTTATTGCGCGATCAGTAATTGACGTGATATTGCACATGTTTTCTACATATGTTGCATCTGTTTTAATCTTTTGCTGTATTTAGATGCTTCCGAGAGAAATGTATAAATCGTTAAGAGATTTATCGAAAGAGAAATTGGCACATTTAGTAATATCTTTAAAATTATCAAAGGTTGAAATTTAATGCTCTCATTTTGCTTTTTATACATATAAAGTTAACTCATGTTTTTAAATTTTATATTTCTAAGTTTTTTCCGTCGTGCGAAAAACATATATGTGTGTGTGTGTGTGTGTGTGTGTGTGTGTATCTTAGCATTTCTGGAGAAAAGAAAATAGCGAACAAGTAAAAAAAGGATAAATTTTATAACATGTTTTTAGAGAAAACATATGCTGCTTTCAGTAATTCAATGCGGGTCATATTGCACGCGACAAAATCGAAGCTGCATTTAATCGTTATCGCACAAAATCCATTATTACGCGCTGTGTCGCACATGTGTGCGCCATACAAGTGTATGTGTGTGTGTATGTGTATATATATATATATATATATATATATATATATATATATATGTATGCTCAATCGCGCTAATGTCAAAGCGTCAAAGAACTCACCCTCAGCTAATACCAGCGAACTAATCGTTATGCCCAGCAACACGCAAATCACACAAGTCGATTTCATTTTGGTACGAATCGTATCAAAAAGTGCGAAAGCGAAATTCTCTCGTATCGTTTGGAGACGCGTATGATGTACACGTATTCTAAACCACTATTAATTGTTTGCTGCTCAGCTATGCCTTACGCCTACTCGCAGGGATCAGTAGCGACTGCTGCTGCGTGTGATATCAAGATGGCGATGACATTGTGCCAAAGGCACGGATGAATAATCCCTAGATAAAGATCCGTTCATAATTCATTTTTTACATTCAAGATTATCTCAAGTATAATTTTGGACAATACAAGAGCCTAAATTAAGGGCCTACATCTAGACAAGAGGGCATAGAAATATAATAAATACGAAGCAATCACATGTCTAGTGTATAGAATGCCATGTCGCTACTTTTTCGTCCTAGACAAGTGATTGGTTGATTTTTCCATGCATTGCGCATCTATACAAATTTGTGTAAATAGGCCTTAAAAATCTATATAACAATGAAATTATGTCTTATATATAAAAACGGATTATGAATATGGAGCAAAGAATCGAAAAACAAGTATTATAGACATCAACATGGTAGCAACTAGTAACAATAAATATATTTCTCTCGGTACGATTTTACTTTAACTTTTTGTTTCGGAAAATTGGAAATTTTTTAGCAATTAACAATTGATAATTTCCGTGCCAGCACATTAATTATTGATTACGATTTTAATGCAGTTCTCTCCATCTCTCTCTATGTATATACGTTAGAATTTGTCGTTGGCCATTATACCGACAGCTATTCCTCTAGTCTCTCCTTTTTGTAGACTCTTAAAATTTGAATACAACGAAGAAAGATTTTTTTGTAAATTTCTTGGAAAAATAATTTCCGGAATAAAGTCCCCGTTTCTCTGTTAATTATGTCTCTCCGGTCTGCTCCATCAGTTTTCATCGGCGACTCTAGTAAAGTGGCGCCCTCAAGCACCATCGGAGGGGTTGGGGGCCGCAACAGAGAGAATGCCGATGATGCGCGCTCAGGCGTCTACGACTGGATTCAGTGCTGGTGCTCGATGCGAGGTGAGTGCGCGCGCGACAGTGCAGCACGAGTACTTTGAATGCGAGCGCTCGTTTGTAGCCTGTTTTCGTTGATCGTTTGTCGGAAAAACATTCTCGCGACTGTGCATAGTCGTCGAAACGAGATCGGGAGGATCGATCCACGCGTCGCGAATAAACGCGACAAAAAGGGAAACGCGCGCGCACTGCTATCCCGCAGGATTGAATATCGATAACGATATCCTTCGCGAAAGAAGAGAGAAGAGCTCGGACGGGCGAGCACGATTGATAATAAACGATACGAGGGGTGGAGAGGATTTGCGAGTGAAACGCAGATGACGAGAGTGACGGTGTAACATTCTCCGGGACGGCAACGAGGTGGCTCACGGTGGTGACCAGCCTACGCATAAAGGGCGAGGGAAATGGGCCGCTCCGCATTTGATACGTGATACGAGGTGCGTGAGCGCGCGCGCGCGCGCGCGCGCTCCCTCCCTTCCGTAAGCTGCGCGTGTGTATGTGGCGTGCGTGTAAAGTCATCGTCGTGGTCGTCGCCGTCGTCGCCGTCGTCGCCGTCGCCGTCGTCGTCACCGTCGCCGTCGCCGTCGCCGCCGTCGTCGTCGTCGTCGCCGCCGCCGCCGCCGTTGCTGTTGTCGTCGTCGTCGTCGCCGCCGCCGCCGCGCCGTCTTCATTTTCATCGTCGTCATCTTTACCGTCGTCGTCTTTACCAGTCTTCTCCGTTACCATTGTGTCATTGTATGTCGCTGTTGTGTATCGCTCGTTAACACATGTGTGTGTGCCATTTGCATAAATGAAACAAGTGGAGGAAGAAAACTGCTGATTACTCCGAGATTGTCGAAGCGAGCGTCGTCGTCGTCGTCGTTGTCGTCGTCGTCGTCGTCGTCGCCCCCCTCCCCCCTCGACTCGACGTTAACGAGTCAAGAATTAAGGGATAGCTCGTTTTTCGTGAAAACGCGACGCGACATGACGGCGAGGGGTGGTGTCGTCGCGGCGGCGACGGCGACGACGACGACGACAGCGACGACTACGATAATAACGATTACAGCAGCGTCGTCATTATCGTCGTCGTCGTCGTCGTCGTCGTCGACGTCGACAAGCGTGGCCACACCGTCGCGCCGTCTACTCGCGACGACCCTGCCGCTGCTGTTGTTGCTGCTAATGTCGACGCATCCTGGCCCGGCCGCGGCTTCCTGTCGGTGGACCAACGAGGCTGGAAACGACACCCGCTCGGCGGACTGCGCCCTTCGCGTCCTGGATCCCACGGCAATCGTCGCTTTAGCGCCGTCCCTGGACGGTGCGCTCAGATTGCGGATTCGCTGCAGCGACGTACATCATTTCGAGAGTAGCTTGAACGCGCAGAGCTGGCAACGGCTCGCCGGCCTACACGAGCTTCACGTTCACGGCTGCAAAGTGTTGCAGATACCGGACGGTGCGTTTCAACCGTTGCTCGAGCTCAAGCGACTCGTCGTGCAAACCTTCAACGCTGCCTGGGGCGCCGCCAAGTATTTAGAGTTCGCGCCACGCTCTCTCCTAGGCCTTCGCGAGCTCCACACTCTTGAAATCGTCGAGAGCAACGTGCTGGCGTTGCCGCCTGATTTGCTTTGCGAACTGGACAACCTGCAGACCCTCAATCTCACCGGGAATCGTATTCGCGACGTCAGCGATATCGGTCTGAAGGCGCGCGGGGACATCGACGCCGAGGAGGCCTGTCGCGCCGACGTCCGGATTTTGGATCTGTCGCGCAACGAGCTCCAACGATTGTCGGAAAACGGACCGCTGGTGAGCCTACGACAATTGCAGGAGCTGCACTTGCAACGCAACGCCATCGCCGAGATCGGCAAGAACGCCCTGGACGGGCTAACCGTCCTGCGCACCTTCAACGCCAGCCACAACGTCCTAGACTCCTTGCCCGAGGGCCTGTTCGCCAGCACGCGCGACCTGCGGGAAATACACCTCGCGCACAATGGACTACGGACGTTGCCACGGGGCGTGTTTACTCATCTCGAGCAGCTCCTAGTTTTGAATCTCGCCAACAATCGCCTTGGCAGCGATCGCGTCGACGAGACCACCTTTCTCGGCCTAATTCGCCTCATCGTCCTCGATCTGTCGTACAATCAACTCACGCACATCGACGCCCGGATGTTTAAGGATCTGTTTTTCTTGCAGATTCTCGATTTACGCAACAATTCGATCGATCGTATCGAGGGTAACGCCTTTCTGCCGCTCTACAATCTGCACACGCTCGAACTGTCGGACAACAAGCTCCATACCGTCGGAGCGCAGCTTTTCAACGGTCTTTTCGTCCTGAATCGCCTGACCATGTCCGGGAATTCGATCGCGAGCATCGACACGGTGGCGTTTCGCAATTGTTCCGATCTTAAGGAATTGGATCTGAGCGGCAACGAGCTCACCGCCGTGCCGGACGCGTTGCGCGATCTTGCCTTTCTCAAGACTTTGGACCTGGGCGAGAACCGGATCAACGAGTTCCACAACGGCTCATTCCGCAATCTCCACCAGCTCACCGGTCTTCGTCTGATCGGCAACGACATTGGCAATCTGACGCGCGGCATGCTTTGGGACCTGCCGAATCTGCAGATTCTCAATCTGGCCCGTAACAAAGTGCAACACGTGGAGCGGCACGCGTTCGAGCGCAACGTCAGACTCGAGGCTATTCGATTGGACGGCAACTTTTTGTCGGACATTAACGGCGTCTTCACCAGTATCGCTAGTCTGCTGCTGCTAAATCTATCGGAGAATCACATAGAGTGGTTCGATTACGCCTTTATCCCGGGCAATCTCAAGTGGCTCGACATTCACGGCAACTTTATCGAGAGTCTTGGCAATTATTACAAGATTCGCGACTCCAAGGTCCGAACGCTGGACGCCAGTCATAATCGCATCACCGAACTCTCGCCGCTCTCCGTGCCGGCGAGCGTCGAGTTGCTGTTCATCAACAATAATTACATCAGCATCGTACGGCCTAATACGTTTGCCGACAAGGTGAATCTTACTCGGGTGGACATGTACGCCAACATGATCGAGACGATGGAATTGACGTCCCTGCTCCTGACCAAGGTGCCGGAGAGCAAACCCCTGCCCGAGTTCTACATCGGGGGTAACCCGTTCAATTGCAATTGCTCGATGGACTGGCTCCCGGCTATCAACAATCAGACCTCGACGAGGGAGTACCCGCGGGTCATGGACCTCGACAACGCCATGTGCCGTACCTCCGGGCCGCGGGGAGTCGCCATCGTCCCGGCCTCGAGCGCCCGCTCGGAGCAATTCCTCTGCCGCTACGAGGCGCACTGCTTCGCCTTGTGCCACTGCTGCGATTTCGACGCCTGCGACTGCGAGATGACCTGTCCCGCCGGCTGCAAATGTTACAACGACCGCACGTGGAACACGAACGCGGTCGATTGCTCGGGTCTCGGGGTCGAGGAGATTCCACGGAGGATACCGATGGACGCCACCGAAGTATACCTGGACGGCAACGTGTTGCGAGAGTTGCAGAATCATGCTTTTATCGGTCGCAAAAATATGCGCGTGCTCTACGTAAATGCCAGCGGCATCGAATCCATCCAGAACCGTACGTTCAACGGTCTCAACAATTTGCAGATTCTCCATCTCGAGGACAATCGGATACGCGAGCTCAAGGGCTTCGAATTCGAACGTTTATCGCACTTGCGCGAGCTCTATTTGCAAAACAATGCGATCGGCTTTATCGGAAATCTTACCTTTCTGCCGCTGCGCTCGCTCGAGATTCTGAGGCTGCACGGCAATCGACTGGTGACGTTCCCCGTGTGGCAGGTCACCCTCAACGCCCGATTGGTCGAGCTGTCGCTGGGCGGGAATCCGTGGTCCTGCCGCTGCAAGTTTCTGCAAGAGCTATCCTCGTGGGTGTCGGACAACGCGCACAAAGTCATCGACGCGAGCGACGTATGGTGTTACTACGGCGGCGACGCCCGGCAGACGGCCTATCGACGTCGTCTCAACGTCAACGAGACCGCTTGCTCGGACTACTTCTCCCAAGGCGGCGTGATCGAAAGTATCATGGTGTCGGACTATTTGCCCCTGGTGGCCGCCACTCTCTCGGCCGTCCTCGTTCTCCTGGTGATCATAGTCCTCGCCTTTGTGTTTCGCGAGCCCGTCGGCGCCTGGGCGTACTCCAAGTACGGACTGCGCTTCCTGCGCGCCAAACCCGGCAAGGCCGTCGTGACGACGGCGAGCGGCATGGGCTCCGCGGCCGCCGTGGCCGTGGGTTGCCGCGACGCCGATCGCGATCGCGCCTACGACTGCTACGTTTGCTACAGCCCGAACGACGAGGACTTTGTCGCGCGATCGTTGGCGGTCGAGCTGGAGCACGGCGGCGCCGATCTAAGACTCTGCCTCCATCACCGGGACTTGCCTTGCGTTCTGCGCGCTTCCGCGCCCGCGCCCGCGGTCCTCGAGGCGGTCGACGCGTCCCGACGCGTGTTGATCGTGCTGACTCGCAATTTCCTCCAGACCGAGTGGTCGCGCTTCGAGTTTCGCGCGGCGCTGCACGAGGCTCTGCGCGGCCGTGCCTCCCAGCTGATCATCGTCCAGGCCGGCCACGTCGGCGTCGAGATCGAACGCGATCCCGAGTTGCGACCTTACCTGCGAACCGCGGCGCACATACTTACGTGGGGAGAGAAGAGGTTTTGGGAACGATTGCGTTACGCCATCCCGCCGTCCGCGACCGCCGCCGTTGTCGCTCCCAGTGCCCCTCCCGGCGCCGCCGTTGCCGCCGGGGACGTCGCCGTCGAGACCAAATCCTCGCCGCTCGTTTATAAACGTAACATCAACACTTATACGCTGGACGGTGGGATCGGCAGCCTCGAGAAGAGCAGCGTTTCGACTTTGCGCGGTGGTCAACGCGCCGCGCTCTTCAAGGACGCCTCTTCGGCGCTCATGCTGCAACACGCCCCGCCCGCTTATTCGTGCGGTGCCCCGCTTTCTCCCATATTACCGCAACAACAACAGCAGCAGCCGCCGCCCCCGCAATCGCTTCTGTCGTCGCCGGCGCAACCCAGGTTGACGGTCAATCACGCTTACCGAGACGCGATGCCGGCCGCCACGACCAACAGCATCGGCGAAGACCATAGGAGACCGTTGTCCGAGCACATCTACTCGTCCATCGATTCGGACTACTCCACCCTCGAGAGGACCGCCTGGAGACAACAGCAGCCGCCACCTTCCCCGCCCCCGCCCTCCTCCGGACAGGCCTATCTAGTTTAGCTTCGTCGCGTCGTTCATTTTTGACTCTCGTAACAATGAGCGGGCTCGTTCTCGAATGGTTGTGCTGAATCTTGCGTTCGTCATTCGACCGCGACACCGATCTCGACGTCGATTTCGACAGACTATGAATTCTCGAAGACGCTGGACGCGTCTGTCGTCGAGACACGTGTGTACATAACTCGGAGACGTTGTCGCGAAGCGAGAGAGAGACAGAGTGTCTACGTATCGTAATTATCCGTAAAGACTTTGGAGATGTGATAATGGATCTTTGTTTGTCGCATTTTTCCCTTTTCCGTTTTTTTTTTCTCCATCTCTCTTCGCTCTTCGTTCGACGTAATAAGATTTCCTTCCCTGCGTATGCGAAATAATTGTGAATAACTTTTCGCGAAATACGCTTTGTTTAGATGTATCGTTTGGTTGTTCCTTTATGAACGCAAATTAATTTTTTCACAACAAAAAAAAATATATATATATATATATATATATATATATATATATATGTTGATATAATTCGTAAATTTTTCAACTGTGTTCCATTGCGAATTGAAAATTTCTACAAATTAAAAGCGTAAGATGAAAAAAGATTTGTATTTACTTTTATATGATTGATGATTGATGATTCCATGATTTCTCTTTGTTACAATCTTTATTTATTTTGAACGATTTATCAAGAAACTATCATATAAGGATAAAGTAAGAGTTTTGAGACACTTTGTTTATTTCATCCGATTACTTTCCAGCGAGCGCGAATACGCGCAAGAATCTCATCTCGCGTGATCGTATACAAGTCATCGAGCTGTCCCTTTCGCGGCAGATTTTACTCTTGTGTAAATACTTACTTCTACTTACTGCGAACTCGTGTAAATATGCTACTATGCGGTACATCTGTACATACAATGTACGTACACTGTGCGAGCGTGCGTGCGGGCGTATGTGTGTGTGTGTGTGTGTGTGTGTCTGACCGTCTGTGTGTAAATACATACACGTAATTGACATGCGTCACATTTCGCCGCGTAATAGGATCATGATGCTAGCTTGGATTCTGAATTTCCGATTAAATGAATGACTTTTTGTAATTTTATATATCCGCGAAAAAAAGGAGAGAAAAATGTGATTGTACGATATGTAAATATGTATATTGAATACATACCCTTTATTGCTGCGCCTCGTGTAAGATACTGTTTGTCGCGTGAAAGAGAGGGTAAGAAATGAAGAGTGAGAAACAAAAACGAGAGGCATGCGCCCGCGATCCGTCGAGTATAAAACATGCAAACGTTTGCGCATGTGTCGTGAAACTCTCTTAACTGTATACTTGACTTATTTAAAACATGTGAATAAATTTATAAAATACGTTATTACTTATATGTTCGCAATATATGCCTTATATCTCGATTCTGACAACGACGCGTCAAAACTTGAGTTTCTTTTAAACAATTTGGGTCAAAATTCTATATATAATTTAATATATCGTAATGTTAGAAAAAAAATTTGCAAAATTATATTTATAAAGTTTGTGAACGTGTGCTGTATTTTTATAGACAGAAAGTGTGCACAAAAGAGATATGTGCACATGGTAAATGGATAAATTTAACCATCTCCATCCATCTTTAATGTTATCTATTGTAGCATTGTGTCGAGAATTTTGTTATTCGCAATGTGTTTGTATTAAATTATTTCGTACAAAGATAAAATAATAAACACAATATGACGCATTTGGAACGAAGGGCAGTTGATGAATCGAAACGATCTAATTTTACGAATGCATCGATACATTCTAATCCGAATATACGAGATTAATGTGACAAACGATATATTTTTATCTTACATTTATCGTTTGATACACGCGTAAAATTATAAATAGACTTTTCTTAAACTATAAAAAATTGAAAAAAAACTTTAAGCTTTCTACAACAATTATATAAATATATAGCAACGCAGAGCTTACGCGAAAGCACGAGGAACATGTGCAACTTTATAAAGAGTGTCTTTCGTTTGAAGGAACAAGTTAAAGTTGCTTTTTTTCGCGAATCGAGTTGTGATCAAATTTAAATTGATCGAAAGAGAGCGGGAAGGAGAAAGAGGGAACGGAGAAAGAAAATTCATTTTTCCACATTTCGCGCTACGATTCGTTAAAATATTCGCATAAATGCATTATACGAGCACAGGAAAGAGAGAGCAATGCGAGCAACTGTATTGTTTCGCATACAGCATATTTCTCTCTCTCTCTCTCTCTCCCTCTCTCTCTCTCTCTCTCTCTCTCTCTCTCTCTCTATCGTTACCTATATATCGCGGCGCGTGGCTATATAGATCGCGAACGGAACATTGATCCTAGTCAGCGGCGCCGCGCACTCACTGCACACCATCTGCACACTTACATTATTAATGCACCTACGACCGCCATAGCGGCCCGTACCCGCGGAGGTGTATATTTCTGTTGTTTGCGAAATCTTTCCGCGATTGAATATAAACATCAGGGATATCGTACGTCAAAGATTCGCAACCTGTAATTTCATTCCGACTATTAAATTTTACAGTTTATATTCGCTTTTTAGAGCCTTTAAGAAAGAGAGAGAGAGAGAGTGAGAGAGAAGTCTAGTTGCAACTTTATATTGGAAATTGGAGAGGTTGGAATGATTAAAAATAATAAATAAAGTTTGATAAGCGCATCTTATTCTTCAGGTGATTACATAATTACATAATTTGAAGTGGATTTTACTCCAAATTTATATGATAAATTTATACATGTTGATTAACTTTGACGTTTATTTAATTTATTTGTTGGACTTTGTGCATCAATTTTAATGATGAAATATTTCAATTTAACAATGATAATGAACAAATATAAGCTAACGAGATCTAAAAAAATTCGAAATATTTAGTTGATAAAATGTAAAAGATATTACGTTTCATCGAATTGGCACGGGAAATATAATACTAGTTTCATCGAAAGGAAATATATTAATGGCGAAATAACCCGAACCACTAAACAATATTCTTTATTCGTGCGCGCAATTATCACTGCTGTCGTAGATGCTGTGCCATGCAAGGCGGTACGCGAAAAACACATACGTGATACTTAAAGAAATATGGTTTCCTCTCTACGGATCTCTCCGTATCCTAGCGCAAGTGACCGCACTCGGAACCAGTTTGCCCGCCTTGCTATGGAATGTAAGAGGACGGCTGTAATTATTTGCAGCGCGTAGCTGCTGGCCGCGCCGCGCCGCGCCGCGATCGAATCTAGGCTGGGTAAGATCGCCTCCCTGTGTATGATCTCGATCCTTGCGGTACATGTATCCCGACGGTTGTCCCGATTTCCACGTCTCGCGATAGACTTTCATTGTATTCGACAACGCCTTCTTTCCGTTGCTATCCGATCCACATTAAGGAACATGATTTGTCCATAATTTGCCGACCTATTTTGCGACTTTTTTACCTCAAGTTATATACATTTCCAATCTAAAATATAATTATATTTCAGTTTCTAATGTGCTCTTTCCCATCTTTTAATTACCGGAGCACTGGTATCTTTAATAAATCAAGGTAAAAATAAAGGGTAATATTCATGAAATTATTATGCCGATTTGCTTTTTTTCTTTTTTTAGATAAACACATTGGGTACATATCTTGCACGCGATTAATCCGAGAAAATATACAAGATCTCGAAACATATTTATTGTCATAATTTATTAATAATATTTCTTTAACTGCTCTCGTGTACCGAGATGTAAAGGGGGACATGATTGACGTATATATTAATCAAATTATTATGATGACGAGATCTCGTCACATATAAATGAGTTTATAATAATTAACTATTGCATTTATAAATACAGATTTAAGAAAATTTCCATATTTCTAAAATGTTGCTCCGACGCCTTTATAATTATATCGTTAACTCGAACAACAAGGATAGTATTCTTATAGCTGTTTACTCGTATACATGAAAATTAATCTTTTAATGTTATGAAGAAAATAAATTTCGTTTCTTTTTTTTTTTTAATCGTAAAATTCTTTTTCAAGTTCTCAACACCTCTTTCTCTCTTTCTTTCTTGCCAATGATTGGCGTGGATACGACTGCTACGCGAGAGAGAAGGAGAATCCACAGCAATATGCTTGAGCGTCCTCGAGATATTCGCGAGAACACCTTTCACTGGCACATCGAGAATGGATGGGCGCCAAGCATCGGCATCAGCGTCGGCGTCAAGTTCGTTATTTGGGTCGTTGTTGCGAAACACCATTCAGGGCTCTCTTCGTCGGCCTTGACAAGTTTTAACGATAATAATAATCGACGATTCAAAAAGATGCTCCAATGTTCGACGAGGAGATTGAACCTATCGAGCAAATTGTGTTTCGAATAATTTTGAATTTTACAAATGAAAATGTTTACGCGGGCGATACATCCAATTAAATCATAATCGCGCGCGAAATGCCTTTATTTACGACTACGCTTAACACGCGTAATGCGCGACTAGTTGAACGAGCTTTAAACGCTAACGTAACAAAAGATCATGCAATAATGTATCTCACACTTGTGAGCTTTGGTCGATGGCTGATAAACTTGTGCGTTCGCGAGTTATATCATGTGCCTACAGGATGTTGTGGGTATAAAGATTGAAAGTTGACGCGAAAATGTATCGACTTGAGTAGTAGACTAGATGAGAACCGTGCAATAACTTATACTCGTTCGTTCACCTTTTTTATCCCGTAGAGAAAAAAGTAACGAGAGCCACTTGGTTTACTTTTCTTAAACGGTTGATCGAAACATGACTATAAGCGAGCGTTTCGCTACTCGACATAAATCTCTTCTCCGAGTAAAACTAGACATTAAGCCACGCGTTCGATAATCGAGCTCGAGATAGCCAGATTCATTTTTCGATCTATTCTGCACGCGCTATGAATCTCCTCGCTAATTAAATCTCTACCGCTTTAATCGTTGCACCGATGGAAAAGAAGAGCTTGATTTCGATTCTCCCGAGTCGTGGCGAGCTGATTAAATCGTTTTTACGAGAACGCGTCGCTCACGTTTAGAGTCGCTTAAAAAGGGCGAAAAAAGGGACACGAAAAGTGTAAAAAAACGTTACCTACCTACCTACCTACCTACCTACCTGATGAGAACGCATGCGCGCACTTTAAATCCGTTCGTGCGCTCTCTCTCTCTCTCTCTCTCTCTCTCTCTCTCTCTCTCTCTCCCTCTCTCTCTCTCTCTCTCTCTCTCTCTCTCTCTCTCAACACGCACGAATAAACGACGATGACCGATGATACCGAGCCGCGCTCGTTCGCGGACTCGCTTGCGTGTGACACGTCGCAGTCTCTTGCACGGATATACATATATACATATATATATATATATATATATATATATATATATATATACATATATACTCGGACGTCGTTTTCCTGTAAAGTCGAGCGAGATATCGTGCGCGGGTTTTGTGACTTGCGTGACGACTGCCATGTTTGCAGAGAGAGAACTTTAACGCGCGACTCTCGTTTCTCGTTGCCCCGCGTGCCCCGCTCTCGCGAGACTCCCTTCCTCCCTTTATCACCCTCCTCTTACCATCTCGCTTCCCGCCAGTTGCGCCATCGCGCTAGCTCGCTTCGCACGCATGCAACATAGTCGCCCCCCTGTGTCCTTCCGCTCTCTTCCCCCGCCCCCCGTTCGCTCTTTCCCATTCTTTCCGCCTCCGTTCACGTCAAGTTGTATCCCTCTTTCACCCTCCCTTTCCCGCTTCGCGCACCCGCGCCTACTTAAACGTGTACCGGCGAACCCGGTAATTTCGCGCAAAACTACCATCACCATCGCACCAGCCTCGTTTCTCTCTCTCTCCTTCCTCCCTCTTTTTTCCCCATAATAAATTTGCCCCTCTTTGAGGACGATGCGACTTCCATCTTTTTCTCTCTTTTGCTCTTTCCCTCGTGTTTGTTCCTTTTACGATATACCGCTACGAGCTACGCATTGTACTACGGAGCTACCCCAAAAGGGACGAAACGCATACACCACGTGTCTACACGCGATACACTGCCATCTGCCCGCTTCGTCGTCTCTCGGTGTCGGTGTCGATTTTAGCGTCAACGTCGCCTAGCAGTTTAGGTTTAGGTATTCGTCCTCGTTGGAAATCGTGGAGCGAGGTCGGAGAGCGCACCCTCGTCCTCTTTCGTTTCTTCAATTCTATTAAAAGATTATTGTTTACCCTTATCCCCGACGTCGATCGCGCGCGGCGACTCTTCGCCCTTATCGCGGGAGGGCTCGCTCTCAACCCTTCCGGCCCGGCAAACACTCGACCGCCCACGCAACACGAAAAGCGTACCGCTCGTACGTCTTCGTTTGCCCGCTCGCTCGTACGTGGCCATCGTC